AAAATTAAAGGTGTCAAATAAATCACCTTGCTGTGTTTGTTTTTATGACTGGAAGAATTGCATTACGTGACATGTAGTAATTATCACGACTTTAAGATATAACGGGTGAACAAGATGGCTGCGCCCATTCGCCGGTTACTTGCTTTTAGGGAATATTTAAGAAATAAAGAAATTACAATAAAATGATAAAAATGTCGACCTAAAAGACTACTTCTAAAACTAGTAAGTTGTCTGTTTATCATTTAAATTCAGGAGAAAGTCGTCCTAATTTAATAACGTTATACGTTTGACACCCCCTCCCCCCTTTTCCACAACTGCTTACATATCCATTATTGGTGCAATGAAAAGTGTCCCGGAAAGCTGTCCAAAAATTATGGCATGTATGGTTTATGTTCCGAGTATTTTCATTGGCTGATGAAAAAACCGCTATTTGTCGCGGCTCTATGCCGTTATTATCCGGATTATTATTATTCAATAGCCAATGAAATTGACAGTTACTAACAGAAGTTGGATTTACGCATGGAACATACGGGCAACATCAAAATGGAAGCCGAGGATAGAAATTATCAAAACAAACGATAATTGTTACAATAATTTGTACCAGAAGATAATGATTGCATCATTGATGGTGGTAAATGATTGATTTTTAACCGATTACATGATTAAACTTTCTTATATGAGCATACGTTTGCATTAGATGTCGTTTTACACGTGTAATTTTACAAACAGAAATTTTACGAACGTGTGTAAAAATGAAACATGAAATGTTATTTTTAATAATATCTTGTCCATGTAACAAAGTGAGTCATTTTTTTTGAAATTATCGATTCTTTCATCAATGTCCAACAATCAAAAGAAAAAAACTGTTGTATACTACGTTCTTATTTTTTCGTGAATTGAGCAATTTTGAGTTATATCCCTTGTTATATTATATACATAGTGGGAAAGGAAAAAAATGACAGAATCCCCTGTGGATTTACTTGCTGAATAAGATGTTTTTATGCATGACCACAGGGGGCCCACACAGTGTTTGGATGGTATATACTGCTTGATAGTGACCTTAAAATGAGATTTTAGTCATAACCTTATAATATGTATATAAATATAGACAAGGGGCATTACTCGCTAAATAGAGAATTTTCGATCACCCTCAAATTCATGCGAGATTTTCCACTATTAATAAATTAAATAAAAAAATTCCAAAAACTATACTGCGTTGCATAGCTTATATAATCCACAATTGATAAACACTTACTCTATTCTGATTCCCTTAGCCCATTTTAAGAAATTTATTCAAAACCGTTCACTTCTGTCACAAAATTGCTTAGTCGTACGAGATGTCGCAACACCAAATTCCACGGGTAAAATATCAATTTTAAAAGGGGGAGGTACAAATAAACGCATGCAAACAATAACACAACATAGTTTCTATTATCTACCTGCGCAAAAAGTCGTGAAGCGCTCTATATTCGTCTGTTTCGAACGAAATCTTCAAATCAGTGCAGAAATCTGCTTCGGCGAATACATGTTGGAAATTCTGGTCATGGTGTATGGAAACCTTTCATTGGTTGTCGTTATAAACAAAGTTCCTACCGAACCAATGAAAGGTCTCGATACACCGGCTGGTCACGTGACCGGGGTTTCCCCAAGATGTCTACGTCGAAGCAGATTTCTGCTCTGATTTGAAGATTTCGTTCGAAACAGACGAATATAGAGCGCTTCACGACTATTTGCGCAGGTAGGTAATAGAAACTATGTTGTGTTATTGTTTGCATGCGTTTATTTGTACCTCCCCCTTTTAAAATTGATATTTTACCCGTGGAATTTGGTGTTGCGACATCTCGTACGACTAAGCAATTTTGTGACAGAAGTGAACGGTTTTGAATAAATTTCTTAAAATGGGCTAAGGGAATCAGAATACAGTTAGTGTTTATCAATTGTGGATTATATAAGCTATGCAACGCAGTATAGTTTTTTGAATTTTTTTATTTAATTAGTGGAAAATCTCGCATGAATTTGAGAGTGATCGAAAATTCTCTATTTAGCGAGTAATGCCCCTTGTCTAAATTTATATACATATTATAAGGTTATGACTAAAATCTCATTTTAAGGTCACTATCAAGCAGTATATACCATCCAAACACTGTGTGGGCCCCCTGTGTGCGTGACCTACACAGCCATGAACATTTACTGCATTCTACCAGGGAAGCTGGGATGCAAGATCTAAAATGATGTCATAACCTGTTGAAAACATGCCAGTAAAGTGAAACACAAACGAAAACTGGCTAAATTAATTTGTATTTTCAAGAAAAAAATTAAAAACGGGTAGGTGTGCGGACCCGGGTCCTGTGCGGAACCGATTACACTGACAAAGTTAAACAAAAGGAGCTAGGAAAATTAGTGGTCTGGTAAAGGTCATACTGCCATTTTATCAATAATTAGGACATTTCTTACCGCTGGTGCTGCCATTGTTTATTTTCAATTTTACAGGATAGCGTTTTTCATGAAGGTCAGCCCAAGAATAGATCGCAACTTCTCGGCTATTTCCGTCAAACTTGGATTATTGATAATCGGCGAGAAGGTCCGAATGCAAGAATCCATTTCACTAAGCCTAAAGAAATTAAAGTAACGCAAAGTGATGTTTAAAAAAAAAAATATATTGAAAAAAAAATTCACAAAATCGCCCTTTTTAACTAATCTTGCGAATCTTTGTACATTCTCTCACTGCACATGTTTACTTTATTTTTCCTCTGCTAGATCATGATCACTTTTCCCGCCCTCTGGTCCCTTTCCCCTACAGTTATCCGTGTTGTCATTTTGATAATAAATGTCTTTAATTGTTGGTTGATTTCTTTATTGAATCGGTTATGTGAACGCCCTACCCGTGTAACGCCTAGTACCATCTCCCTTTTGCAAGGTGCCCTGCTGTGCACCTAGCGGTGCGCTCCCTTCACAGCTCAATGAATACACTCGCGTGAAAAAGAGCGATAACGAAACCGATACGCAGGAGAGTTACCTATAGCGCAGGTTATGTGTTGAGGGAAACGTACAAAGATTGTCGCCCTTCCTTTTAATCTAAGTTCATAGAGCTTTTACTTGCGGACTTATGCCACTTTTAATGGATCACTGCTCTCGGATTACTACATTTTCCATAAAAATGGAAAGTTTACACAATATCGGATGTGTTAACAAGTGTGAGAATAGGTTTCACAGGAGTCATTTGATAACAGAATATGAAATGACATGGGCAGAAATTAAAAAGAAAAAGATTAATCGCCATTTCACATTTTAATCAAAAACATGAGTGACCTTTAAATAAACAGTTCAGATTTGTCAAAATTAAGGTACTTTCGGAATGTAATTTAAGAAAATATCTGAGCCTTGCAGAACATTTGAACTGCCCTGACAATGGTTTTAAGCATCTCTCTACCAAGCATAATTCAATCTTCTAGCAGATCAAACAAAAACTTATTGATAATCTGATGAAAATGGTCTGAGGTGTGTACATCCACAACATACATGCGAAGATAATATCCAGATCTCAACACATGTGTTCACTAACAACCTATTATTAATTAAATATCGAACATTATCCCTGCCATCAGTTATCAAGGATGATTGTTACAGAATCTTATGTAAAAACTTTGCTTTTAATGAAGAAAAGTCTAGTAATTTGAAAGCCCCTTGAGGCAGATGGGTTACCTTTGCAGGTTGAGGCACCATAATTGCATCCACCGTTTAACCCAGCGTTCGAATTACCGGAATCTATGCATTTCTTTCCTCCATCAAGTAAAGTGATTTGGACCCCTAGTGTTAATTTAAGATTGTAACACCCGAGGTTTGCCAAACTCATCTTTCCTGTTTCGGCGCCATATGTCCTTAACTGTGTAAGTGTGCTGTAAAACCAAACAAAACAAGTAAAATTAAAGAAGTTTGAAACGTTGTTAACAATTAAACATTGGTAGTCATCAGATAAAAGATACTATTAGAATTTTGTAGATCATCGGATATATTATATATTATAATGTATATAGAGGATATTCAAGTTTCTTCTATAAATGAAGTGTGGTATGAAAATTCATATTTCACGAACGGCAATAGCCACGAGTGAAATATGATAATTTTCATACCACGAGATGAAAATAAAACCTGCGTTAATAGAAAAAAACTTGAATTTTCTATTAATTTTATACTTTTTCTCTCTTTTTTTAACTTTATAAATAGGAAAAATTTCATTCAAATTTTGTGTTTGGCTGATTTAAGAAGAATGTAGTCCAGCAAGACACCAGTGAAAATACGGAAAATATGTTTCACTGCAGTGAAAAATATTTTTGCAGTGAAAATACGGGAAATAAAAATACGATATAAAATATATATTAATATAATATAAATTTCATTAATAAGTATATAATAAATATTTGTATGTACTGAATAAGTGTCTATTTTTAAGTGCGTCTATTTTCAAGCGACATTCTTTCTGAAAGTATCCTCCCTAGTGCTCTAGATGTCTGAATCACGTCACTAAACCTGAGATGAAACGAGAAAGAAAGCGAGCTCGTTCCACACCCCAAAAGAATTCTTGGATAGCCATCCACTCTCCTCGTTTTATCATGGTTTTTTTGGTAATATAGGAACTCAACGGGAATTGACTTAAAATATTAATAAAAAGTGAATTTTAATATTAATTTATACATGTCACCGTATGCTGTTTGTTACTATTTATATGTACAATAAAAAAATCTTTTTAAATGTATTCACTTCTTCTGAGAACATATTGCTGTGTATTTTATTTTTCAGATTTGTTATATGTTAAAAAATATGTTTTATGTCTCTGTTATTGTCGGATTAGCTAACGTTTCTTTTAACTTGTAAACCGACGTAAATATAGTGGTATACCTGCCATTTAGCAGATAATCTCGTGCTGGTATTTAACATACTTTGTGTTCATTTTCACGAGTACAAACGAACTCTTCATTCTGGCGATGGCTCTTGATTTGCACAAAATAATATCTTTTTTGCATGTTCATGTATGCACTACGAAGATATCATTTGTTTAAATACGTAGTGAATACTCATTTTTACTCATTGCATTATATATATATTTGCTTATAGAGGTTTACTTGTGCATAGATCTCTTCATCGGTAGCTTTTTATTTTGCTAGCGTTGATGACCTACTTTTCACGCATTTAATCTAAATAGATAATAAACAGTGATGAGCTTAATAAGCATTGTACGAGTAGGAGATGAAGAAGCAAAGCCGATTACAATCAGTGATGGAAAGACAGTTATTGGTAGAGGCCCCTTTTTGCAGGTAGATTTATCCTAGGGTGGCCAGGATTCGTTACCCGTTAAGCATTTTACAGTGCTAGTTTGATACAATATATATACTTATGATCCGAGCGTTCTATAATAAAGAAATTTTACAGATACAATAAATTTACTTTGATTTATTAAAATATACAACTTTTTTCTTTATGAACTGACATTTGTTGAGACTTTCTGACATTAAACAGTATGGGTGTTGACTCTAGGACAGGACACCCGACGATAGAATGATATTTTGATTCTGTAATCTGTATGCATAGTCATCTGGTCATAGTAGATCTAGCTCTTGTCAAAATATGTTGGTAGTGGGGGCATTGCTGATCAGACACTTCAGTTCAGAACAGATTAAATGACACTTCAGACATGATCTCAGGACATTGCAGACCAGATACTTGGACATGCGGACCAGATACTTGGACATTTCCACCATACATTGGTCTGCTTCAGATCATGCCTTGGACACACCAGACCACTGTATTATCATACAAGTACTGTAGTTCCATTTACTCCAAGACACCCCATGACTACCCCGAAACATCAAAAGACTACACCAAGACACTTTAACTGACATTTTTAAACAGTCTCAGGGTTCGACACTAACTGTTTTAACAAGGGATCCCATAGGAATCCCTGAGATTTAATTCAGGGATTCCTCCTAAATGTCAGGGATTCCTCAGATCAAAGTAGTAAAATATAAGGGCGAAGAATAACAAGGGAGTGCAGCAATCCGATTTCAAATTCTTTTTTTAAAGACTACATACATGATATATTACCTTGTTTCAGATGCAGAAAATGTAGTTATAGTAGCCCTTTGGGGGTTTTTTTGTTTGCTTGGATTTTTACGGCACGTCAACACATAACTGGCCATATGAGCCCTTTGGAAATATTGCTGTTTAAAGTTTTAAAAGTGTTTCAAAGTGTTTACTTTACTAGTATATATATAATTGGACTGCTAAGATAAGTTAAAACATAATACATTTTTTACATGCACGTAAACAGAATAATATTAAGCTCACCCACTGAAAAAGAGTTCGATTTGAAAATAAAACCTGTTTTCTCCCTGGGGTTGATAATTGTGAACCAGTTTCTGTAAATGAAGGTATAATGCAAGTGACTGGGCAATGGGACTTAGGGTTTGAACTTTTGAAGTTAAGTAGGAACTGGGGAAACATTTTCCCAGATAGCCTAGGGTTCACTGAAATAGAGCCAACATATCATCTTTAGATCTTTAAAAACTTACAGGTAATGATTAGGCTCCATATTCCAGTAAGTTCTGGTATGGATAACTTTTGGAAAATATTTACTTTCATGTCATTTAAAAAGAAATGTTTAATTATGATCACTTTAAAAAAATTAGTGATTTTCAGCTTACTGTACACTTTTTGTGTTTAATAGATTGTTGTAAATTAAATATTTTGTTAAATATTTACTAAAGCTAAAATATAAAGAAAAAGTTTTGTTTGCATTACAAGTAGGGTACCTTGAAATGATTTCGTTTTCAAAAGTAAAAAGTTGCTCCAAGTCCATGACAGGATGTGTAATATCCAAATTTATTGTTCTCAATTTTTACACTGAAATGTCCGATTCTTTTCCTCCCTGTGTGTATTGATTTTTTTTAAGTTTTGACATATGCCACATCAAAGGCACTCACCGCATACAGCAGTCATGTAGTTCAGAACACTGATTGGCCCAAAGAACTGTCAGATGAAATATACGTCATTTGGTGTATGTTTCACCTAAGGATTTCTATTTTTTTTGTCGGTAAATTATGCGTGACCTTGATTGACCTTAGAACACTTCAGTCTTTAGTTAGACAATATTTTTTAGCATTTAAGGCTGCAGAGTTTCAAATTTAGGATTTTAAACTGAAAAGTATGGATTCTTTTTATTCTATTTATTAATTATACTTTTGCTGTACTACAGGGAGAAAAAAAAAATCAGTAATCTTTTTGTTTTTTTCACTTTTTTTTACGAAAATTTACAATGATCATAAATGCCGAATTTTGGCACACAAAAAAACAAACAAACATGTACATTTTTGTACTTGTTAACTTCGTAGCTACCGCCGGCAAAGCCAATCTGCACATATTTGAAGAACACACCGCTCGTGTAAAAAATTATACGATAATTATATTTCTTTCTTGAATGTTCACAACTTAATATTATGAAGTCAATGCATGATATAAAATTATTCAAGAATGTTTCTTTAGCCAAAATATTTTTCATTATATATCGCAAATAAGTTGATAGCAGTCACTGCACAAAAGAAATCTGACGTACATGATTCAAGAGCGTAGATTTTACCGGCGGGATTTTTCTTTTCTTTCTTGAACATTGCAGTTGTGCCAGTCTTTATTAACACTTTTCTTGAATATTTGTGACTCAATGATATTAATTCAGACAATTTCAAAAATTTACACAGCAATTTTTCAGGGATCCCAACGGAATCCCCAGCTAGGAATCACAGAGATTCCTCCCGACTTTTTGGGATCCTCGGAATCCCGGGATCCCGTTAATGTCGAACCCTGAGTCTATTTTACCTTGTTGTTTTAATTTTGTTATAATACATACTAATTTGATTTATACTTGGACTGTCAAAAAAAGTGTCAATGTCAAATTAATAAAATTCTCTCTTTTTTTTCTTGTGTTAATTTTTCATTTTTTAACAATTTTCAGAAAATTGTTACATCAAGCACCTATTTTTCATTTTGATATGTACTGTACATGAGGGTCTATTTGAAGGACTGTGGGTACATGTACCATTAATCCTGACCTAATTATGCCCCCCTTCGAAGAAGAGGGGGTATATTGTTTTGCTAATGATGGTCGGTCTGTCAGTCGGTAGACCACATGGTTTCTGCTGATTATCTTGAAAACTATTTATCACAAAGTCTTCATATTTCACATAATGATTGATCATAACTAGTAGATGACCCATTATGATTGTGGGGTCACTAGATCAAGGTCACAGGGGCCTTAAATGTCAGAATGGTTTCTGCTGATTATCTTGAAAAGTATTCATCACAAAGTTTTCATATTTCACATAGTGATTGGTCATAACTAGTCGATGACTTCCTATTGATTTTGGGGTCTCTAGGTCAAAGGTCACAGGCACCTTAAAGGGCAGAATGGTTTCTGCTCATTATCTTGGTCACTAGTTATCACTATCACAAAGTCTTCATATTTCACATATTGATTGGTCATAACTAGTAGATGACCCCCTATTGATTTTGGGTTCACCATGGTCACAGGGTATGATTTTGCTCATTATCTTTTAAGCTAATTATCACAAAGTCTTAATATTTCACATACTGATTGGTCATAACCAGTAGATGACTCATATTGATTTTGGGGTCACTAGGTCAAAGGTCAAGGTCACAGGTTCCTTGAATGTTAGTGTGGTTTCCGCTCATTATCTTGAAAGCTATTTATCACATTTCTAATATTGATTGGTCATAACTATAAATTGACCCCTTTTGATTTTGAGTCACTTGTTCAAAGGTCAAGGTCACAGGTTCCTTAAATGTCAGAATGGTTTCCACTTGAAAACTATTTATCACAAAGTCTTAATAATTTTTCTTTTTTTCCATAACAGTTGACTGAACACTTCCATGTACCCATTTATGGCAAGTTTTTATAACAAAATAACCAATAATGTGAGTCAAGGGCTAGAAAGGGGTGGCATATGTGTCGTTCAACATTTTTTGTTATACAATGAGTGACATTTACCAGTACATGCCGGATATTTGGTGTTGCTACAGAGAGTCAGCTATGATCCATACCAGTACGTTTTTCTGAAAGTAGATTTTCTTGAAATATTTTGTTTCATCTGAAGACTTGCAGCTTAATAAATTTAAATTTTTATACACTTATTATATGTTTGAAATGATAGAATGTTACAGTAACATTTATGTTTTTTACAGGTGACAGATAAAAGGGTTTCAAGAAACCATGGTATGTTGGAAGTATCTGATGGGAAATTATACCTTACCCCAGTAAGTGAATGATTACAGTTGGCGATCATCAGAAATATTTTTTGTATTTAATTGAAACTTAAAGTGAAATGAAATGAAGAAAGCAAGTGGCTTACAGTAGCACAATGCCATACCACATAATACCCAATAGTTCTACCATATGACATTATTATACTGCTAAATAGCAATATATTCAACTTATTATTAGTATGGGTTGTTTTAGTTTGTTTTTAAAAAAATTGTTGTTGTTTGTTGTTTTTTTTTCTGAAAATTATAAAACTAAAGTACATTAGCTAATACAATTGATTGTTAAATTATTGTAAACTAATGCAAAATGAAACATTTGACTGGGACTTTCATATAGTACAATAGTGGTTAATGTAGCAGAATAAGAATCGCATGTCTCTCATTGTTGTGGGTTTGAATACAGAGGGACTTTATATGAGGAAGATGACCAGCTAGTTTACCATTTCAAAAGATGGTGGTTCTACTCGTGTGACAGCATCACCAGCATATGTTAGGTTTTCCTACATCAGGAAAGTTTGACAGTTGCTAAAAGACCTATACCCACTGACTATAGTAAAGTGATGATGTGACTTAAATTTAGTGTGAATTTTAGTCTGATTTGTGTAAAAAGCATTTAGAAGCTTTTCATTTATAGGCTTTTATACAATCAAAATGATTATTCTTGAAAAACGAAGTGAATGGTTTGAAAAATTTTAATGATATAAATTAAAAGTCTCACAAAAATATTTTCAGTTCTGTCATGTCAAAAAATGCCCTAAGCTTATATCTTTTGATTATTTTAAAAACACACTTGTCAAAATTAATGTAAATAGTTTTTATTGATAAATTGAATGACAGTCTGTATGATTGTGTTAGGAAAATCACTTTATATGACCCTTTTGTCTGTCTCAAAGATTGATGCTAATTTTAAAGGAATTGTAGACTGCTTGAATTTACAAATCATTTAGCTCAAGTTTTAGAAATGATTGTTGTCTTCTTGCTATGCTTGATATTTTTCGTATTGCCTAGATTGACAAAACAGTTGATTTTGAGGGCATCTGTGTCCTATGGACACATTTCTGCCTTACATTTATTTTACCAATATATTTCAAACTCAAAGTAATTCTGTTTCTTATAAGAAAACAAAGGTCATAAGGTCAGGTTGGGCAACCTTGGCTTATATCAGTCCTGCTAAGAGAGTAATACTTTTTATAATGTTGACTAAGTAAAGTAATTTTATTTTCAGACGCACACAAATCCATGTTTTTTCAAAAAGAATTCAAATAGCAGTGTAGAGATAATGAAGAAGGATGATAGACGTCTACTAGAAAATGGTCATATCTTTGGTCTTCTCCCAGATAGTCTGTATTTCAAAGTTCAGTGTCCAGCTACCCAGAATGGAACAAATAAAAAGTATGATAAGTATTTGTAAGATGTTTTGTATCTAAGTGTGAAGACTTTACCTCTATAAAACAAAAACATGTAATGACCAATAACCATATATGTAAGTTGTGAGCAAAGATCAGATAAATGGTAAGACAGCAAAAAGCAATTTGTCAATTGACCTTCTTGTTGTGGAGCATTAAAATAAAATGTACATAGATATCATACATGTTAAAAACTGCCAGTTGTTAGACAAGGGGCATAATTCTGGAAGTAATGTTTTTTAGAGTTATGCCCCTTTATAACTAAATTTTTTTACAGTTGACCATTATTAACACTGCATGTGATGGACTTGTATTTTAAAATCAAATCTACATTTCAGTAATGAAAAAACTGAAGAAGAAGAAGAACAAGAAGAAGAAGTTATGAGTGAAGGTAATACATAAAGTTTCTTCTTTAGATTATTTTTAAGTCTACCAAAGCTTTCCAGTTTTGTAGGTTTGTATGAAATACTTCTTAGATATGTTTTAAATGTGCAGGAAATGAATACATCATAAACATATACTTGTGGAGAATAAAACATGAAATGTTAGATTTTTGACATTGATTATTTTCTTTAAGTAACCTCTTCATCAGTTACAAAATGTAATTACGTTTCCTGTGTAAGGATAAAGATGTTTTAGTTTATATCTGTATATATTCAGAGAAACATAAATTTGAAATAAATATTTCAAATTTGGATTGTTTTTCTCTCATGAACTCAAACTAGTCTAGTCATAAATAGTTAGAATAGCAATATAAATTTTAAGTATTTTATTTATTTTTTGAACAATGAATGACCTTTGGTGTCACACTTCAGTGCTAGCTAATGCCTGGAATATTGCACTTGGTGGCAGCCCTAGGTTTTCATCCATTTTGGTAAAGTTGGATGTTCATCTTAAGATGTCTGCTTAATTATGATATAATGTACTGGTTTCAAACCTACCCATAAAAACTTGTTCAGAATAAAATTGTTTTTGATATAAATGTTTTATTTTGGTGTATTTGGGTATTTTATAGAAGAAGGATCACAGTCTCCAGAAAAGGCTAAACCCTGGCAGGTATGTATTTAAACTGTATACATTTATTGTATATTTTTTATAAGCATCTGCATGCAATTTTAGGCCACTGAACCTGATATAATAAGGGAAAAAATGTAATTGATAATCAATTTTGATTTGGGTTCCCCAATTTAATTTGTGGCATCGGAATAGCAATATTCCTTGAAATATCCATAACCAGTAAGTGCAGCTGTATACATCTGAGAGCTAAAGATGAGGAGGGCCAGCTTCTACATTCATTTCCTCATAAGTTTGATTCTTTAACTCAAATTGTCTTCATACATGTAATATAATGTTATTAATGATTTCACATTGGCTTTGGTCAAGGACATTAGTAGTGGTGCAAGCCACATGCCAGGAGTCAATATGACTGCCTAAAGTCAAGTATCAAATTCAATGTGAAATCCTCCAATTAATGACCATTTTATTAATTAACAACATTGCATATACATTTCTAAAATTAAATCTCTGTTATCATATCCAAATCAGAAAATAAAAAATCTTGAAAACTTTTCTGCATTAATGAGTTTTTAAATAAGAATCTTTAGGAAAAACAATACAAGGTAACAATTTTGAATAAGAATAAAGGAATACAATGTTCAGCCAGGGTCCTTCAAATAGCTTCACTTTTCAAGGAATAGTTGGGTTATCATACCTGTGTGTCAGTGTCAGCATAACACATTGGCTAAAGTTTTGCATACAACTTCATGTTCAACTTCATATCTCATCAAACACCTAATATACTTGCTTTTAACTTCACACTTGTCCTCGAGATCAATTAGTTCATATCCAAGGTCCATAACTCCAGCATGGATTTTGTCTGAATTATAGCCCTTGTCAACTTACCTGTTAAAGTTTATATGTGCAATTTCATATTTCACAACATGCAATTTTCATATTTCATAACATTTGAGACCGCTTATGTCTACAGGATCATAAGATAATGGAAGGTTACTTTTCTCTGTCCATGGCTTGAGCATGGATATAGACGGAGTTATAGTTCTTTATAAACTCAAAATTTCGCACAATCTATGAAACTTTTAAAGATAATCACTTCACACTTGTCCTTATAATCATTATTCAAGACCCATAAATCTGGCATGGAAATTCAATGAATTATTGCCCTTTGTAAAATCAGAAAATTATTTTCCTGTCCCGGATTTTGAATGAACCTTGAATTTTTTTAGTTCAAACACTACGAAGACCTCCGTTTAAGACAGTACTGAGAATATTCTAGCGCTGACCTTGTTTATCATGTTAATGTTTTGCATATAACAAGTTGTTTATAGTAGAGATACTTCTTTGAGCAGTATAGGTATATTTAGGGGCTTCCGTGGCCGAGTTGTTAAAGTCGTTGACTTCAAACCACTTGCCCCTCACTGCTGTGGGTTCAAATCCCGACAGCTAGCTTACAGAACATCGGTGGTTTTACTCAGGTGCCTGTTTGTGCCTGAAATAATGCACGGAAGGGCACCTGAGGTCTTTCTCCACCAGTAAAGCTGGAACGTCGCGATATGACCTATACTGTGTTGTGACGTAAAACCCAAAACAAACAAGAACAAGTATAGGTATATAATGATTGTCTTTTTGTATAGACTGTGAAGACTGAAGATGGGAAGGAGATGACATTACCACTAGAGAAGAAGAGAGCTTTACCAGCGTGGATGTTACAGATGGCCAAAGCTTCACCACCTGTCTCTAAAAAACCAGCCGCTAGACAAACTGGTAAAATAACTTTTAAATGTGACACTATAAAATATGGTTATATGGTACACCTGTAAAATACAGAAAAAGATGTTATTTAATCTTTGCCTCACTGAATTTGTGTAATGATATTCTCATGTATTGACTTTGGAATTGTTTGCAAGATTTATGCAAAATGCTAGAATTTAACAAAAAGAAGAGCTGAATTAGGTCTTTACTGAGTAAAAATATTTTTTGAAATTCTTACATAGACCAAGTGAAGCACTTTCAAATGAAAAATCTGCAAAAGATATTAAAGAAACATACTCAGAATAAAATTGAATATGAGCCGCGTCACGACAAAACCAACATAGTTGGTTTGCGACCAGCATGGATCCAGACCAGCCTGTGCCTCCGTGCAGTCTGATCAGGATCCATGCTGTTCGCTATTAGTTTCTCTACTTGTAATAGGGTTGGTCAGCGAACAGCATGGAACCTGATCAAACTGCGCGGATGCGCAGGCTGGTCTGGATCTTTGCTGGTCGCAAACGTGTTATGTTGGTTTTGTCGTGACGCGGCTCATATTTACTTAGTGTGCAATTCAAATGCATTGAAATAAAATGGTATTTGAACACTGACAATTTAAGGCATAAAATAAAAGGAAGGGGCATGTTTGAATTAAAAAAAAGAAGTATGATATTATTCAAATATGAAAAATTATGTTTAAAAATCAAATTCCTTATTCATTTCTGGCCTTAATTTACTTTCATAGAAATCTTGATAGAACAAGGTTGCAAACATTTTCTAAATCCCAAGACCTACTTTGTTTATAATTTACATTAATAATTCTTGAATTTAGTTTGTTTACCTGAAAGAGTGACAAGAAATAAAACACCTTTATCTTGTTTTATTGACCACTTTAAATTTGATTTTTGATTGTATTCACAGCAAAGACACCTACAAAGCGGAAAAATGAAGATGATGATGACTATTCTCCAGCTAAAAAGAAAACACCAGCTAAAACTGGTCCTGGTAGAAGAAGGTAAATTGCTATCAAAGGTTAAAGAAAAAATTAACAAGAAGTTTTGACACATAAAAAGGAGTCAACTTTATGCCTATGAAGATAGTTTGGGAGAGATTTTTATCTGAGCTTTCCAATCAAATCCCGGCTTACCCGATGACCTGTATATTATTTCTTAAAGAAGTTACAGAGTAGAAATCAGGACAATATCAACTATAGATATTTTTAACATAGTTATGGCCCCTGTGCATAATGGAATTAGATGTAAAAGTTTTTATAAGTTAATTCCTATAAGGTTGAATTTTAAATAAGGTACACAGATGTAACAATGTTAATTACTGGTCAAATTTGATTATAAAACTTTGTTTTGGCATCAAAAATATAATTTGACATTGTGATTCTTCAACATTATCAGTATAGTTATTCATGACAGTTCACTTTTGAAATAATCAGTGAATAAAAAATATATGTGCATATTTAAACTTTTCCAACTAACACCTTTTAAATAAGAAAACTAAGCTATACTCTTCCGTTGAGTTTATTAGATAAAAAATAAATCATTTTGTTTTGTAAAAGTTTCATTTCCATCAATAATAGAGCAAAGAAAATAGATATTATGTGAAAAATGTTACAGTTCATTTGATATTGTAATATATCGTATACAGCTAAAAAGTAATTGATTGTTTATTTAATAATGTGTAGGAAGACGGAGAGTGAGGAAGATGAAGATTATGATATAGATGAAGATGAAGAAGAGGAAAAGGTTACAACAAAAAGAGGTAAATACATGGAAAACACAAGTCAGTTGTAATGCCAATCCACCCTAGGGATAATAGGAGTTTTGATGTTAAGATTATCAAACCCTTTAAGGTGATTCCGCTTTGTCAGCCATGTTTGTTTTCACAAAGTCTGTCCAAAGTGAAAGTAGGCCAAAATTCATATAACAACAAAGCTCACATTGTTATATGATGAGCCATTTGCAAGTACACTTCCAGTTCTATGTTTTAAAGACAATTATAAACAAAAATAAAAATGATAACAATAAGAATATTTACCTTGAATGTGCCACATTTCTGAAGACCAAAAACATTTTGTTGCAAAGTTTTATGCACATTTCATGAATGGCAAAATCCTTTTTAAAGTCTGTTTTAGTGCCTACAAAAGCTATTTTTTGCATAAAATACAAAAAACTTTAAAAAACATGAATCTTAGGAAAGTAGTTTATCTGACCTTGAAAAAACATGGCCACCATGACATGTGTAAAAAAGTAGTACCATGAAAATAAACATCATTTACCTATTACTTGTGTACATGACAAACAGACACACTTCACTGTTACACATAAAAAGGTTAGATTTTAAAGTTTGATTGTGTTTTCATTTCAATTGTAGTTCATAAGGCTATAAATGATGATTGTTTTCTTGCACTACTTATTTACAAAAAATAATGGAGGCCATGTGCTTAGAAGGACATATTTAGATACAGATTTATTTGGAGTTAAGTTTTGAAAGATTTTTGAATTTACTGCAAAAAATAGCTTTTGTAGGCACTAAAACAGACTTTAAAAAGGATTTTGCCATTCATGAAATGTGCATAAAACTTTGCAACAAAATGTTTTTGGTCTTCAGAAATGTGGCACATTCAATGTAAATATTCTTATTGTTATCATTTTTATTTTTGTTTATAATTATCTTTAAAACATAGAATTGGAAGTGTACTTGCAAATGGCTCATCATATAACAATGTGAGCTTTGTTGTTATATGAATTTTTGCCTACTTTCACTTTGGACATACTTTGTGAAAACAAACATGGCTGACAAAGCGGAATTACCTTAACGGCATGCTTCACAGAGACAATCAAAGGATAAAATCCCAGCTTAGTAACGGGCATTGTGAATTGAAAATATTCCTCACTATTTTGGTGCCAAAACAAATCCCATCACATTGACCTCCTCTTTTCTGGTGAAACATCTGTTTTTGATATTTTTTTACAAGTGTGAACTGTTGTCTTTAGTGATGACTGCAAGTCACCTTTAGCAGAATCATTTTTTGTCATTTTGCTTCTCAAATTTGTATTTTAATATTATTATAATTTATTTCTATTGTAAATTAAGGGCAACCATTAAAATTTAATCTATTTTATAATTGATTGTAAATTAAGGGCGTGGAGCAACAAAGAAAAAGTATTATGATGCCAGTGAGGATGAGTTAGATGATGACTGGGAGGCTGAAGAAGAATACAAGCCAAAGAAAAGAACACCAGCTAAATCTCGCCAGACACCAAAAGCAAAACCAAAACCTCGCAGGAAAGCAAGAGATACTAGTGAAGAGGAATCTGAGGAAGACAGACCAAAGAAAAAACGAGGAGGAAAGTCGAGAAAGGCGAGGGCTGGTTCGTCTGAAGATGAAATGCCCAGCACATCAGCGAGGTCAACAAGAGGAGCAAGAGCTAAACGGAAAAGCTATGGTTTGTTTTATTTGTTAGAATTTACAAGAAAATATCGCTTTAAACATATTGTTTATTGTGTGTAAACATTTCTTTGTAAATGAAAGGCAAAAAGTGAGAGAGAAAATGTTCTTCAAAATAGTGTTGATAAACTATACCACATAAGTAAGTTAATGATTTGTATGGATAATTCAATGACTTGTTATGATAAGTTAGGGTTGAACTAGGTTTTGTTATTCTTAACGAAGTATATGGTTGTGCAACAATATTAGTATGTTTAGAATATAAAAACTTATTACCCCTTCGAAGAACAAATGAGAAAAGGTCAAGGTCACATGAACCTGTTATGCTTAAAAAGTTCCCGAGCAACAATACATGGAAAGTCAGACATGCTGACAAATGGAACATGCAAACATCTCTTGTTGTCTTACAGTTGATGACTTTGTTGACTTCTCTGATGATGAGGATGTGAATAAAGGTTCCTTGTCTAAAGATGAAGACAGTGATTTTGTTTTTGATGAAGGAGAAGAATCGGCTAGTGATTGGGAAATGGAAAGTAAAAAATCTTCACATAAAAAGGTATATAGACTTAATTACAAAACATAAGCCTACGCATATGTCGTCAGTTTTATTTAAAAGCTAAGATAAGTTCAGCCAAGTTAGCCAAATTTCATGTGTAATATTACTTCTGAAAGAAGTAAGTGCCCAAGACATCTTTTGTTGCTTCAAATATTTTAACAATACGGGTCTCATAACGTGCAAATAATTATTAAGATATTTTGTTTACATTTACTAGAATTGTAAAGATTGAATATGATATTTTCTTTTATCCCTAAGAATCAAGGTACTCCAAGTAGGAGATCTTCGCGGACAGTTGGAAGACGGAAAAAATATGCTGACTCTGATGAAGAATCGGCTTCAGATGATGAATATGTTCCACGTTCTACAAGAAAGCGACAAAATAATAGCAAAAAACGCAGGAAGGGTAGACGGAAAAGGCAGTCATCTAGTGATGAAGATGAATCCAGTTCAGATGATTATGTAGCACCAAAACGAGATCCTAAAACTAAGAAACGAAAAGATGACTCTGGGTCTGAAGAAGAAGAATCTGAAGAAGAGACTCCTAAAAAACGAGCCCCAGCTAAGAAAGGAAAGAAACAAGAGGTAAATTATAAATGTAAAAGTTTGCGGAATTTGCTGTTTTGTGTCAGAGTAAAACTCCTTGCATGTCTTCACCATTATAAGATCACATTCATAATAAATTGCACAATTTCCGCAGTATAAATTTGTGAATTATGTTCTGCTTAGTTTTAGAAATTTTATTTGAGATTCCTGAAGTAAGCATGAAGACTTCTAAATTTAAAGCAAAACCACATATATTAAATGAATTCAGCTGACACAAATTTATATTCATATATTGCAGGTGTCTGAAAGCGAAGAAGATGATGACGATGAAGATGATGATGATGCTAAGAAGAAAGATAAAAAGGATAAACGAGAGGAGGTTAAGAAAGTCAGGCAATTAAAAAGTAAACACAGACCACCCTGTATGTTCGGTAAAAAATGTTATAGGTAAGCCCAAGAGTCTATTACTTATTACTAATTTACTTACCTCACTGTATAAGTAGAGCATAAAAATCTATTCTAACAGCTCGGAAAAAATCTTTTACCATATGTAGTTCAATTTTAATATTTTATTGTTGAAATCAGTTAATTTAACAATGAGGTACTTTATGCTTTAAAGTAAAGCAAGTTCATATGGATAATGGTAAATTTTGAGTACTTGTTGACAATGTTATATGACATATGCTTGAATTGTAACCTGTTTATTTTCCTAATTTCTCAAAAACTGTCACAGATATTCACTGAAAATTTAGAATACTTGTTCTCTGTAAAAATTTGTTCCCTGTAAAGGGCAGGTAATTTTGCATTGCACTTTTGCAGAATTATTCACCCTTTTCTACTGTATATCCAACTATCCAACACTAAGTGCCAGGAATGTGTTGTTAAGGGACATATCTAGTTAATTGTTTCTATTAAACTGACAAGTTTTTCATGAAGTAAATAAATCAAACTCTTGATTAAGTTTATGTCATAATGTCAGCCTGATTCCTTTATTGTGGTTTTTAATTGTGCTTCATTTGAATATATACAGGCAAGAAATCTATTTGATTTTTTATGTTCTTGACTAATACAGGAATAATCATTTATAGTAATTATCAATCAGATGATTTAAGAACAACTTTGGAAACATTCAGAATGGTCTTGATTCTATATTACTAAACTCCAATCATTGGCGTATGCTCTTTAATAGTCATGGTCTTTTCCACTTGAAATAAAAGAATAAATTGTAACACAATTTTTGATGAATTTTGTGCAGGAAAAATCCAGAGCATTTTACAGAGTTTAGTCACCCTGGAGATGTAAGTTATGATGAACAGTCTGATTTAGATGAGGAGGAAGAAAGGAAGGATTGTCCATATGGAAATACTTGCTACAGGTGACTGATGCTTTACAATGAATTTTAATTTTATCGTCAATTCTGCCATTAGAAACAATGGGTGGAGCATGATATATCAAGATTTTGGAAGGTGGATGTTTATACTCATGTGTTGTCTATACAGTAATAAAATGGCTTAAAAGTAAATGAGAAAAAAAATAAGGGAAAAATTATCAAAGTTGAACTGATTCAAAGGTGCATTGCAGAGCGTCCATTACTGTTGCCAATATTCATGTTTGCACACACAAAAAATCACATATTTTAATTATGTTGAAATACTGTAATATTCTGCCATAATGAAATATTTATCTTGTTTGTAGAACCAATGTAAGTCACTTAAAGCAATATAAACACTACACCAGAGATAGAGATACAAAGCAAGTTGGTAAGTAAAGCATATTATCAGATGATTATTTATATAAAAGCTTTAAGTTATTTTATCACATGCTGAAAACAATGATAGAATCTATATGGAAAAGATGAAATAAATGGAAAAGCTCATAATTACGCCTTTGATGTTTTAAATAAGCTAGTCATTACCAAAATGGCTATTTCAATATTCAGGAAACATGAAGAAAATAAAACTTTCAAACAATATTTAATAATTATGAAGATTCTATTTGACGCTTGTGAAAAGTATAAAGAGGTGCAGAAAATTTTAGCACATGGCTCAATATAGTTCTTGTTTGCAATGTTTATGGAATAATAATGTTTCAGCACAACTTCCAACAGGTGACCAGGGCAAAGGTGAAGAAGAATCGACTGGACCTAACATGTATGATTATAATGACAGTTTTATAAACGATGAATCACAGGCTCAGTCTGGAAATGAAAAGTCTGCATCTGAGAGTGAAGGTTCTGTTTCAGATGAGGAAGAAGATATTAAACAGTTAAAAAAGGAGGCAAAAAAATTTGTTAAAAATGAAAAACTGACAAAGCCAGTGTGATGTTTTGAAACATGAGTGAGCAGCTGATAGGATCTCTTTCCATTGTATATGTCATCATAATCTCCATAGTAAGTGACTGGATTTCTGATCCATGAAATTGTGAAATAGAAAAACCAGTCAAATATGTGTTGTGCAGTTGGTGTTCAGTGTAGGAAGTACAGTTCTGATTCTACAGATAATTGATCACTTCGTACAGATTGAAATGATGCTTTTTGTCAATTTTTATTATCCCAAAAAATTGCAACTTTTTTCTATATTCTGTATTAGATAGTTTTGAACTTTCTAGTGAATTTTCCTTCTGTGTAAAATGACATCAGGAATTCATGCCAAGTTAACAGAGATGTTCTGCATGTAACAATAGTTTATGACAACTGGACATATCAAGGAAAGAAGAGTAGAATAAAAGGCAATGGAACTTCAAAGAAGTCCTTAAATTGAATCTAACATTACTTTTTTATTCTGTTGTTTTTTTACAAAGTGTGAAATGGTTATAAGCATATCTTGTTAGCATGTTGCATAACTCATATGCCTGATTTTTTGTGTAATACGTTAATATTCGTATTCATTGACAACAGTTTAGCCAAAATAACACAAATCATGAAATGATTGGCAAAGGTTTCAGGAAAGGCATTGGCCATCTCAGTGTCTGCTAAATGTATTGCTAAAATTAGATGAAGCAATATGGTGAGATTGGATGCAGGGATATTGTAGAGTATAATATAGATAGTTAGAAATACAACCTCTTTATCAATAAGAAATCTAATTTCTTTCATTATTGTTCATTTTCATTATTGAACCATTTGGCATATTTCATGTTTGCTGTTTGAAGTTTACCATCATTTTGATGATAGGCAAATAGTTAAATTGAATAGCTGTAAATTAATCAGTCTGTTAATTGACTATGTACAAAAGATTTATATCAAATCCATAATATTCCAATTGTCAGTATTTTTTTTACACCCACAGCATTGAAATATTCTTTAATACGATACATTTTATGTCAGTTCTCTTTTGTCAAATTTGAATGGAAGTGATATTTGTATTGAGCAAAGAAATTGCATGTTCAAGAATTTAATTATGAACCTAAAAAAGTTATTTTTATCTGTAAAACTTGGTCCCTCATCGATTTAATTTTGCCTAACCAACAGTTTAGTAATATGGATCATGAAATAACTTACATAAAATGCATACACTAGTAGTTAAGGTCTTTGACTTCAAATCACCTGCCGCTCACTGCTGTAGGTTCGAATCATGTCAGGGACATTGCATTCTTTCAAGCTTAAGGAATGCTGGTGGTTCTTCTCGGATGCCCACTTTGCCTGAAATAATGCAATGAGGGGCACCATTTGACCTCTCGGGTGTTGGTGCGATGTAACAGCAAACCAAAACAAATGTTTTGTAAAGCTCAAGTAATAGTATTGCTCTACAAAGTAATCTCAAAACTTACAAGGGGAGCTGGTTGAGAACTTTGATCAGGTCAAGGTCACTGACACTAAAAATAAATTCTTTTTCTCATAATAAGGCTATATCTTTTGATATGACAAGATGGCATAAGGGAGCATTTGCTTGTGTTAGTGATATTCTAGATTTAATCTAGGACTCTAACTATGTGTTGAAATCTAACATAAGATACAACTGTAAAACTACCTGACTCAGATTTCATCATTAAGTACAATGTACTTTCATCAGGGAAACTTGCTTCAGATCAATGTGTCGTATGCAAATTTCCTAAAGAAGGAATTCAATATATATACTGACATGGAATTATTTGTTTATATTTGATCACAAAATATATAATTCTTGAAACTTTTTTGATAAGTAAACTGGATTAATATTGTGTTGCTTCTGTTCAGCTGTTGTTGATAGAAAGTTATGAATATTAGTAGGGCAAACATTTTTCATGGAAGTAGAATATTAAATATGTGATTGTTGTTGTTGTTGTCTGTTTATTAGTTTGTGCATGATTTATTGTGCTTGTTTTATCTTGAAATACAGATTAATAAATTTCATATCATACTTTATTCAAATGCTTGCATTGTCACAGAGGACACTAAAAGATGAAGCAGCTATTTTGTTTATGAAGTTTAAGCTAGGTGTTGCTGGAAACATTTTTTTCAACTTCCATGATAAAGTAATAAAAAGTTATGCACAATTATGGAACATAATATGTATGTTGGTATGCCAGATGAAAGTTGCTATGAGATGAAGTGTTAAAAAGCTATGAAAGAAGGTCATGCTTTATCTTTTAGCCGACACATGTCATGTAGGTGGTAGCTAGTAAGCATCATATTATAACAAATAGAATCCAGGTCAACTGTGTCAGTTAAATACTAGTATTGGCTTAAACTTGGATATTATAAAATTTAAACCCTAAACAAGTTTTGCAATATATACAAGGAATAATAATTTTCTTACACTTTTTTGTACAAGTCTATAATTTAGGTAAACTATGTTGAAAAATTGTATATTTGTATAATATTTTACCACTGTGAAGTTAAATGATATATTTATTCAAACATTTAAGTAAAGGATACAAAATGGGATATACTTCATTAACATTGCAAGAAAATATTTGTTATACAAGGGGTGTTCAGAAAGTGATGCAATATCCCTCAAAATAACCCCCCCCCCCCATACACCAGTATGCTTGTATCCTCAAAAACCAGGTATATGCTTATTAAACTTAGGTGGGTTCAATGTACTGTTTGACCTCAGTTTACTTTACATCTTTCTGTTAAGTTTTCTGCTTTTTGGCGATATTTTATTTAGTGATCTGTCTCCGCCAACTGCCTCTGGTTTTATCCTCAAACCTTCCCCAACTATCTTTGAATCAGTTTTGGGTTTTATTTTTAAAAAAAGCCTCACTTTGTTACATATACCGGTATATATTTTTACATCACATATTTTCATGAAAATACTATTCGATATTAAACCCATTTTACATTGGCATTAGATATATACCTATACAACTGTATCTCTGTCACTCATTCACAACCTTTTTTCAGTTACATTCAAGTTCAAATTCTCCCATGCATTTTCAGTGGCAATATATGCACAAGTAATGGAAGAAAAGGCATGAAGTATTTGCGAAAACAAGGGATATATTGAAATACACACAGATATTTAGTCGTGAAATGCATGTGTAAGTTGATATTTAAGAGGTATTGCATTAGTTACGGAACACCCCATGTACAAGTTATCTTATATGTTTTACAAAATTATGTTGTACATTTCTGTCAAAGTAATGTTTAGAGTTACTTTCAGGTCTTCCAGTTGGTTTATACGAGTATTTTTTTTATATCATTAAATGCTGTCTTCGTAATGGAACAGTATGAAACAAAAGACATTTTAACTTTAACATGATTTAACAGATACTCTTGATTAATTAAAGCATTGTAAGCATATAAGTATCTTTACCATTATGATATTTTGGTCGTTTGACAAAAGAAAAAAAAATAACACTATATTTTATCTACAATTATGATTGAACTTACAATATAACGAAGACTTTGTGTTTCATCATTATCAATGAATAGGTCAATTTAACGTACTGATTTTAAAATCCAAGTCATTAAATTTCTCTAAGAAGAATTTTTATGCCACCGCAGCATCTGCGATGCGGTGGCATATAGCGATTTACCTGTGTGTGTGTGTGTGTGTGTTTGTTTGTTTGTTTGTTTGTTTGTTTGTGTGTGTGTTATATAGATTATATTGTGAACTTAAAAAATCTTCTTGTGAAAAACCACTAGTCCAATTTCAACCAAACTTGGCAGGATTGATCCTTGGGTGAAGGGCTTTCAAAGTTGTTCAAAGAATTTAATTCCATGCAGAAATCTGGTTGCCATGGCAACCAAAAGGAATTATAAGAATTAATTTAAAAAATCTTCTTGTAAAGACCCAAAAGGCCTAGAGCTTAGATATTTTGCATAAGGCATTGTCTGGTAGACCTCTACCATGATTGTTCAAATTAAAGCCCTGGGGTCAAAATTGGCCCCGCCCCAGGGGTCATTGATTTTCACTATATGTACATATAGTAAAAACTTAAAATACCTTCTTGTAAAGACCCATAGGCCTAGAGCTTAGATATTTTGCAAAAGGAATTGTCTGGTAGACCCTTACCAAGATTTTTCAAATTATAGCCCTGGGGTCAAAATCAGCCCCGCCCCCGGGTCTTTGATTTTCACTATATGTACATATAGTAAAAACTTAAAATACCTTCTTGTAAAGACCCAAAAGGCCTAGAGCTTAGATATTTTGCATAAGGCATTGTCTGGTAGACCTCTACCCAGATTGTTCAAATTATAGCCCTGGGGTCAAAATCGGCCCCGCCCCGGGGGTCATTGATTTTCCTCATATTTACATAGTAAAAACTTATAGTAAAAAAATTCTTCTAGCAATTGACAAATTTTTGTTGAGGTTAGATATTTTGCATGAAACATTGTGAAGTGAACCTCTAGCAAGATTGTTCAAAAAATAGCCCTGGGGTCAAAATTGCCCCCGCCCCGGGGTCATTGATTTTCAATATATACATAATTATAGTAAAAAATTAAAAAATCTTATTGTCTGAAGGTACAAGGCTTAGAGCTTTAATATTTGTTAAATGATATCATCTATAGGTCACTCTACCAAAGTTGTTCAAATTTTGCCTCTAGTGTCAAAATTAAAAGTGAACTTTGATATCAGCTGACCTAGATTTTGACAAAGTGTATTACATGTTGTCCTTTGATGCAGTCATGAAATTTAGGCTGTGTGAAATAGGACCTTCACCACCAAATTCACTAGACTCAAGTGCATTGATATATTCCTACTGTGATCTTTTATTGAGTTAACAATAAATTTAACCACTAATCTGATAATAAGAATTAGATAGGTCAGGGATCTATGCATTATGATAATCTTCAATTGTATAAAAACAAAAAAATCTGTTCCTACACTACCATTTAGTGTTGTATTAATGCGGTGGCATAGCATTTTTCTCAAATGCAATCTTGTTTTCCAGCTTTATTTCAATATGTTGCATATTTGTTTGCTTTTAATTATACTGATTGCCCACTTGAAGTATCCACCACAGGTTTATATAGAAAAATGTTTAAATGTGTTCTCATTAACCAAGGCATTTATCATCAATAAACTGATTTTGTAGCATTCTTAGGTTGTCCTTTGTCAAGTTTAAAGATATTCATTGTTTTTTCGTCTTCATATTTTTGTTCATGTAGTGGCAGATTGTTGTTGTTCAGTACACTATAAATATGTTCTATAACAAGTCAAATAATTGAACGTGTTGAATTATTTTGTACCAAATTGAAAAAACTTGAAACTTGTTTCTTTGCTTCTTAAAGGCATATCTCTAGCTCTACGGCTATTCCTAATTGAAATGTCCTGTTATATTTTATAGCTTAAAAAGTCAATTATTTTATCTAAAATAAGGCAAATATTTGTTTTTGTTGAAAACAAAGTTTGTCTACAATAACATTTTTCTGTAACTTTAGCTTTAAACTTTGAAGGTTTGGTAAATGAAATCAGTTATATGTAGTCATGGGAAAATCATTTTAGAAACATTTAAAAGTCTCTATTTCTATTATATTTTTAAAGTTTAAGGTAAACGTTTTTGTACCTGGGATATTTTTAAAATGTACTTGAATTTATGACATGTTGTGCATTTACTTTTAATTTTACTTGAAATCATCTCATGAGTCATTTTTATTCATGTCAGTTTTGCATATGAAGGAAAAAATATATACCTTACATTGCTTTGACGCTTATTTCTTTGTTCCTTTTCCCTCAGTTACCTCATCCCACTGACTAGTTATGAATGTTGAAGGAACTCAACTGAGGTTTTTGACAAGTATGGTCCGGAAATATTTGCGATTTGTGTAAGGTTGTGGGCCAAGTTTTCTATCATTTGTTACTCCATTTTTCCAGAAATATCATTATTATTATGCAAAAAGATCCCAATTTGAAAGCGTTTAAGCACGTAACTCAAAATGGGCTTATACATGGTTTCTGATTTAAAAGACTCGTTCGAATTTGAGTATATTTCTTTTTTATGTTTTACAAAATAAGTCAATCAATGTATGTAAAAGTTTCAAATTTTGTGTTTTTGGACTTCAATGGTGTTCCTTTACAAACATTCGTTTAAATCAAACATACCTTCATGATAGGCCTCTAAGACTTCATGGCTAATGTTGTCTACCAATAATTTACCACCATGTGTTTGAAACCTGCCAGGGACATTGAATTCTTTCATGCATTAAACCAGCTGGCCATTGGAAAATTAATTCTACTTGTTAAAAATGCCGATTATTACCAAAAAAAACCTAAGTGAACAGTTCACTGTTCCTAGTTTATGTTATAATGATAACTCTGATAATCAGTGTTAACAATGCATTTGTTAAATGAAGTAAAAAAAATAAGTGTACATTAGCCTATGGATGATTAAAAAAACTAGAGAAGTGCTTTTCCCCAAAAGGATAGCATATAGCCAATGCCATGTCGATCCATTTGTCTGTCTGTCGAGGTAAACATCCACTGATTAATGAGCTTATTTACGTCCATAATCTTAGTTGGAAAAGTGGGGAAAGTACATAAAGTTTGGTCATTTTTGACTAGTTTATCTTCTAAAGTCATGGAGGGTATTTAATATGTGTAATATGATACCAATGATTACAAGTTCACTCGTACAAGACAGTGTGATCCACATGAACCAAGTCAAGGTCAAACTTGAAGGCTTCTTCGGAGCAAAACTTCTACATGTATAAAATGATTTTAATATTATTTGGCACAAATGTAAACCATTGTGAGGGCGAGTGTCACACACAAAAGTCTGGTCCCTGTGGCCGAGGTCAAAGTTCAGATGATTGTGTGGGTATGGACAATTTATTAGTCATGAACTGAGTGATTATATGATGGAAAATGCTCACAAGCAGGAGACTGTCTTAACCAGAAAGGTGCAAGTCAATATTTACAAGGTCATCAGAGACAATAAAATCCCAATCATATCTTCTTCATGTATGACTGGATTTAAGTATTACAAGATACAAATGTTTGTACATATTAAGTACATGTATATTAATACCTTTACTTAAAATCTGGCAAGCCGTGTTTGAATTTATTTAATTCTATTGTGCCATAGAAGAATTTGGTACATTTTGATAAATTTCAAGAGATGTAAGAGACAGCCACTAGATGAGAGTGCACCTCATTTATAACACGTCAATAATACATCAAGAAAATCATATAAAGATCAGGGAATATGGATTTGTCAGATTGATGCTCAATAACTAGTTCATGTACTTATATTGAGAATTTATTAAAATAGAAGGACATTTTTACCATTCTCTTGAAATAGAATCGATTTGAAAATTTAGTCAAGTTGAATGAAATCATACTATCTTTCTTTATGAAGCTAATTTACAAAGTACATGTATATACATTTTTATTCTAGATTGAAACAGCATATTTATAATCAATAAAATAATTTTTTGTTTAAAGATGGGTTAACTATTTACATTTATTTCCATTTTCTGAAAAGCCCCTAACCTATATATGAGGGAATATACTATTAAGAAACTGACAAGTTATTTTGAGCAGACGACACATGTAAGTTCCGCCTCTCTGTCGTAAGGCGGCACAGGTAACTGTCCATCTACCTCCATAAAGAAAAAGCGAGCCCCATTCGAGTCCACACTTTGACCGTGAAGAACTTCTGGCTTACTGTCAACACAAATAGCGTCGATGGACCTCTTGTCATCTTTATGGCTTGACATCAAATACCCGGAATACTCCAGGGTCCAGCCCTCGTAACAGTATTGACGTGCAGGAAAGACTATAGTGGTGCTACGTCCTGTACCCTCGCAGACGACACATGGTACGTCATTATTCTGAATACTGTCGCCGAATATTTTTTCTAGATCTGCGTTAGAAGCATCATATTCGGCACCTCTCAAGTAGCTGTTAGAGCGACCGGACCTGAACTGTCCATACTGAGGAATTTGGGGAAGGCAAAGAACGCTGGCTGTTCCACCAGTGTTGCTATGCGAACTTCCGGCTGTGTAACCTGCAAAAATGAACGATGACATATAATAGCCTAAACCCAGTTAACCTTTATTGTACATCTAAAATGACTTAGTTATAAAATTAAATCTCTGGCTTTATTTGTATAAATTAACTGTAGCAGTATGTCAATGATATTCCTGCGGACAGTTACCTATAACGTTTATTCTTGAATTCTATTTCAGCGATAATCTATATTTCCGCAATATCCCAATAAACAATTTTACAAAATATATCCTTTGAAACGATCGCGGAAGATGAAAGAATGTACAAAAAAAAAAATTTTTTTGACTTGAACATCCATTGATTTTTGCTTGCACACGAAAACCTTTCGCATGGGTTTACATATGATATCTAGAGAAGCCGGATAGACCAATGCTCGGTGCGATTACTAACTGAAAAAAATCACTTTCATTTCTGCATGGTCACGTCTAGTTATTCTGTGGTTTTTAGAGTTCGTTATCAGACCTAGCCAACTATGTACTACATTGTATAACAAAAACGGAGTTCCTCCAAATTTTATACCATACCTGAATATATCTTTGATGATGTGTTCGTGCACTCTGTTCTGCCCCATCTTGTGTATACCGTTGTACCAACTGAAATGGGGAAAATGCGAATGATAGTAGTTAACATACATGTATATGGTGCCGTTTTTTCTAGTAATTAAAAAGTCTGTGTTTAAAGTAGAAAATGCTCATATTTTACTTAGTAGAACAAAAATAATTAAAATTAAGGCTTTTTATATTAAAAAAATGTTTTCATATTTATAGAATCATTTAAATCGCTAAATGATCATTGCAGTTAAAGGCACTTACGCTTCACTATCTCCGGCTGTGTTGTTGTTCCTTCTGTTTGTTTAGAAGTTACAGTTGTCGTACTTGGTTCCAGGGACGATACGGTCTGTCCACTTTTCTCATGGTTTCCAGTTTGACCTTGAGCTAGATATCCATCAGGCATAGTGAAATGACACTCGCAGTTTTTATCTGTGGTTTCCTTAATAAACATCCCAACCCCCGCGCCGACTGCGCCTAACACAACTATCACAAGGAACACAGCTAAACAAGTCCTTGTATTAACGCTGTCATGGCAACAACTACAGCTGGAACTATTATTGTTTCTAGCTAAAACATGGTCGTTCCCACATCTACTTAGTTCCTCAAGTCTGTAAGTTTCGTAAGTATCTGCGCTCCTTTCTTTGATCGCAGTAATGTCTTGATATATATTGTCACCACCCATTGCCATGGTTACTTATGTAATATTGAACTCTATATTTCCATGTACAAATAACAGACAAGTTTTAAAACAAATACACAGCTTTGAAACTTTAATAATTAACTTTAAACAAATGCAGGTTGATGTATTCTCTTTATGATGGTCAAAATCTGAATAATGCCCGGAAGGTATTAGTCGCACAATAATATGACTTTCCTCTTCCTTATTTGTGTCTTCCTTGGCTTAAACTGAAAATACTGTTTCCTCGACAACCATTCTATAATGTCATACATTCAGAAGCGATCAATTCTTAAACTTGTGGAACGGTGAGTGCAACATGTCAACAATGAGAAAACATGGTAAACAGGACGCAAATTAATAACCGTCAACGCCTTATTTTGTTTATGTCGCTTAAGTGACTGTTTCCTATATCAGATATTTCCTTCTGATTACTAGGCAGTAACCAATCATTCAGTTCAAAATATTAAAAGGTGGCTCTTTACTTTAACGTAAATATTACGCGCGTCATAAAAATTATGTAACGCCAATGGAAACCAATTTTAGGAATAGATTTTCGATATCTAAAATAGCCAGAGTTAAGTAAGCCACAGCACCTGGAAATAAATATAATAAGCATAATGTTTCTGGCAACGTCCGTCATGGGATAGTATTTCCCATAGCTGAACATCATAAAGGTTATTGATAATACTGTTTTGTCTTTTTGTTTTGTGCCTGCATGGACATGTATTTTTCTTGCAATTTTCAACTTGGAAAACATCAATAACTATTTACAAATAACTGTCCCGCTTAAATAAAAACCCTTAAAAAAACTAAAAAAAAGTAAAAAAAAGTTTTTGAATAAAGCAAAATTTTTTTTTTTATTCAGGGACGTCATGTGAAAAAAAATGATGTTTTTGGTCGTTAAAAAGTTTAAAAATCATCATTTGTTACGGGTTTCCCTGACACGTTGTTGCGTTTTTGATTTTGACGCAAGAATGTCTTTAAGTGCGGGAGAAAATTAAATTTTTGGATTAATTTTGGCTGCATTAGGAAATCGGCGAAAGGAACATTTGCAATGTTTTCATAGGGTAAGGGGGAAAAAAAATGTTTGTCGTACGTTAGTGATTAGGTGGGAAAAAGTTTTTTGTGGGAAACCACATTTAATTTACGAACTAGGGCCGGTAGAAAAAAGTCCCTTTAAAAGGGCAACTTGGAAAATAATACTCTAAATGATAATTAACATTCCAGATAGATAGTAAATTTTATTTTCCTATGTTTTAGATAATTGTTTTTTAAAAGTTATTTTTATCAGTATCAAAAAGGGCAAAAAATATAATACTGGCCCCCTTTTCACGGCGGGCAAATTTGGGCTTTTTCAGGGTCCTATTGTGTGTTTTGGTGTCGTCCAGTCATTTGGGTCAACTCGGTTACTGTTTTTATTATTAAAAGTAATAAAAACTCATTCTTTAATATTAAAAAATTTGTAAGGCATCAAGGCAAATAGACGTATGGGAAAATATGTACACCGGGCCATTAAAAACATGTTTATAATTTCAAATAACCGATTCGTTATTATGGTATGTTGGTAAGTTTGCAATAGGACTTTAAAAAAGAAATATTTAACAATTTTTTGTTTATTTTTTTAAATTTGGGTTTTTTTGATTGCTAATTTTTCTATTCAAGTATAGCGGGATCGCGAGGATGAGGCCGCGGGTGGTGATGTAAAAATTGTTTTCCATCTATTTTACGGTAGCTTTTATTACAACACTAATTGGGTTTAAAAAAAAAGTTGGAAGTAAAAACTGAATATATTAGAAATACACTGTTTAGTCAACTACTGTGACCTTGATCTTTGACATATGTGCCTGAAGACCTGGGTCTTTCACGTACATTGTACATATTGACTTCTTATGGTGGCCATGTGAACCAATTTATTTTGAAATTATGCGGAAGAACTGGGAATGAAGTACATTTGTAAATAGTTTTTTCCGAACACAACACGCACACTGTTGATATGTATAAAACAGTTCAGAGAAGATTTTGTCTATCAAATTGAAACTTTTTTCTCTTTTTTGCATTCATTGTTATATAATCAGATACAACAGTCAATTCTTATTTACTGTTATAAAACACTTAGTTTGGCTATGATTGTAATCAAATACATGTAAAAAGTATTGAATTGTTTGAATTTATCAGTATCTAAATAAAAAACTAAATAGCATATGGTGAACAAATTAAAATACACATATTCAAAATCTTTGAATTATTTGAGTAAGGAGTATAAAAATCAGGCCAGTCTAACAGCTGGCTGTTAAATCCATTATTTTAGAATTTTCATACTAACATGAAACAACTTCAACTCTACAACAGCACAAGTTCAATATACATATTTTATTTATCAAGGTAATAAACATTGACAACATAAAGTTAGACATACACAATCATGTATACAACATTTAGTTTATCTAAACCTACCAGCAGGGTCTTTCTATCTAAACCCTGCTGGCAGTAAGTACATTGTATTAGGGCTTTTTCACAAGTTGAATAAGTGCCCCATCTCTTATATTTGTGGGGAAATAACAGTATGGTTGCAAAAAATGGAAGAAAAAAACTTGATGTAGGTTTTTCTCACAGGTTTGGGAAGCAACCTGCATAAAACTACAGGATTTTAAAGAGTTTTTCTTTGAGGAAGCCACACTGAAACAGCCCCTTCTATAGAAGGAAAAATAAAACCTGTGATGTAATTAAATTTTAGGGGAAAACTACAGGATTTTAAGGAAATTTCCTGATGGGAAGCAGCACTTTAAAAGCCTCTAATAAAGAAGAAAAAAGCCCTGTACTGCAAGACATACAAATTTCTGAGACATTTGAGTTTCATGTCAGGTTATTTTTTTATAAAAATAAATAAATGTATACTGATCAAACTATAGATTACATCCAAAATTTGCTAATATAAGAAATCAGTGACTAGATTCTATATAAAGTCTTTCATTAATCCTGAATTTTCTCTCTCAATCTCTATAAATAAGTACAAAATTCTTCATGTACATTTCAATTTTTTAAACATGTATACAGTATAATCTTACCATACTCATATATTTAAATATGTAAATATCAATGTCAACATACACTTTACCATGGTAACAATTAAAAAGAATATAAATTATATAAACCACAGTCAACCTAATCAGCATTCATCATGTCATGGTCTCTTGATGTTTAAAGTTCAGCTGTCAACATGTCCATTTTAAATTCATCAAAAATCCTTCACTGCTCAGCAGAATCGGAGGTCAGAATTTCCAAAGAAATATATCATAGTGTTAATAAGAGATCTCTACAGTTCAAATGAGTAATCTTCACTATGCCTAGGGAAGGGCTTCTTGTGTTTTTAGTCACACAAAGTTTTTTTATTCTCAATTCTGATGAATCAGGTCTTTCACATCACTCAGATTTCTAAAGTTTGACATAGTGTATAGTTTCCCCACAAACTAAGTCTATTTAAGATCATTTCTGAACAATGCTGAATCAGCTGTTTCACATCATTCTGTTTTATCGAGGTTATCTGGATTGGTGAATTTAGTTGTACACACATAGAATAAGACAGGGAAAAAGACAAGTAACAGTAGTGGAACATGAAAGTCTGGTTGCTTTAGTTCTGTAAGGGAGATAATTCCGTAACAATGCAGGATCCAGTGACCAATCATTATTGTAAGATTCCGCATGTTCTTGAAGTTTTCCTCCAGTAGATCTGTGAATCCCTGTAATATATAAATGTTATCTTTTTTGAATTTCAGCATACAAAATGACTTGCTTGTTAATATGTCATGGTGATATTTGCCTATATTGCAGGATTCTAAGCATATATATGTATATGTATGTTAAATATTACAAAATCTATTTTCAGCTTTTATGTAACACTAGATTCTTTCAAATATAGTTTACAAAAAGACTGAAACCATTATGTTAACCTTAAATAAAATAATAAGTGGTATTTTTAAGAACAGCCATGAATTATGACACTCTGTTATCTATTGATAACTAATAGAGCTATGGTGAAACTTCAACAGAAATACGCTACATCAAATTGTGAACTATAAAGCCAATCAACATGGCATGACAAAGGTTAAAGTTGTCATTACAGAGAGACCGATGAGACAGAAAACAATATCCCCCACCCTCCACCACTGGTCCATATATGATAGCATACTAACTGATGATTTGTGAAAAATTAGCAGTTTTCAAACTGATTCTTTTAGTTCTAAAAAAAGGGTTTACAAAGCAAGATAATTATACCTGTTGTATGCCTTGTGCCATGTGTATAGCACTGGTTACTAATGACGATATTATCATGATGTATGGATATGAATAATCTGAAACAAAATAAATATGTCACGTTATACTCATTGTTCATTTTACAGTTACACTAAAAGTTCTTTAAAAAAATTAATATCTAAACTAGATAGAATTTTTTTAATTTTAATATCTGACCTAGATAGAATGATTTTATTCATTAATGAATTTCTTGCTGTAATTTGTTTTAGGACAAGAATACAATCAAGGGAGCACATGGCTTGAAAACTGAAGGATATTAATTTATATCAAATGACAGCAAATATTCGTATTTTGCCGAACACTTCAGACTTGATAGCTTTGTGGGTTCAAACTCCTTCAGGGGAAATTCCTTGAGCAATAAACTTTACATTCATTGCTCAGTACTAGTTGGTTCCAGGTAAGGCTCCCATGGTTACACGTTTAAACGGATTCGTTTCGATTTTCATTCATAAACGTTTACGATATTGTTTACCGTTTAATCGAAATGACAATATTATCTTACAGATATCTTGATCATTGCCTGTAACCATGGATTTTATCAATTCTATTTGGTTTATTCCAAAGTCAAAAACAGAAAATGGGTGTTTACAACCTTCCACACAGCATTACTTTGCAATAAACGCTCGTGACATAATACATGTTTGATTTTTCTTTGATCTTTCAAAAGAGAGAAATGGGGATTCAATGCAGAAAATGTGTGCCGACACAAATGTGATGACCCTTGAACATTATTTATTTGTTTGTTTTGTACATGTGTTAAAAATAGAAAGTAAGTCATCATCTGGCGACTCAAATACATGATGTAGTATAGTACATAGAAGTACCGTTGTTTAAATGGTATCGTTTCGGTTCTTACCAATGGTGTAAATGTTTACAAAAAATTGTAAACATGGGAGCCTTAGTTCCAGGAACAGTTTTTGGGTTCTTCCTACAAAATCAAACTAAAATAAAATCTGTCATAACTAAATAATGTATTCAATACTTACAGAGAAGTCCCCCAAACACTGCCTGCAGTACTATTAAGATGGGTATAAAGTATAGGGCAGCATATATTGACTTTGTACCAAGACTTTCAACAAACTTGATGCTGATTAGTGGACGTAATGCCATCATGAACAGCAGGCATAGAGCATAATATACCATAACTATTGTATACCTGGAAAAACAATGCAGACAATATAAACAGCTTGACAAATGCTTTAAAATATGCTTCTTCAATACAATGTACTGCAGTGTTAATAACAAGACCTAACTTTAAAAATCATATATAAATGCAGTTATTATAAAAAAAATTACATGTACATGTTAAGACCATTTCTAAACACAAAAGGGCTGTTTAAATGTCAGATGTCTTTTATTTCTTGTACTACAGACTAAAAAAACCATTCCACAATAATCAACATGATAAAATGGCCATGCATGAACCATGTGGGACGAAAAGATAATAAAGCACTATCTTCAGTTGACTGTCCAACTTATATTACTGGTATGTCCCAGATATAAATCAAGAATATCACAAATATTAAGACACATCTTTTATGTCAAAATTCAGTTTAAAAAAATATCAATCATGCCAAAACCGATGAATCTGTATCAACAGCCATATAAAAAAGTTACTTAATATTCAAAGAAAGCACATTAATTCTAATAAAGATAACTTACAGAGGGTACACAATTTCCTGTGTACAGTGGAATGTTGTGGTGTAATTAGGAGATGGATTATACAGCATAGAGTACCAATCCTCCAACCGATCTACCGGACATGACCGGATCATAAGTGAACCAACTGGATCAGTCAGTAACACAGTGAGTAATGCTGCTATCACACTTTCAGCAAGGGCAGATAAATGTAACACCACAAGAGACCTAGTAATATAACAAGAATTACTGATTTCTCGTGAATAAATTCAATATACATTTCACCTATAACATTATTGTATGTAAATCAACTGAATACACCAACATAAACCTACTTAACACAATTAAATGCTGCGGAAAATACTGCAAAACAAGAAATCATACACAATTAAATGCTCATGAACATACTGCAAAACAAGAAATCATACACAATTAAATGCTCATGAACATACTGCAAAACAAGAAATCATAAAGCTTGTGAGATAATTTTTTCTATAAGTAAATCTGCTTACATTTGTATTTATTCATAACCAATTTTTTTAAGTACACGTAATTAACATTCATCTTTCTCTTTCTTGTATAGTCTCTATACAATGTATATACATTCTGCTTGCACTTTAATGAAAGAACTTAATGACAAAAATACAATCTACAGCTTACTTTTTGTTTTGGTTTGTGTAGTCAATGAAGAAGAAGTGCAGCAACAAAGACAAGAGTGCCATAAAACCCAAATACAGCCAGTCATACAAGGTTGGATTACTGGTACATTCACTGCATATAGAGTTGTATTCTGGCTGATAACCTCTTGGACAAGCCTGCAATCAAAATTATATACAATAACACCTATCTTTACAATAAATATAAGGTGTCTGAAGATATGTAAAGGCATTGAAAGCACTTAAAGAAATAAACATACAAAAATTTATGTAATTTATATTCTGAATTTCCTAAAACATATTTTTTTATAAATTGATATTATATTATATACATTGTATAATAAATATAACTTAATAAGATCTTATGTGATCATTAAATTTTGTTCTAAATTTTGTTGAATATACAGAAGAGGTAACAAGCAAACTTGTCAACCCCAGTAATTTAAAAATCTTACAAGGAAAAGGGGTTCTTTAAATAATTGTTTTTCCCCATTAAACAATATGCATACACAAACATTACATATAACTGACGTCACATATTACAATTTTAATGAACCATATAATTTGATGCATATATTGAATTAAAATGAAATAAAGTTTGATAAAAAACTGAATCGCTATTACAAGTACATGTACATGTATATCAGGGTTTTAATGAGAAATTTTAAGGTATCTAGCCAAACTTTTGGAGCCTAAATGTATTTTCTGATGGATTTGTAAACAGTTTAGTATATTCCATTGTCTTTCAAAATGAGCGTAGTGTGTTTTTGAAGAAGAGCATTAATATGAAAATACATGTACATGTATTTTCAATGAAAGCACTTCAAGCGGTGACAATATAAATTGAAATTATCATATAGCAGCAAGCTATTTAACCTTTATGAAAGATCACAAACCCTCTTTGAAGAAATTTATAGTCTAATTAATAATCTGAATAGAATGGCATAAAGAAATCATATAAATTAAACAAAACCTGAAATTGCAATTTGTCAAATATGTATGAAAATGTAAACATCTATTGTTTGTTTGGTTTTCTATGCTGATTTTAACACATGTTTTAGTGGTATCTCGACAGTCCATCCACCTAATCAACTTTTCTAGATAACTAACCAGAAATTACCAATTTCTCTGCATATGGCAATACCACATGTTTCCAAATTAGCAGGGAAACAAATGACCATTAGACTCAATGTCTGAGATCTATTGTCATTGAGAAATTTTGCCTCACTCCAGCCAAAGTCAAGATTCTTCTAACCAAATAAGAAAATATGGCAATATCAGTCAAGAAATAAAGCTGTATGAGGAAAAGTGTAAATATCTATTTTTATCACAAGTGACCTTTACCTCAGTAACTCCCCACAAAGATAAAGGATCACACAAGGTATATTCCTAGTTCCTACAAATGTAAAAAGGATTTCCTGGCTACCCAAAACTGTTTTCATGCTTAAGTGTGAACTTTATGAGAAAATGATTTAAAATGTGAAATTCAGTTTTAAAATACGTGCATATTATACATTGATACTGGGAAAAAAAAAATTTTTTCACAAAGAAAAAGTTTGATTTTAAAATTTTAGTAAGTGAGTTTATTAATAATTTTATAAAAATTATTAAATTAAACCCCCCAGCCCGATTTCCCAGGGGGCCCAAATTCCCTTTTTCCCCCAAAATAATAAGCCTGGACATTCAGTTGGTTGGTAAACTGGAAGAAATAAAATCATATATACTGTAGATATTCATTTTTTTACAAGATGAAAAAATATATTCTAAACTTAAACATTGACAAAGCACAATTTTTTAAAATATCTGTGGTTACTGTGTTACAGTGCATTTTTTTCTCACCTTTATTGGGAAAATGCCTAAAAAGCCTCTTTGTATTTGGGAAGAATTATCGCTAAAAATGGCTGTAACTCGGGCAAGTAAAGAAGCAGGTGTTTAAGCCGGAACCGGAGTTTTTGGGGCTTTTGGGAACACTGCATGACTTTTGCTAAAGAAAATTCCTAATATGGAAAGAAAGGGCCTTTTATAGGATATCTGTTATATAATGTGAAAAATCAACATGTGTCATTTAAATTTATTTATTCCCTTGCAAATGTTTAAAACAAAAACACATTATTTTTGTTCATTTGATATGATTATTTTTTTAATTTTTGTTTCAAAACAGTATTTTCATTGTTCTTTTTCACAAAGAATGCAAATTAAAAAACATATAAGGAAACGGGTCGTGCCCAATTTTTCAAACCAAGGCAGGAAACTACATGAAATAGAAATTAAATGAATTGTCTGGCTTTTACAGGCTTCATGATGACTGAAGGGAAACTGTTTAACAAAGAACAGAATTTCAATTGGATATCAAAATTTTTAATACATTTATAAATGATGAATCAATACATGGTGTTATTTTCCATTACACACCATATATACAATGTAGGCCTCTTGGTAACAAGCATGGCTCCCATGTCTATTTTTAGTTTACATGTTTTGGGGTTTTTCCCAATATCCCTTTCCCTTGCTAATTAAAAAAGTTTTTTGGTTCCCTTTCTGATTATTTAAGGATTAAAAAAATTTAATTTATTTTAAAATTTTTAAACACAATGGGCAGGGAAAACTGTGCTCCTCTTTGTTCACGGTTTCTTTGATACCCAAAAAAGGGAAAAAAAACACATGAAAAATTATGGTACAAAATTTGAAAAAGTGTCCCTAGGACACGGATGCCCCCCCATGCCACTGTTCTGTCAAACTTATGACTCTAAAGGGCAAATTTTTTTGGACTTTCATTTTCCCAAATTTTAAAAAAAATCAAAAAAGGGCCATAATTCTGTTTAAAATTTTGGGCGCAGCAAAAAATTCCTTCCTTTACTACTATCTAACACATTAAGGTTGTTCATCCCCTGGAAGTTTAAGCAAAATCTTTGGCCATCCGCGTTTAAGAGGAGTTGCGTTCACAAAATTTCTACAGAGTATATAGTGAAAAATCAACAAAGGGCCATAATTCTGTTAAATTTAGTTGCAGCAAAAATTCCTTCCTTAGCTACTATCTACACATTAACGTTGTTCATCCCTGGAAGTTTAAGCAAAAATCTGCCATCCGGTTTAAGAGGAGTTGCGTTCACAAAATTTCTACATTTAGTATATAGTGAAAAAATCAACAAAGGGCCATAATTCTGTTAAATTTGGTCGCAGCAAAAATTCCTTCCTTTACTACCATCTACACATTAAGGTTGTTTCATCCCTGTGGAAGTTTAAGCAAAATCTGCCATCCGGTTTAAGAGGAGTTGCGTTCACAAAATTTCTACATAGTATATAGTGAAAAAATCAATCAACAAAGGGCCATAATTTCTGTTAAATTTGGTCGCAGCAAAAATTCCTTCCTTTACTACCATCTACACATTGAGGTTGTTCATCCCTGGAAGTTTAAGCAAAATCTGCCATCCGGTTTTAAGAGGAGTTGCGTTCACAAAATTTCTACATAGTATATAGTGAAAAAATCAACAAAGGGCCATAATTCTGTTAAATTTGGTTGGCAGCAAAAATTCCTTCCTTTACTACCCATCTAACACATTGAGGTTGTTCCATTCCCTGGAAGTTTAAGCAAAATCTGCCATCCGGTTTAAGAGGAGTTGTGGTTCACAAAATTTCTACATAGTATATAGTGAAAAAATCAACAAAGGGCCATAATTCTGTTAAATTTGGTCGCAGCAAAAATCCTTCCTTTACTACCATCTACACATTAAGGTTGTTCATCCCTGGAAGTTTAAGCAAAATCTGCCATCCGGTTTAAGAGCGGACACTCGGACGGACAAGTGCAACGCTATATGCTCCCACTCTGTGGGGGCATAAAAATTGTCATAAGCTGTAACATATAGGTATTTTCTGCTGTATGACACAAGGAAACAACAATATATTCAGTCAAAATCAGCTTAATTAAATTGGCCAGACTTAGACCATATGTCGGCCATTTTGAAAATAGTATGTCATCATTTAAATGACGGTAATGGTGCTTTATTTCAGGTTTTTCATGTTTCAGTTAAAATTTCTACATGTTATATTGCTTAATTTTAAATGTTAAAACAATCTTTACTTTGTAACTCAAAAATTATTTTTTAAAACTTTCAGACGTACGCACAAATTTAACAAACTGTTGAGTATTGTTGTTTTTTGCTGAAGTTTGTAAAATTTGTTTTGTTTTACATCAAAATCTACAGATTTAAAATATTTTGCACAAAAACCTTTGTTGTTTAGGTGTTTGAATGTTCTGGCTAATTTTAACACTGGTCACATGAAAATATGCCATTACCGTAAAATAAGTGATGACGCGGACATGTTCAGTATAAAATACTATAAGTTGAGTTGTCTACATGATTTTTTCCTCTTATCATGTTGTACTTTGAAGACTCATTTTTATGGTCAAAATGTTAAATTTTGTGTTTGATAAAATAACGTTAATGTGTATTAAGAACCCAAAATCAATTGGGTAAAATTCCATTCATTTTTTAATTTATAGTTTTAGATAAAAGTTACAGCAAAAACATCATAATTTGTCTGGTTAAATCACAGGTACTTGAAACAAACTATTTTTAATGTTCTATATAGGCTATATACTGTAATAAGTCTTACTATAGTATATAGCCTATACAAGATTAGCTTTTAAACAAAGCTAGAAGTGACTCGCTTCGTAATTTTTTTCCAGGGGTGTGTTTAAATGTACCAAGAGCTGTCGGTAGGACAGCAACGCTCGACTATTCTTAGTGCTTGATAGTAAAAAAAGCCTTGATTAAAAGGTCAAATTTTCTAAGTAAAGAAAAAGGCAAATTTTTTCTTTAAATCCATATTACAGTTATAGGCTTCGGAGAGAGTCTTATTATGCTCTCAAAGAAAAGTATAAAATTTCAACATGTTTCAAAGCCTTATGTCAATGAATTTTGAAAATATTTGAGGTATTACAAAAACTTTAACGTAAATTCTAAGTCGAAAAAGGGGCATAATTCTGTCAAAATGCTTGATAGAGTTACCTTCTCCTGTCTACAGGTTGGGGTAATGATGATGAACAAGTGTGCAAAGTTTCAAAGCCATATGTCAATGGACTTTGAAAATATTAAAACTATTACAAAAACTTTAACATAAGTGGTTACGCTGACGCAGACGCCGACGCTCGGGTGACTACAATAGCTCTACTTATTCTTATCGAATAGTCGAGCTAAAAATGACAGTTCTGTTAGCTGAAGAGACTTCAGCGAACATGAAAAAAAAAGGGACTTTAAAAAGTTAGGAACCAGTTCTTCAGTTTATAAAAGGGGAAATGAGTATATAGAAGTGCTGTAAACAATAGAATGAAGTCCCTATGTCTATGCACATTTACTATTTGGCCTGTTGACCTTGACCAAAAAAATGTTAGAATAGGTAGAATTCATAAAGATGTCTCTTTATACGAAGTTAAGTTGTAATATGTTATTTAAGAAATAACATCTGCCTGAGAGGTGTATATCGGCTATTTAACACCGGTTTGGAATTTTGATGCGTAGGAATTGACAAAGAAAACGACAAAACCGGTGTTAAATAGCCGATATACACCTCTCAGGCCGATGTTATTTCGATTCTAACACGATAAAATAAGAAAAATCACTAATGTTATTTTTCAAGCTGAAATAACTTCCGGTGCCGATTTTCCTATAACGGAATAAACGCTGTTCGATTTTCGCACCCTACTGTTGCGAAGATATAGAAATTATTAAGCAAAAGAAATAATAAGAAAAAAACGTTATTTTATAAAGTTTTCAACAATAAAAACTTACGTCGTATTGTGTTTACATCAGGGCCCCATTTATCATTCTTGTATGTATGAAATAAGTCAGCTTGTTTTATGAATGAGTTGTTTACTTTAGGATGAACGTCATTACGCTGCTTAGCGGATTGGCGCCGTTTTTGTCAAAAATATTTATTAACTGATATGGGTCATATATGTGGCGTTAGTGTATATGAGATATTATTTTGGTATTGTATGAAAAGAAAACATTATAGGAACTGAAAATAAAAATAAAAATTCTTTTTATTGTTGCTTTAAAATGCTTTGTAAACTATACAATCGAGGGTGAAAACATAACAGCGCATATACAAGTACTAGTCCCTTACCGGTGTTTATTGGCAGTTTAACACCAGTTTTTTTCCTTCTTTGTCTATGGTGACAAAATCACATGAGTGTTAGAATTAGTATTGGAATGAGTGACAGACACATGTCCTTTACAGGAATATATTACTGAAGAACTCTCTTGGGTGTGGGCTAATTTAGATTCATGGGGCATGATTACCATTTGATTTGTACAAGTTCTCAAGGCATTGGTACATATTCAATATTAAAGCTGGAGGCATTGAAGTTTATATCAATAAGACTTTTTTAAAAACATATTTTCCCTAAGCATTTTAATAAAAATTATGTCCACTTCATCTTGGTATGTGAAACATTTTAAACAAATGGATATGATGTAGATACATGAGTGGTCAACAAGGCAATACCACATGCCAAAAATTTAAGGTTTAGGCATTTATAAGTATAAAGGTGTGCGTAATGTGTTTCTATATAATGTGTCCTTGACCTATGTGTGTAGACAATATGAACAACTAATGAAAGAGGACTCCTGTGTGTGGTTAATGTGCAGTTCTTTGGTTTCATAGATATCATTTAAAGCAGAGAAACTAATTTACACCATTAGGGACAAAACGATTGAAATAGGGATCCCAATTCCTGTTTATGCTCACCAGAGCACAACTTGCTCATAGTGAGCATAAAAGGGAATTATATTTGTAAGAGGGCTTGGCGTATAATGATCATCTTCCTGTACAAAGATTCAACTACAATAATCAACACAAATATAGTTCTATTCCTTTTTCCCTATATATCTAACACTATCCCGGGATCCCGGGCCGTCCTCCGGATCCCCGGGATTTCCCCCCCACCGGGAAAGGATAAAACCAGAAAGGATAAAATGACTGGTAAAAAGAAAAAGAAAAAAAATGCACAGAACCAGATGTACACTTATGTTTAATTAACCAAACGAAAAACTTGACTACAAATGAAACAGGTGAAATCGCTAAAAATCAAAAAGAAGCAGTGTAAAAATGATTTATTGCAAAGAATTCATAAAAACAAACATTTTAATCATCATTATATCTTTGCGCTCAAAGCAATACTTGCTGCTTTTTTAAAATGGCGTGAAAATTGAAGGTTTTTTGACGCTATGTAAGAGAAAGCTGGAAGCCAAGCTTTGTGAAATTTTTGGATGGATTCGGAGTTTTAGATTGTTTCTCAGTAAAATCCTTACGTAATACCGGCTCGCCGCATAAAACATTAAAAAAGTTTGTTTCAAGTACCTGTGGGTAAAATGAAGGATACCCGCAAACGACAGTATAAATAAGACTTTAATTTGTGATATTTATACTTCTGGGCAAAGCAAATGGGCTTGCCAGGATATTAATTAGAATAACAAGCCCATATGTCTAATATTTTGTATGAAATACCCGAATTATTGTTGTATCCGGTTATTATACAAGTACTTAGAACTCGTTTAGATTCTTCTTACCCTTTTCAGCAAAAGTTATTCCAGTGATGCAAGATAAAAGAATGGATCTCCAGACCATCATGCCTGTGATAATTTTTAAAACTAGTTCTAGTTGTTATATGATCTCATAAATAATGGCTTAAAATTGGAAAATAAAAAAAAATCTTGGTTACACGAACGCTTGTATTTTTGATCGATTAATGAGTCAGATTTAAAAAGGGACTTTACTCTTTTGCCAAAGCAGACGCTTACAAGTGTCAAAATGAAAGTATTAGCTTTAATTATTTTTGTTACATTTTCCCTCTGTTTGTTGGCATTTGTTTCTTATACAGTTCAAAATGACATTGAAGATAGGAGAGGAACATATATTTCATATAAAAACATTGCTCTTGGAAAGGGATTTGAAAGGCTATTTTGGTTTGTTCAGGTAAACATGTGATATCAGCATTACAATGCCAATGATTGAAGCATCACAGATTGTTAATATTTTTTGTATAAATTGATATTCTTAACCAAAATATGTATGTTTTTTTTATAAAGAATAGTTTAATTTGGTTCATTTTTTGCATATTTTGTGAAGCTGAAGATTATGATATTGCATCAGATTTTTTTCTCAATTTGGAAATGACTAATATTGTGCTGATATTATTCTAACATTTATACAATGGACTGTGAACCTTTGCGGTGAAAATCAAAGTGCTGCAAGGAGAGCAAGCACAATGTTCAGTTATATATGAATCTAATAAAATTGACTTGTCTTGACTTGACTGTGTTAACAATGTTGATAGGCAGTGTGAAACAAAATTATAGTTTTTAATTTATACATGTACATGGCACCAGTTTAGCCTAATTAATAAAGTGTGAACAGTTTGTGCCTTGGAAAAAGACATCTTATCAAATACATAAACTTTGAAATAGGTCACACAATATTCACTTACTGTTTCCATTACAATCATTTCAGGTGACAGACATCCATGTAAGTCGTTACAGAGGCCTTGATAGAGCACCAGAGTTGAAGAAATTCTGTGATACTCATTTAGCTTTAATTAAACCAAAGTTTGTTATAGCCAGTGGTGAGAATTTCTACTTGTATATTTTTAATTTAATTTCCGAATTTTAACATATATGGTACAAAATCACAATTATTTTTCACCCCCACATGACAAGGGATACAGGGATACAAGGGCATATCTAAATTTTAAAGTTCAGTTACAAATTTGAAGCTATTAATAAGTTGTGCTGTTCTTACAGTATGGATCTTTTTAATGATATATATTATAAAATAATATTAGCAACAATATGGTGAGTGAATTCTTATCTCTTACAAGTTAAAAAAAATTAGCAGTATTTACTATTTATTTACATTTGTATCTTGTTGCTATGTCATTAATTTCCATAGCAAGGCTTATTGGTTCATTTGTTAAAACATACAAATTATCATCGTATATTGATACTATTACAATGCTTAAAGTTTCATTTAACTTTATAAAATGGTTTAATGTTTTAGGTGATTTGACTGATGCTAAGTTCAATGATTTGAAGGGTTCTAAGCAGTTTATAGATGAGTGGCAGACCTATCATAATACTATTAAACATTGTCAGGATATTGTCAACGTTTGGCTGGACCTACGAGGAAACCATGGTAATTATCTGCCATTTATGGTGATTTTACAAAATTTTATACATTGTACATGTAGAGATCCATGTTAAGATACAATTTCTTGTTTACTTTATTATCAATTAGATATTCAAAATTAATTCAAGTACATGTAAGTTGCTTTCTCATTATAACTGTTGGTTATATTCTTTTTATTGCAGATGCATTTGACACACCTGATTTAGATCACAGGGACAACTTATTTAGGTAAATAATATATAAAATATTTAAAAAAGTGATAAAAATAAATCAGTTCAATAATATGTATTAACTTACATGGTAACTATGTATGAGTATTTGAAACAATTTTTTTCATGTTTTATTAATAATATTTCTATTTTAGAACATTTAGAAATAGATATGTTCTTGTCCAGCCATCCTGCTGTCACATTGTCCACTGGCATCTGTTTCCCATGGACACATTTTTAGTTATCCTTCAATACCAACTGAAATATTTTGATTGCATTGATATTTTGTCTTTATAGAAATCAGAATTATAACGCCATTTAGTGCTTAAAATTTTGCTGGAATATGGTGTTTTATTATTTTAGATTTTTTCAAAGTCATCATATTATACTTAAACATGGCTAAATGTTTTCACTTATCACATATTTTTGCAGTTAAAGTTTTATGATAATTTTTAACCCATATCAATCTTATCTGTATATTCAGGCAATATTCATCCCAGGGAAAGGACCATAGTAGCTCATACATATACCACCACACAGAGACATTTGGCAAATACTCAATAGTTGCTGTAGATGCTAGCCCTAATCCTGGTCCTAAACGCCCCTTCAACTTTTTTGGTTATATAAAATCTGTAAGTTTATCTAACCATTATTGCTGGTAATCAGAAACCTTTTGTTAATTGGTATTGAATTATAACCAGGGTAAACAGATACATATAATGATATACTAACAAGTTAATCCACACAATAAGAAAAGTACAAGAAAAAAAATTGTATTTTGGCACTAATTATACACTTATTAACATCTTAATGGCATTATTACAAATCAAGAAAAAATAAGTTTTTAGTATCAATTTTGAAGGATATTTTTTATTTATCTAAATACTTGGAAATCCACTAGCCTGTTAATGTAGATTTGTAAGAATATGTGTTAATTTATCTAAGAATTTAGATAAGATAATATGATTAACCATAGTATCATTTTGAAAAGCTTAGGCTACATACATTTTAACATTAGTATTGCATTTGAAAAGTGGACATACAATATCCTGTGCTGTTTGATTCTTAATGAAGCTTTGCTTGTGCCTGTTGTACTGTAAATAGAACAAAAGTGATTAACTATATTGTAGGAAGGTGAGATGATGATAGATTTTTAGCTCGACTATTCGATAAGAATAAGTAGAGCTATTGCAGTCACCCGAGCGTCGGCGTCGGCGTAACCACTTATGTTAAAGTTTTTGTAATAGTTCAAATATTTTCAAAGTCCATTGACATATGGCTTTGAAACTTTGCACACTTGTTCACCATCATGACCCCAACCTGTAGACAGGAGGAGGTAACTCTATCAAGCATTTTGACAGAATTATGCCCCTTTTTCGACTTAGAATTTACGTTAAAGTTTTTGTAATAGTTCAAATATTTTCAAAGTCCATTGACATATGGCTTTGAAACTTTGCACACTTGTTCACCATCATGACCCAACCTGTAGACAGGAGGAGGCAACTCTATCAAGTATTTTGACAGAATTATGCCCCTTTTTCGACTTAGAATTTACGTTAAAGTTTTTGTAATAGTTCAAATATTTTCAAAGTCCATTGACATATGGCTTTGAAACTTTGCACACTTGTTCACCATCATGACCCCAATCTGTAGACAGGAGGAGGTAACTCTATCAAGCATTTTGACAGAATTATGCCCCTTTTTCGACTTAGAATTTACGTTAAAGTTTTTGTAATAGTTCAAATATTTTCAAAGTCCATTGACATATGGCTTTGAAACTTTGCACACTTGTTCACCATCATGACCCCAACCTGTAGACAGGAGGAGCTAACTCTATCAAGCATTTTGACAGAATTATGCCCCTTTTTCGACTTAGAATTTACGTTAAAGTTTTTGTAATAGTTCAAATATTTTCAAAGTCCATAGACATATGGCTTTGAAACTTTGCACACTTGTTCAACATCATGACCCCAACCTGTAGACAGCAGGTGGTAACTCTATTAAGCATTTTGACAGAATTATGCCCCTTTTTCGACTTAGAATTTACGTTAAAGTTTTTGTAATAGTTCAAATATTTTCAAAGTCCATTGACATATGGCTTTGAAACTTTGCACACTTGTTCAACATCATGACCCCAACCTGTAAACAGGAGGAGGTAACTCTATCAAGCATTTTGACAGAATTATGCCCCTTTTTTGACTTAGAATTTACGTTAAAGTTTTTGTAATAGTTCAAATATTTTCAAAGTCCATTGACATATGGCTTTGAAACTTTGCACACTTGTTCACCATCATGATCCCAACCTGTAAACAGGAGGAGGTAACTGTATCAGGCATTTTTTTTACTATCAAGCACTAAGAATAGTCGAGCATGCTGTCCTACCGACAGCTCTTGTTATGAACTATGTTGCAGGTTGATGAGAAGATGATAAAATTATTATGAAATATATTGCAGAAGAATGAGAAGATGATAATTATTATGAAATATATTGCAGGAGGATGAGAAGATGATAATTATCATGAACTATATTGCAATAGGATGAGGAGATGATAATTATTATTAACTATATTGCAGGAGGATGAGAAGATGATAATTATTATGAACTATATTGCAGGAGGATGAGAAGATGATTATTATTATGAACTTTATTGCAAGAGGATGAGAAGATGATAATTATTATGAACTATATTGCAGGAAGATGAGAAGATGATAATTATTATGAAATATATTGCAGAACTATGAGATGATAATTATTATGAACTATATTGTAGGATGGTAAGGGGAAGATAGAGAATTATTATGAACTATTTTGCAGGAAGATGAGAAAATGATAATTATTATGAACTATATTGCAGGAGGATGAGATGATAATTATTCTGAACTATATTGTAGGAAGATGAGAAGATGGATTATAATTATTATGAACTATATTGCAGGAAGATGAGATGATAATTTTTATGAACTATATTGTAGGAGGATGAGAAGATGATAATTATTATGAACTATATTGCAGGAAGATGAGAAGATGATAAATAGTATGAACTATATTGCAGGAGGATGACAAAATGATAATTATTATGAACTATATTGTAGGATGGTAAGGGGAAGATAGAGAATTATTATGAACTATATTGCAGGAGGATGAGATGATAATTATTATGAACTATATTGCAGGAGGATGAGAAGATGATAATTACTATGACTATATTGCAGGAGGATGAGATGATAATTATTATGAACTATATTGCAGGAGGATGAGAAGATGATAATTACTATGACTTTATTGCAGGAAGATGAGAAGATGATAAATAGTATGAACTATATTGCAGGAGGATGAGAAAATGATAATTATTATGAACTATTTTGCAGGAAGATGAGAAGATGATAATTATTATGAACTATATTGTAAAGGGATGAGGAGATGATAATTATTATTAATTATATTGCAGGATGGTGAGAAGATGATAGAGAATTATTTAAATGAAAGCAGGACAAGTAACATGACAATAGCATTTGGACATTATCCTACTTCTCTGATAGCCACACAGACTGGTAATAATATCAGACATATATTAAGGTAAATATCTAAATAATGAACATATAGACATTGAAATTTATCTTACACTTCCATATTCACAACTCTGTACTGATTGCTTAATATGAGTTACTTCTGATATTTGGGAAAAGATCCCCATTATCGATTTTTATGTAAGATATTTGACAGAAATTTTGTAGACTATCCAACAGACTAACTTTATGAGCAAATGAGCATAAAAGTATAAAATACTTGCAAGATAAAGTTTTCATTTTTTCATGTTCATTTCAGAAATGTGACAGCATACCTTTGTGGACACCTGCACACCTTGGCAAGAATTGTACCTAATATGTATGCCAGACATAAGACAGGAATGTTAGAGCTTGAACTAGGAGACTGGAGAGATGAAAGATTGTAAGCTTATTCAAATTTTACAAGTCATCTATACATGTAATATTCTATGAAAAAGATTAACACATTTTTTGTAGTTTAAATTATTTATCTGATTCAGCATTTTACAATATACTTTTATGAAAGGATATCTAAGTAAACACATATAAGATTTATTTCCCTTGTCTAGTTATAACCCTGTCACACGAGACTGGCTGCTTACTGTGTCTCTAGGGCAATGTAGGATTAATGGAAATGCCATGAATTCCTCAAGGCACCATGAGAACCCAATCAATGCCTGAAGACACTCTAAATCGAAAACCATATTAGCTGTGTCACAGCAAATCTATGGCAACCATAGGGTATTTGTAGTATGTGCAGGTAGTTTTTAACACAACTATTAAATTTCCAGGATGTCTGCTGCTTTCCTAAAAAGTGTATGATGACTCTTTTGCGTTTGTAGTAGGCTAAGGCATTTTTACTTGGTTTACTCTGCAGTTGGATCTAGTTTTGCAAATTTGATCTCCTATAACAGTTTGTGTTAAACATTTTTTTGGAACACTATGGCTACACTTTAGATAGCACAACATATGTCAGGTTGTGACTTGAAACTCAACAAAGTGCAAAAATCATACAAGGAAATTTAACCAGTTGATTGTTGTGGTTTCTTGAAATTTAAACTTTAATGACATGTAGTATTACAAATATCTTATAAAAACACAAAATTTTAACTATATTGATTAATACAATGTTAAATAATTTTAAGGAAGTTTGTTTTTTCAATGATGTTCTTAAAGGGTAGAAATTAAAAGAAGAAATGTATAATTATGTTAATTCTTCAAGGTATTAGTGAATAATTAAAATTTAAGACTGTTACATACATACCTTGCTAACGTTGTATTGTTCCCCTGTAAACTCCACAAGAATATACAGAAGACTCAATAGGAACAGATGTAAATGCCATATAAATGCAGTACAAAGGCACTATACATAGTGGACATTGCACATAGCAGGACAGCTACCTGAAACTTGCAATTTTGTCTAAAAAAAACAAAAACAAAACTAAAAACATAGGTGTTATGAGTATGAAAAACTGGCATTTTCTGAAAAATGCCAGTTAAGGTTTGCTGTAAGGATGTGACAGAGGTATTAAAAAGGTTCTGTTTAAAGTAATGCATTATTATCTTGTGCTTGTAAGTAACTTGCCATGTATTTATGTTTATTCTTCTAGGTATCGTATACTAGCAGTTGACCATGATATGTTATCTATTGTTGATGCTGTAAAGGACAAATGGCCTGTTGTCATGGTAACTAATCCTAAAGAAGCTTCACTGATAGCACCCCTTCATGAACCATTATATCTTATGAATCAATCTACACATATCAGGTAAAAATATGCCACTTATTGAATATTTGGTTTTTCAACAACTTCGTACATGTCTATACAAAATCTTACAAGAACAAGATGTAAACATAAAGGAAGAAATAGATTTAAGTTTGTTTTTAATAGAATTTATAGGCATTTATTAAGTTTGGAAGGCAAGAGCTGCAAATATTATTTTATGAAGAAGTAAACATGATTTCGAAATGCAGTAAGTATGGGAAATATTACCAAAATGGCTGCATAATGCAATTCTGTTTTTATACGTATGAAAAGATTTGTAAATTTCCATGTCATCTTAAATCTATGGTTAAAAAAGAATAAGATTATTTTGAAATTTTGCTGTTTACAGGATACTGGTGTTTACTAATGGAAATGTGAACAATATTGAGGTATATATAGATGATAAACATCAGGGAAAAGCTCAACATTCTGATGGTCCACTGTTTGTGTTACCATGGCAACCATCTCTTCTCTCTCCTGGTGTGCATTCTATCAGAGTTGTTGTTCAAGTATGTGTACACCTTTTTCTTGCTTTCTTTGTTTCAATGTTTAATAGATCACTCACAACCAGAGAAGAGTAAGCATGTGCATGCGTTTTCTGAAGTGTCAACTTCTGCATATTAAAACTTCAAAGCTATGACTGAAATGGTTTAAATATCTTTCTTTGTAAAAAAATGGTGCTGATTACTGTGAGCTGTATTCATAACTAGAAATTTGTGAGAATGAAATTATTATATGTATAATTATATCTTTCTCTTCATGTTCAAACCATTATCTTTAATATTACACAGGTACATGTACTAAATTTTGAAAAGGAGGTTTCTTAAGGTAGATAAACTTGCATTGGTGGTAGTTTTTATGGAGACATTTAAGGTATTTGTGTTGTGAAATGAGGATTGTTGTCATTGATATATTGCAGGATTCTGTGAATGGGCGTCATGTTACACAACAATCATTTTCTCTAGATGAGACCAGTCCATTACTGCCATTTAAAGGCAGATTTATATTGATGATGGACATTGCTGCAGTGGTATGACTTTCTTACTTTAAACTTTTATGCTGGTGCACAAATACAAACAAGAAAACTTATATAAGTACATTGTATTTTCTATAAATATGTAACCAAAAAGGTATTCATTTACACCAGAATAAATACTTGGCACTAGATGAAGTCCTCAATTTTTTTCTTTCACTTTTACCTCTTTAAGAATTCGAAAAGCTAATAGTTTTTGTTTTGGTATTTCTAACTTGTTTCGACATATTCACTGTTTATAGTTCATGACATATTTGCTGTTTATAGTTCATTACATATTCACTGTTTATAGTTAATGTCACATTTGTGCTTAAAGTTCATTACATATGCACTGTTTATAGTCATGTTTGCTGTTTAAAGTTCATGACATATTCACTGTTTATAGTTCATTACATATGCACTGTTTATAGTCATGTTTGCTGTTTAAAGTTCATGACATATTCACTGTTTATAGTTCATTACATATTCACTGTTATAGTTCATTACATATTCACTGTTTATAGTTCATTACATATTCACTGTTTATAGTCATGTTTGCTGATTATAGTTCATGACATATACACTGTTAATAGTCCATAATGTATTCACTGTTTATAGTTACTGACATATTCACTGTTTATAGGTTAGACATATTCACTATATATAGTTCATGACATATTCACTGTATATAGTTCATGACATATTTACTGTTTATAGCTCATGACATATACACTGTTTATAGTTCATGACATATTCACTGTTTATAGTTCATGACATATTCACTGTTTATAGTTCATAACATATTCACTGTTTATAGTTCATGACTAATTCACTGTTTATAGTTCATAACATATTCACTGTATATAGTTCATGACATATTCACTGTATATAGTTCATGACATATACACTGTTTATAGTTCATGACATATTCACTGTTAACTGTTCATAACATATTCACTGTTTATAGTTCATGACATTGAAATTCGCTGTTTTTTAGTTTATGTCATATTCACTGTTTATAAGTCATGACATATTCGCTGTTTATACATGTATTATATCTATTAGAATGTTTAGTGCATGAAGTAGTATACAGGATGTAGACTAGGTTTCTTGTGAATATAAAGATCAAACTGTGCTTAAAAAAATGTGTTGAACTAATTAGGTATATTTTACTTTAAGATTTTAAACTTTTATCCTAATATCACTGTATTTATGTGCTGGCTTAAATATTAATTAATACCTGTCTTGAACAGAAAATGAAGCCTACCAGGAGCATTTATATTTTATTCAAAGTACATGTTAATCAGGTTAGGACAATATTTCTTTTCTCAATGTTTTTTATATCTTCATGTTTGTCTAGTGTATACATGACTTGTCTGTGTATTTTTAGGCACAAACAGTTTTCTTCTTGACTGTGACGGTGTATGTATTTGTCCTGATATTGTTAAGAAAGTGCAATAATATAAGATCTCATCTGTTTACAGGTAAATACACATAATCTAGATTACCATTTCACTTGAAAATTTATGTTCTATTTTGTAATTTAAATAATTGGTACAAAACAGTATTTCATACAGTTTGACATACTCATATAAATGCTGATGCCATAGTGTCAGCTGTCATAGTAATTAGTTAGCATTGTCTTATGTGATAAACATGTATATCCGTTATTGTATTATATTGTTTGAACTAATTGATTTATCACATACTTTATGTCACAAAATAAAAATTGTAGAGTTGAAAAGTGTGAATTTATTAAAATAAAATCACACAGGTGCATTGTAATTTCTTCTATGACTGTGTTGTCAGAATACTGGAAAATGTATCAGCACTAGGTCATATCAATAGCTCTCAGTATGTATTTAGCGACTGCTTTATCAATGAAATTTGTTACAAAACATGTTTTTTGTGATTTTTCAGTGCAAGGAAGAATATATGATCCATTGTTAAAGTTTTATAACAATTGGTTACACAGGGTATGGTTAGTTACTCAAACAACTAAATTATTCTACAGTGTTGTAGGAGCTGCATTATATGTCACATTTGGTGAGGCTTTATACAATTATTTTATTCCAGACATATTTCATAATTTTGTTTTTATGAAAGGTATTTGCTTATTTTCATTATTTTCCAGTTTGCTCTTTACTTCTTTTTAAGCTAATGTCATGGAAACATTATGGTAAGGACTGTTAGTCAGGGCATCAATCTCTATGTATCTTAAGACTTGAACCCATACCATGCTAAATATATTAAATCAACTTGTCCATCTTTCAATCTGGACTAAACTATTTCACCCTGGACTAAATCTTTCATCATTTGAAGGAAAAATTACAAAATACATAATGTATATATACATTTTTGTACTGACTAAATGGCAAACAGTGTAGCCCATGATCAGACAACATATAGGTAGATCGATTTGCCACTAGTAGGCTTAAGGGTTAAGAAAGTTATGTTGTAAATGGATGGTAATATCTATGCTATGAATTACAATGCAGGTCCATGGCTTATTGGAGAGATTTTAGAAGGTCATACTGGTATAGTGTTTGTATGGGGCATGTTTGTTAATGGCAGTTACCTCCCTGTATGTCTCACATATTTCTACGGTCTATTTCAGGTAAAGTATTTTTATATACAACCATTGGATAATGAAATTTAATCCGCAAATGAATTTTAAAAATACATTACTTAGTATAATTTATGTAAAGGTTTGTTAATGAATGTCCAACATTTATTTTGTAGTCGGTTCTATTGGACTATACGTATTTAATAACCCTATTGACAAAGACAATCAAATCATACTTGAATGTAGCATATGGTTTTACTCATGAATGGCACAATTTCATGAACTGTCATCGATTTAGTCTAAGGCATATAGATGATAAAGATTTATATACATGTTTGTCAATATCAGATGACAATTGATACACAAAGTATATCAGTGATACAGCAATGTATTTTTATAAAAAAAAATTTTGTTTTATTTTTTGTTGGGTTTAAAAAAAACACCGCACCAACATAGTATATATTATATGGCAACTCTCCAGCTTTTTAAATGGAGGTAGACCTCAGGTTTCCCTCTGTGTATTATTCAGGTTTTCATAAATGACACCTCTAATTATAAGTAAAATGGATCAACTAATTTCAATGTTTAAATTTCAGTTGATCACTTTCAACATACCATTGACAATGTGTCTAGGATACAATCTGCATTATTTACAAGGAGGACACAAGAGGAAGAGTTTCTGTCATAGAGCCAGACACATTTACTTCCCTTTTCTATCTCTCCTTGTTTTCCAGACTTATATAGCACTTTCAGAGTTCCCTGCAGCTTATGGTACAAGAGCTTTAGTCCTAGGGCCAGTAAGAACAGGATCTGTGATATTGGCTGTAGTACTTTTCTTAATAGCTAGAAAAACCAATGTTAATTCCCTTGTGTGTAGTCATACCAACTGAACAAAGTCGTGTGATAATTTTGATTTTATTATTAATTTATTACACTAGTATAAAACAGCTTTGAGTTCACAAAGTGAAGATGCCTGTATAGTTTTTATGCCACCACAGTATCTGCGATGCGGTGGCATATAGCGATTCATGTGTGTGTGTGTTTGTATGTATGTTTGTGTGTTCTATAGATTATATATAGTGAACTTAAAAAAGCTTCTTGTGAAAAACCACTAGTCCAATTTCAACCAAACTTGGCAGGATTGATCCTTGGGTGAAGGGCTTCCAAAGTTGTTCACAGAATTTCATTCCGTGCAGAAATCTGGTTGCCATGGCAACCAAAATGAATTATAAGAATAAATTTAAAAAATCTTCTTGTAAAGACCCACAGGGCCTAGAGCATAGATATTTTGCATAAGGCATTGTCTGGTAGACCTCTATCGAGATTGTTCAAATTATAGCCCTGGGGTCAAAATTGGCCCCGCCCTTGGGGTCTTTGTTTTTTACTATATGTACATATAGTAAAAACTTAAAATACCTTCTTGTCTGAAGGTACAAGGCTTATAGATTTGATAGTTGGTATATGATATCATCTATAGGTACTCTACCAAAGTTGTTCAAATTTTGCCTCAAGCGTCAAAATTAGCCCCGCCCTGGGGGTCATAGGTTTTCCTTTTATGTATATAGTAAAATCTTAAAAAAATCATCTTCTCTCAATTGACAAATGCTAGAAGTTAGATATTTTGCATGATACATTGTGTAGTGAACCATTAGCAAGATTGTTCAAATTATAGCCCTGGGGTCAAAATTAGCCCTGCCCCGGGGTCATTGGTTTTCACTATGTACATATAGTAAAAAAATCAAAAATCTTATTGTCTGAAGGTACAAGGCTTAGAGCTTTGATATTTGGTATATGATATCATCTATAGGTACTCTACCAAAGTTGTTCAAATTTTGCCTCTAGTGTCAAAATTAGCCCCGCCCTGGGGGCCATAGGTTTTCCTCATATGTATATAGTAAAAACTTAAAAAAAATCATCTTCTCTAAATTGACAAATGCTAGAGGTTAGATACTTTGCCTGAAACATTGTGTAGTGAACCTCTAGCAAGATTGTTCAAATTATAGCCCTGGGTCAAAATTAGCCCCGCCTCGGGGGTCATTGATTTTCAGTCACTATGTACATATAGTAAAAAATTAAAAATCTTATTGTCTGAAGGTACAAGGCTTAGAGCTTTGATGTTTGCTTTATAATATCAAACATAGGTCCTCTACCAAAGTTGTTCAAATATTGCCCCTGGTGTCAAAATTCGCCCTGCCCGGGGGCATTGATTTTCATTATGTACACATAGTAAAAACAGAAACTAAAACAAATGTTTTCTGAATTGGAGAAAGTTACAGCTTACATATTTGACATGAAATGTTGTTTGGTGGACCTGTATCAAGATTGTTTGAATTAAACCCTTGGGTCAAAATTTTTCCTTGCCTTAAGGGGACAGGGACTTTCTTGTCCTTTGATGTACATCCATGAAATTTGGACTATGTGCAGAGTTTTAGTTGTAAAATTGAACTTTGATATCAAGTGACCTAGATTTTGATGATGTGACCTACATGTACTTTCTTGTCCTTTGATGTGCAGCTATGAAATTTGAACCATGTGCACAGATTAAGATGTAAAGTGAACTTTGATATCAGCTGGCCTAGATTTTGACCAAGTGTCTTACTGTGTTGTCCTTTGATGTACAGTCATGGAATTTTGGCCATGTAAAATATGACCTTCACCACCAAATTCACAAGACTCAACTGCATTGATAGATTCCTACTCTGATCTTTTATTTGAATAACAATAGATTTAACTACTAATCTGATAATAAGAATTAGATAGGTCAGTGATCTATGCACTATGGCAATCTTCAATTGTATAGAAACAAAAAAAATCTGTTCCTACATTACTATTTAGTGTTGTACATGTATTAATGCGGTGGCATAGCATTTTTCACAAATGCAATCTTGTTTTTACATTTTGTATTTTGATTTTGCAATTCCAACATGAAAAATCTGTAATGCAGGAATGTCAGAATAATACATAAATTTGTGCAAATGGTCTTGAAAAATAGAAGTTTGTAAATAAGGTTAAAAAAATATAATGCAGGATTTTTTTTCTGGTCATTTCAGGAACATGGCCAGACCCCCAGAATTTGGAATCTTTACAATTATTAATTTAGACAAATTGTGCTAAAAACTGACAACATATTGCACACATCAAATAAGACAAAGAAATCAAATATTTGGTGAAATAAACTCGTTTTATATTTTACTCATAAGCACATATTACAATTTGGATTGCAAGATTACATTTTTCTATGGCCCAGTGGTGTTAAATGTAACAAAGTGAAAATAATTATTTTTTATTTTTTCATTCCTAGAATTGAGAATTTTCTTGAAATTGGAGAAAACATACTTTTTTGTTATTGGGAACATGATCCAATGTCAGTCATCAAAATGTGTAATGTCTAAGCAGCCACAAGCAATCATTCATTTTTGTCTGTATGATTTACTATTAGACATATATAGATCCATTAACTTACAATGTCGATAATTTCAGCCTTACATTGCACAAAGTTGTTGTTACTGTTGCACAATGCAGATATTATTTTCACATTCCTTTGTTACACACAATATACTCATTTCCATACTTATGACTCTTTGCAGCTTTAAAGTTCTAGCTCTGTTTAACGTTCTAGTTCTGTTTTAACTAAACCACTCTCCATCCATCGTCCATTTGCTATTTTATTGCCCACCTCCCCAATCCAAACCACCCTGATCATAGTTTACATAAGGCTGTATACAAATAACTTTGCCATGTCATGCCCCATCTTGTTATTTTATACAATGTATATGAAATCTGTAAAAGTTTTAATTTAAAATATGTGTCAAATCTAGTAGGCTAATTTTCCTAACTCATTTTATTTTGACAAATTAAATACATCTTTTTACTTACATGTAGTAATATGTTGTGCAATTGTTATTTACTTTGAAAGCTTATAGATGTTATCCTGTTTTGAATAAAATTATAGTTATGCCCCTTTTATAATTTCATTTCTTATGTTTTTATGGGGCTCTGTCAAAGTTTGTTACCTGTTTCAAACCTGATATGAGAATACAAAATATTTTCATACTATTTCAATGTTGTCATTCATTTGGCCATAGACATTTTCTTTTTAATTGTCTTTTATCAAGCCAACTTTTGGGGTTATGAATTGCATTCAGAGTAGTTCTAGTATATAAATATTGGTTGGGGGGGGGATTTAAAAAAAATTCTTTGATGAACATATTAAAAAAGGGAGATATTTAGTATATAAACTCATAATATTATGTTCTTTATACATGTATTGGCTTTAATCAAAATAAGTGGGGGTATGGATATTGACCCTTGTATTGAAGAATGAAACAGTACACTGTATATATTAACATTAAAAAAAGCATCAAAGTTAAAACAGTGATCAATATGTACCAAAGGATATTATTGACTCAGAGAGTATTTTTGTGATAGATGTAGTTCATAATTAAATGAATGACTTCACTTAATCCATTTGAAATTCATGTGACTTATTTATTGTGTAATATCATCATAATTTCACAGCACCAGCCACTGAATCATATTTATATTGATATTTTCTATGAAGAAATTATTATATAAAACATCACTTGTGCATAACCCATGTTCATATATTTATCAGCTCATCAGCTTTATTGCTTTAATAAAATACAGACTGTGAAATATGGCTTTTAATCAATAATTTACTTCTTTGAATGGATCAATAGGTTTTTGAACTTTCTTAGATGTTGACACCAAGGATTTATACAATGCAATAAGTTATTAATTTTCTTTATTGGTTAGACATGTTTTGAACTGCATGAAATGAAACTGTGGAACGAAATCATTCTTCATGGTTTATTGTCTTTTGTTATATTGCATTGTCTACTCATTGTAAGTAAAGTTGACGAATAGTGTTCTAGTTTTTACATCATATATATATTTAGCAATCTAACATCTATTGGAAATGCAATAGAAATTCCCCAGTAACTAATATCTTAAAATTAAGTGAATGATCAAAGTTTTTGTTTACATATTTTTTGTTGCTAAAGCACATGAAATACATTTTGTTTGTAGCTTTTATAAAGAAGAAACAATCTTCTTTTTTCACCGAATTCCAGATACAGGGACTTAGTTTAAATATTCAGACAAAAAAAACCCAAAAAACAACAACCAAAAATAATACTTGTTTCTTTACCTTTAATAGAAGATAGCTGATAGATTTCCTTGTTAACGTAAGGTGCTTACACCTTATTGATGGCACATACCGTATTAATTAAGTTAGTTATTTTGTTATTGATAACATAAAAATGACAATGTTAAGTTTTGTTTAGCACCAATATAATGTATTGATCAATGAGGATAATTAAAACACACAGATTCTTCTATCATCATGTATGTTGCAGTATTGTTACTAAATATTTCATAATTCATTTATAAGTATTTCTTTATTTTGATTAAAGTTTTTAAAAGAAATTTGTTTTGTTCTTCATACATTTAACTTGTTTTGAATTGCTTCAATTATTTGGTGAATTCTATTAAGTAATACATAATTAGGACTGGGTAAGTAATTGTGAAGCATCGATTTATTACCTCTTTGATTATTTAGCTTATATGATGTTTCAAGAACTGGAAACGGTATTATAAACATGTAAAATTCCTAAGATTTTTTTTAGCATTGACGATCTCTTAGTTCGAAACCTGCTTCGAGTGATTAACAGTGTCAGTCGATCTGTTGGTCGGTCGTTTAATCTCTGTCAATATATGGTTCTACCCAATGAGTGCCCATGCTCCAAAGTGATTACATGATGGGACTTTGTAACATTTTGGTGGATTTTTTTACATAGGGAATATGTCTCTCTGAAAATTGCAAACTTTAAGCCTTCTGTTAAAAATAAATGAGCCGTGTCACGACAAAACCAACATAATGCGTTTGAGACCAGCATGGATCCAGTCCAGCCTGCGCATCCGCGCAGTCTGATCAGGATCCATGCTGTTCGCTTACAAACTCTATAACAAGTAGAGAAACTGATAGCGAACAGCATGGATCCTGATCAGACTGCGCGGATGCGCAGGCTGGTCTGGATCCATGCTGGTCGCAAACCCATTATGTTGGTTTTGTCGTGACGCGGCTCAAATATAGTTCTAGACTTACTGTGACTAGTTGAATCATCCGTGATAACGAGAAGCACAAAACTGATTACTTTGGTATTTTATTAATAATTGTAAAACAAATTCATTTAAATGTGTTTCTATTCATGAAAATGATCACGTTTTACTAAGTATATTGTTGATTAATGGGAAAGTCGATGTTTACATAGACATTTCCGATGATTGGATTCAGGTAAATGTTGATTTAGAATTAAGCGGAATCTGTTCAATTGATTTATAATGATTAGACATGGATGGTTAATGTTTTTAAGGATTGCTACGATGTTGACATTTTCAGTTGAGGTTTGCAACCGTGGTGTTATAAGAGTGAAATAGAGAGGTAATATTGATGCGAGTGATAAAACTGGAACGGTATTACAACAAGCAAGCATGACCTGGTATTGAGCTCTGTTCATAACACTGAAAATTAAATTTATGCATACATTTTCAGATCAATGCGCATTGGCTAAAAACAGTCGATTCTAAAGATATGTTACCCTTTATACTTTTTTTATGATTTTCTCTCACCAAGAAAACATCTTGCTCATTGCAAGGAATGAATGTTGGATCTTGTGTTCTTCTGTAACATCGGATTGAAATATATTATTGTGAATTGCCAACTTTTGGTTGTTTAATATTGATTTTGATTTTTCGGCCATTTTGAATGGAACTTCTCTGACATGCTATTTCTTTAATATGCTCTTTTCAGACTCCCTGGAGACTAGACAAAGACTATGCTTACAAAAGCACTTTCACATATAGTTCTTTCTTATCACATCTATTGAAATTTTCTTTGTATTTGTCTGCCTTCTATTAGTTAAGAAATGAGATGTATTTAAGGTTTTCAATAACGGTGTTCTGTATTCCGACACTCTGTCAAGCAGGACCATGTATTGGACGGACACCTTTAATATATTCCATTTGGTTGTAACATGGTAACTCTTTATAGATGCCTGTATTATATTCACAACATCAAAATGATTTTCTATTTTTTCATCTTACTCCTAAATCTCGATAATACTAAGGTCACCTACGTCATGTTGTATGTTTCCGCTTTTGTATGTTCCTGGGGATTACTGTATATACTGTGCACGAGTTGGTTTAATTGCCCTCGTAGGGTATTATCAATTTAGAAACCTGAACATAATTAAATATACATTTATGTGATAAAAAATGTACACGAACATAATTTTGTAGTAGCTATTGATTTTGTAAACGGCTCCTGTATCAAAACATTGCGTTATTGAAAAATATTATATATTTAATATAATGTCATACATATAAAAAGTGTTAACAGTGTTAAATCATAATACATGTAATCTGTGCATGGTATTTACAACGAAAAGATACAGTACATGTATTCAATTTAATTAAAGTGGAGTTGCGTTTGCATCAAATATTTATGGTTAGCGTCGTTTCTTTTATGTAAGAACGTGTTTCTAATTGACGGGCCTCATTCAAAGTGCAATTCTAAATATAGAAACAAAGAAAATGCATATCAATTTAATAGATTCACATGTATAAAACATGCTTTTAAAAACAAACATTATATATATAGAGGATATTTGTTTAGTTCGGTGTAAGATCGGAATATATTTCACCGAGTGAGCACCAAAAGGTATATTTCACGAGTGGCGCAGCCACGAGTGAAATATGAACTTTTGGTGTTCACAAGGTGAAATATATTTCGATCTTACACTAAACTAAACAAATTTTCTTTTTATTATATGCAAAGAAACGTTTTAAAAAGACATAAAACCTAATACTGAATGAAAAACGCGCCAAATAATAATACAACGTGACGTCATTTACGACGTCACGTCATTAAGTTGGTACCCAGTTCTGTGCACGCTGGTATTTCACTGAAACAACGTAAGGGGCTTAAATTCAAAACAGTGAAATTATCAAAGTGGTAATTTCACTGTTTCAAAAAGTGAAATTACCAGTTTTATATCACTGATATATTTCTATAAACCACCGAAAATGTAATAAATAGAGGATATTTGTTAAGTTCAGTGTAAGATCGGAATATATTTCACCGAGTGAGCACCAAAAGGTATATTTCACGAGTGGCGCAGCCACGAGTGAAATATGAATTTTTGGTGTTCACAAGGTGAAATATATTTCGATCTTACACTAAACTAAACAAATTTTCTTTTTATTATATCATGCAAAGAAACGTTTTAAAAAGACATTAAATCTAATACTGAATGAAAAGTGCGACAAATAATAATACAACGTGACGTCATTTACGACGTCACGTCATTAAGTTGGTACCCAGTACTGTGCACGCTGGTATTTCACTGAAACAACGTAAGAGGCTTAAATTCAAAACAGTGAAATTATCAAAGTGGTAATTTCACTGTTTCAAACAGTGAAATTACCAGTTTTATATCACTAATATATTTCTATAAACCACCGAAAAGCATGTAATAAATTCAATTAATTACCACCAATATCAATTCTATTGAAAATGTTTTTATAAAATAAATTACTCGGTTTGATCCCTTTTCGAACCTCATTTTTTCGTTTTATTTAGATTGGTCAAAAACAAACAAAAACGAATAGCGTTAAAAATAAAGATCGTGCTGAAACTGTACCGCGAAAATAAGGATGAATATGTATTAAAGCCCAACATTTTATTTCAGTTTGAATAGCATTCCTAATTATACATGTACTGAAAACGAGTATTGAACGAATTAATTAAAGCTTGTTTTGAAATGCTTTAAAAAGCAAACGTTTTACGAATTAAAATAGCCTGGTACTCGCCTTGAGTCTCGTCTGGAACACCTCACAGCTATGTTTATAAACAGAAAAAATAATTCAATAACATCACTAATGATGTTTTAATTTAAAATTGATGTTCACTAGTAATTACTAGTGTTTCATATGAGGATGCCCATTATAGACTCTCCCGCTAAGGGGAACATCACTGGTGTCGTGTTTATCGGGATAAGATTCTCACTTCAAAACTTTGTTAAAGAAGAAACATTCTCATCGCTCTACAAGTAAATTATTTATTAATTATAACTTCTTTTCATATAACGATTGCATATAGGAAATAAACAACAAATGAGTTACGGTTCGTTTGTTATATTCCATGGAGAGGAAGGAATGGTTCTTTTTAACTATCAGGACGCTATTGTCTAAGAATATCTGAGCAGCAGAGTGTGGTAACGCCAGTGTGATGATTCGTTCTGATTCTAATTTATAATAGTCATGGAATTATTACTTACACCATAAACTTCACTTACCATTTCTGTCAAGGAAGGCAAACACATAAGATTTAAACGAGTAATGAGAATAACGATTTGGAAAGTGAAAGCATTATGTCATGTGATGAAAGAAGTAATGTAAGAGAATAAACATTAATAAACAAGCTTTCAAAATTGTTGATATAAGAAAAAAATGTTCAGTAAATATAAAGAGACAAATATTTTGTCACTAGTACATAAATAAAATTTGGATTTAGTTTGACTACTTTTTCTAATGGCTTGTAAAGTGACAGGATTAGGTGATTTATAAGAAACCATGGAAAGGTCTGTTATGTCATGGAAACGTCTGCTGCCCCTGACGATTGTCGTCGCTTCATATCTATGTCTAGGGGCGCTTATTTTCCAGTTTATGGAAGGAGAACCAGAAATAGAACGTCGAAAAGGCCTAAAAGAGATGATAAGACATTTCATTGGTGAGATTTTTTTTTCAATTCATAATATACAGTATTCTCGCAATGACAACATTTATTTTCATAATGAATACCTCACATAAACGTTTATTAATTAAGAAATATAAATTAACTTGTACATTTAACAGAAAAAAATCTTAAGATAATGTTCATAGAATAAGTATAGAAATATAAATGAACCTGTACATTCAACAGAAAAAATACTGAGATACTTCAATTTAAATTTCAATTTACATCAGTTAGAGTTTCTCTTGTTATTTACTTATTATACACTGGACAACAAATTAATAAAATTAGTCTTGCGCAAATACATGTACAAGATACACTGGACAACAAATTACTGGAAATATTTTAAGAGATGAATGCTTCATTTGATGGATATATAAACCAATAGCTTATGTGCAAAATTTCAGATCATCTGCTCACTCATAGCCCTTACTGCATTAGTAACGCAGTAGAAATCTAGTTGAAAATATTGAAAATCAGTTATTAACCGCACATTACATGTAGAATATTACTTGAATCTCGAATAATTCTACTTTTCCTAAAATCGTAGTACATATTTCTCAAGTTTGATTTTATTGAAATATTTTGACTCATCTGGAGGCATGCGGCTTTAAGCCGATAAATGGATAACATTTTACATGTACATGTAGAAATTGCATGTTTATGTCTTAACTGGGAAACCAATTCGCCCCCCCCCCCCCCCCCCCACCAAGAATTACATATCTAAACATCACGCAAACCGTTTTGTTTAGTGGTAAAACTTTTCTTTCAATCCTTATATTAAGGATATTATACAAAATAGCCGAGGTGTTCCGATTGGCTTTTACCATATTTTCTTTTTTCTTTTAATTTTTGATGTATACCATACCTAAAATGGCATTATTGTGAAATTGAAGTAAAATTTAATAAAATCAAAGCCTCGATAAAATTTCTCAGTTTAACTAAACATTGTCACTGTTAGGAATAATATATGAATTTTATGTTGAATTTTTTTTCTCGTTCAATCAGGGTCTTTCTGATAGGAAATACGTACCCTATTTCAATTGAAGATATTTCATATCCAATAGTATACATATATTTATTACATACATGCATTCAACAAATAATTATTTTCAACAAACAGGAAAACGTCGAGTTGCATATTTTATTTTTCCAACGTACGAGTATCATTTTGCAACTGTGCTTTCAGATGACGAAACTTTATACATAATCGTTTAATCAACATCGACACAGCCATTCTTTTTTCATTGTGCACATTTTACAAAGTTTGAATTATTTATTGTGAAAATATAATCATCATTAACATTATATATCCTCATTTCATTTGATCATTCTTTGGCTTTATGATTGCATTTTCCCTTGAGAGTCTAAGTACAATTATGTATTTAACAAATAATTTTGCTCTCTTCAGCCATAAACAAAATGAACGCTCCGTTTCATTCATCATAAACGATATTTTATTGACTGCAATTTTTACGCAGTTATCTTGCGTATAATTACTGAGTATAATTGTGCAAGATCGGGGAGAATAAGAATACAAGAATAAGCGAAATCCGAAAATTCTTTTTTCCGAATCACATAATGTTACGAGATTTAGTTTGTGTTTTCTTTGTTTTCTTTGGTTGAATTAAATTAAATTTCTAAATTAGTTTTAGCTGAAACAGCAATTAACTAAAAAATAAAAATATATCTTCATGAGATTAACATAGGAACAAATATATATTTATGTCTTTAATTCTTCAAATGCTAGTGGGCGATATGCAACGTCCTTTGATATCAGAATCTCGCCAAGCCAACCTGCAAAATGAACAAACATTTTTCCATATTGAAATCCTTTAAAATAGACAGTTCATCAAGCAAATCTCCACATAATAAGCAGTTAATATATTATTATTTATACAAGATGCTGGCGGGATATGCGGAAGAATATTATGAATAGAGCCTAAATGAGATAAATATGACCGTTTACCTCGTTTGTATACTTGTATAAATTAATGAAAATTGTGAATGACAAGTTCATAAGAAAACCCAGCTGTTTTCAAAGAAAAAGACTCGCGTATTTACGGGTACGCTAACACTGAACAATAACAAGTAATTCAAGTGTAAAGTCATCATTGCGGTGTAACTTTTCAAAATACCATAAAGAACAAAACGGAATAAAAAAAAGTTATGCACACACGAAGTTATACGTCCACGATGTAGAAATACATTGTTATTATACGTGTTCCGATTCTTCAGGGTATATACGTATACGACAAAGTATACAAAGTGTTTAATTTAGTCAATCAGAAATCTATCTGCATTATTATAACTTTTTTTTATATAAAATGGATCCTATAGTTCACGTGAATATGTCGGTGCATTTGCTAGTTTTGTATTTAATCTTGGCAAAGTCGGTTTTGTGAGATTGTAAACAAGCATCTGACGATCTTGTTCTGTTTCTTATCTGTAGAAAATTATCAATCAAACGTATTATTAATGTCGTCTCGCACTATCAACGAGAACAAAACACGTGTCAGAATTGGGGGAACGACACAATCTTGGCACTAGCTCGCGTGCAGTGCGTCAATGCAACAATTAACACAACAGCTCTCGCGTTAGATAGTCTGTTACGATAAATATTAATCATAAGTTATTCATAAAGAAATATTTTAATTGGCGGGTTAAGGGGTTTATTCACATTTGTCAACATTTTACTCGGCTAAAGTTCACTCTTTTCCATGTGCTAGACGCAAAATATTTGGTTTTAGCTATGCTTCAAACAATGGCCATACATATTATCTCGAAATTAATACATTACGTTGTTTTCAACAATACACCTCGAACTTAATATATTACGTTGTTTTCAACAATACATTATGTACATTGTATTGCACCGAACTTAATACATTACGTTGTTCACCACAATACATATACAATGTAATACATCGAACTTAATACATTATGTTGTTTTCCACAATACATATACATCGTAGTACCCTTCGAACTTGATACATTACGTTGTTTTCAACAATACATATGAGCCGCGTCACGACAAAACCAACATAATGGGTTTGCGACCAGCATGGATCCAGACCAGCATGCGCATCCGCGCAGTCTGATCAGGATCCATGCTGTTCGCTATCAGTTTCTCTACTTGCTATAGGGTTTGTAAGCGAACAGCATGGATCCTGATCAGACTGCGCGGATGCGCACGCTGGTCTGGATCCATGCTGGTCGCAAACCCATTATGTTGGTTTTGTCGTGACGCGGCTCAAAATTATGTACATTGTATTGCACCGAACTTAATACATTACGTTGTTCACCACAATACATATCCAATGTAATACATCGAATTTAATACATTATGTTGTTTCCACATACATTTACATCGTAGTTCATCGAACTTAATACATTACGTTGTTTTCCACAAAACATATACATTGTAGTACATCGAACTTTATACATTACGTTGTTTTCCACAAAACATATACATTGTAGTACATTGTACATCGAACTGAATACATTACGTTGTTTTCCACAAAACATATACATTGTAGTACATCGAACTTAATACATTACGTTGTTTTCCACAAAACATATATATTGTAGTACATCGAACTTAATACATTACGTTGTTTTCCACAAAACATTTGATACATCAAAATTAATACATTACGTTGTTTTTACAATATAAATGGTAGCTTGAACTTAATACATTACGTTGTTTGCCGCTCAACATTTAAAATGGTGATATTGCTTTGAAATGGTCTTATGTAATGAAATGATTTGGTCCACATCTATGATAAAGGAGATGGTTATTGCAGGTCGTTTTTTCTGGATTCTTATAATACTGTATAAAGCTATACCTTTAATCCATTGCACTTTGAAACCATAATATTAATAAAAGCTTAAAGAAATAAATGATTTGAAGAATGTATGTACGTCTTTAAATAATTTCAAGAATATGCTCACGAGTTTTGGTAATGACCATGTTACAGTAAAAACTCTGAAAACCGGACCCTGTCCGGACTTGACCAAAAGTCCGGTTTTCAGAGGATTCCGGTTTTCAGAGGTTTTATACATTCATTGATATTTATGATGTGTTTGGACAATGACTTAGTTCAATCAATTTGTATTTACTTTTCAACCCTTTTGTCTAAGTCATATTTTAATTTCTTTTTGCAATAAATGTCTTAAGTATGTTTATTATGCAAATCCATGAATATAATTCAGAAAATCAGAAATTAAACATCGAACATTATCTGAAATTTATCATAATATGTTGTTTATTTTTCCACAATACATTTACATCGTAGTTCATCGAACTTAATACATTACGTTGTTTTCCACAAAACATATACATTGTAGTACATCGAGCTTAATACATTACGTTGTTTTCCACAAAACATATACATTGTAGTACATTGTACATCGAACTTAATACATTACGTTGTTTTCCACAAAACATATACATTGTAGTACATCGAACTTAATACATTACGTTGTTTTCCACAAAGCATATATATTGTATTACATCGAACTTAATACATTACGTTGTTTTCCACAGAACATTTGATACATCAAAATTAATACATTACGTTGTTTTTACAATATAAATGGTAGCTTGAACTTAATACATTACGTTGTTTGCCGCTCAACATTTAAAATGGTGATATTGCTTTGAAATAGTCTTATGTTATGAAATAATTTGGTCCATAAAAGCTTAAAGAAATAAATGATTTGAAGAATGTATATACGACTTTAAATAATTTCAAGAATATGCTCATGAGTTTCGGTAATGACCATGTTACTAAGAAAAAATCTATGTAATGAAATAATGTAACTGTTGCGACACAATTGAAGATGTTACCATGTTGCATTTTTCTTAATTGCAGCTACAATATTTGCTAGTTAAAGTCAAACACATTAATTTTTCTTTGTTGTTTTTTATTCATACACGTCCGGTTGTGTTTTTGATAAAACTGAACAGAAAAAAATATGTGTTGAATAAAAGTATAAAGTTAAATAATGGTATAAAATTGAAAGAAATTTTACATAAAGTATGCACGAAAGATTGTATTGTACAGTTCCGATGCACGAGAAATACAATTTAGCACTAAAAGATGTCTCAATGATATCACAGTAAATTTGCACCTCAATCAACCTGAATTAATATCATTACAATTTCACGAGACAATTAAAGCGCGTGTCGACAAGAAATGCATGCTTGCTGCACTTACTGAAAATACCTTGTTTTATTATTGGCACTCTTATTTTCCAATATCATCAAATATTTACTTAGTCTCGAGTTTCTTTGATATTTTCGTTTCCAATTAGAATTACCTGTAGCGTGAATAATAACCTAAACACGACGTCATATTCTTTAGTCCCCGGGGACATGTAACGAACTTTTCTTAAAAGAGTATCCCTCAGTTTATAAAGTTCATCAAGCATAAATAAGCGGTCAAACATTTTGAAAGTGTAAGGATATACGATTGTTTTACCGTTTGATGCCCTGTCTTACAGTAGAGTTTGTGAAGTGCGGTTAAACTCTAATGTATTTTGTTGCACTACTGAATCAAGAATATGAGCTAAAGTAACATAGGCGATAAGGAATGCATTGTTGGTTTGCTAAACGCACTCTTGGCGATATTTGTGTTTCTCTCCAAAAAATATTTATATCTTAATGAAACTTGGAACGTTTTAAATGTACCTTTACTTAGCCTTAACAGTATTTTGTGTTTTGGGCAACCCTTTCCTACCAACCGAAACCTTGGGGACTCGAAATGTTTTATTGACAATCATTTTCCATGAAATCTGTTTTCTATTAATTATTAAAGACTGTTGCCCTGTATACATTTTGCCTTACTTTTCCCAGACACTATATAGATAAAATATAAACACAGAAAGAATTCATTATACAGTCGTGGGACTTAAACTGCAGAGAATAGGAATAGGAATAGGAAAACATTCATTTATGCATGACCTCATAACTTTTGAAAAAAGTTTAATATGCACAATAAAGCAAATTTGCAACATTACGGACTTTAATTTACGCGTGTTTTCAGTATCGTGGGACATTTTGTCATTATATGCATTGTGAACGGAATAAATAGTGAATACCACGTATAATTTAAAGCCCATTTAGTTACAATAAATATATAATGCGTTTACATGCAAATATCAAAAGAGATTTTACAAGAAACCATCACGATATTAATATAGTTACTAATATGCTCAACACAAATGTCGAATAAAACTAAACATAAGTATTTCATTAAATACCAAAATCTTCTGAATTGTTTTGCCATCCAAGACAGGATTTTGTAACAGAGTTGATCAATTATAAGCACAGGCTAACCCAGAATCTTTCGAAATACAAAATGTAGAATTCTATGAAAAACATAGGTATCATGTTCGCGATCTATTATTATATGTATTTAATTTTCAGAAAATCACACATGTTTAACAAGGGAAGAGTTGAACAGTTTTATTGACCGCATCAGCGGTGAGACAGAATTTACCCAAGGGACTCTTCAAAATAAAAGTGTCTCCACACGCTGGGATTTCACGGGGGCGTTTTCATTTGTTGTCACTGTCGCAACTACAATTGGTGGGTAAATTTATTATAAAACATAAATTATTAAACTTTTATTTTCGTTTTGATATAAAACTGTCATTTTGGTGCTATACAACTTTTTTCTGGAAACCAGTTCAGCCATATGTAGCTTATAAATTGGCAAATTTATAATCTTAAAATCAATCAATCCAGAGGATAATGCTGTAAACAGGTCTTTACATAAATATTTTGTTAAACTTTGAGACCATCTTGGTCTATGCTTGATTTAAACATTAATTCAAGTGTTGTTGTTTTTTCCATCTTTTTTTAGATGAGATCTTCTACGAATGTATCTTAATGTTTGAGCTCTAATTTACACTATTCTAAAAAAAAGCTGTCCTTTGTACTCTGGTACACAAGAAGACGCGTGCATCGCTATCATTAGTGTATGTCTTGTAAATGTAATGTCTTGATATGCTCTTTTAAAGAACATGCTCTTAAATGATCTATATATTACAAAGCTTTTAACATAAATGAAGGTACTCAGACAGTATACAGTAGTATATCCAGTGTTTATGACTGATTTTGTACATAAAGGGGGATTCTCAATGGTTCAGCTTTTGGTATTTAAATAAGGAATAATTCTCATAAAATTGTCATTACAACATGAACGATCTTAATTTTACCTGAAGTCACTTTTATCGAACTTGAATCTTGCGGTTGTGTTGAAGTAACGGTGAGTATAATAATATCGGAACAAAGTGTTTGATGTATGAGTAGGCCTACTACAATTAGAAACACCAGGTGGTTAACATTAACTAAATTAAGAGGTTTCTCTTGAACAAGAAATTTCTAACCTACTCCATGCAGTTTCCATATTGCTTGTTCCCCACTAGAATGTGTGCGCAAGTGTACAAGAATTAGACAGGTACAACGTACAAGAATGTTATTATAATTAGAACCTTGATGTATGTTTATCGCCACTTTCAAATTTACAATTTAATGTATACACGTTCTTTGATACAGTTGCTCAGAAACTTACGCGCGAGATTATCCTAACTACTGATGTTGACCACCACTGCAATATCTTATGGGACAGAACTTTCGAAATAAACAAACAACAACAAAGTGTAATACTAGTAGTTCCTAATAAATTTGCACGAAAGCTTAGCCATGTCGCCTTTTGATCCACGCATTTTATCACATTTTTAACAAATTAAGCTTGAAATTAATATCCGCTTCTTTATGTGCATCCACGATCCTTTTTCTAATGATCGATGGGCAAAATAAGACATTTACTGGAAATGCACTGCACTATTGGAATATTGCAAATATCATTGTCTATATGTAGTGGGTCATATAATATTGTGAAGATATTGCAAAGACTGATGTTATATGCTAAACATTTTTTTCGAAACATTTGACTATAATTATTTTGAAACTAACAAGATAGTGGTCTATTTGTGTACAACATTATATCTTTATGAAAGAAAGAAAAAAAGTTAACAACATGTTACCAATTCTTCACATTTTATTTTCGTAATCTTTGTATAATGTGTGTATTTTTTCTTATCTTTGATAATTCTGTATAATATTTTATATAGTATGTCAGTATAATATGTGTATGTATACACTTGTAGGTTACGGCAACATGGCTCCTCATACAGAACTTGGCAAAGTGATTGTGATCGCCTACGCGCTTATTGGCATTCCATTAACATTCCTGATGTTACAAGGCCTCGGACAACAACTTACACATCTCTCCGACAAAGTCAATAACCTGAAACTTTGCTCAAAGAGGCCCGATCTAAACAAATATCTCAACATGGTTATTATTATTCTCATCGGCGTCTCTCTCCTATTCGTTGGGCCTACTTTTTTGTTTATGAACGTCGAAGGATGGCGCATGATGGACGCTATATATTATTGTTTTGTTACTTTATCTACAATAGGGTTCGGAGATTTCATTCCAGGTATGTCTTTTTACCAACCTACAGAACATTTTTAAAGGGATATTCGACGCGTAACAAAAACAACAAAACCTTTAGATTGTTTGAGATACATATATGAAAACATTGAACCTACTACTGCACTAGCTGTACTGATAATCATATATTTCACTGAAAAGAGTAAATGTAATTCTTTCTGGTCCAACATTTATACATATCAAGCCAGAGTGTTGATTCTTACATTACTCCGTTTTGACCAAGCTACTATTGAAGAACTTTTTAACAAGACATTCATAAATGCATCAAGGGCTCCATACAATGCAACCTTACTCGCAGTGAAAAATACCATATTCACAAATCTGATTATTTGGAACTAGGTGACTCAGAGTCATATCAGTTACAGTGACCTGGTTTTTTAACAGTTCCGATATCTTCAACATTGATTAATCATTGCAATTCATTCGATATGTAATATGACATTTTTTAAAGAAAATCTACCTTTAGTCAACAGTTTTACTATCTAGGCAGATTAAGGCCACAAGTTTATCTAAATCTATTGTAGCATAACTCTAAACCAAACTTGTAAGAAAACTTTCTGGAATGCCCACCATCATAATATAGCTCTCTATTGGATGGATTGATTTATACAATTTGCAGTGTTCCATGCAATCCACTTGTCAATTCAGATATCATGAAGACAATGCTTCAAATTTATAAGCTTGTTAGAAAAAAAAACAACAAGAAATCTGGGCCAGGACAGTGACTGGTGTGTCTTTTTACACATATATCACCGCTTTTTATCTATTCTGCACAAATGATGTACGTCTTTAATGTAACTCGCACCAGTTAAACCATAGCACAGAGATAGACAAGGAAGTTTGATTGCACGTTATGTGCACTTTAAAATCTGATTATTGTTCCATTTTCATAGATAATAGACAACTTATTTATTTGTTTGTTGGATGTTAAGTCAAACCGACAATGTAATGGTCATATAGAGACATTTCAGTTTAACTGGTCGCATTATATCAGTTTATAGACAACTCATCGAGACTTTTTCTTTGATGAATTAAATTTTATGTAAAGCACTTTTTTCTGTTCCATGTATAATTATCACATGATACAAGCATATTATATCATTTATGTATAAGCACAAAATCTTGCTTGTTTTCCTTCCAGCATTGTCGGAGAATCGATTTACAGGGCGTGGTGAGGCGGGGACCATCTACCGTATCGTGGCGTATGTTTGGATATTGTTCGGCCTGGCTTATGTTGCCCTGATAATCAGTTATATTTCCAGTGTTCTAGTCAGGAAAGCTGAAAAGGTCCAGCAGATGAGTAGAGCAAAAATTGAGGTAAAGTATTTTACAGCCAAAATAAATATGACAAAGAGAACAATTCCTTTTTATTGCTGTAAAATTTTTTTATCTTTTTATTTTTTTTACATTACTTATTTATTTTAAAGAAGTAAAAATTCATGCATATTGCAGTTACGTACGTAGTGACCATCAGTCACTGACCTTTCTATAAGATTGAAGCGTTTGTGATTGTGTTACCATTACCTAGAACGAAATTCCCCTATATTTATGAACCAGTATATTCAAATGATATCCAAATATAACAGCAGATATGTTCATGCATACTTATTATATGGCACGGATTCGGGCTTTTATCGACCTATCCCAGTTATTCTCACGACTCGACTATCTAATATGTCACGGGATTTGCATTGTTTTTCAAATTAATATCGCAGTTGTTGAACTCCCACTAAGATGTAGACTATATTTCAATGTATATATACTTACTAACGTGGTCCGTTAGTAACAATGACAATTAGCAACAATAATGACTTGAATCACGCTGGCGAGTGACACTGGTTACAATATATCCCTCAATAACGAAACGCAATATATTAACGATGCCTTAATGAGATGTATTATTCACCATCAGTTGGTTATAATTTCCTTAAAATAAACATATCTCGATGACCAGGTGATAAATAACCATGGATGTCGTCCCTGGTGAATATATGATTCTACATTAAACGATTGCGTTGACTTATTGCTACCGGTACAAATTCGCCAGGCACTTTGAATTATTTCATGTGAGGGAGCTATCCAACTAGCTTACAGAAGGTGGGTGGTTCTTAATTATAGGCGCTCGCTCGTGTCTGAGGAATCATAAGATCTTTCGCCACCAGTAAAGCTAGAAGGTCGGTTTCGATCAAAGAAAAATATTTTAATTATAATTAAGTCCTACGATAAACTGAGCACCACGGGCAATTCTGTGACCAGCAACGATAGGTCAGTGACCTGACAAACGTTAACTTAAACGAAAGGCTTTATGCGCCGAATGTTTATTTCGTTTTGTTTTTTATTGAGCAACATCATTGAAATTTTAAATATATTCAACTAAAGTAAAAATTTTTACACGTGATGTACATTTTGGGACGTACTAGTATTTGGCAGTATCTGTTTGTGTTTTATTTTATAATATCTGAGAAGGCTTGGAAGACTTTACCTCTATTGTCCCTCTCCTTATCTGTTAAACACTGCCAGTATTTTTATTATTTACAGAGCGAGATAAAACAACTTCAGAAAGAACTTGTAAAAACAAAATCAAACATTTTTACGCTAGCCAGCAATGTAGCAGAAACTGTTACAACTGGGTTAGAAGGGGCCAGGAAATCCTCAGAGAAAGAATTAGATCCGACTCACGTTGTTGTTGAAAGTCTAGGGGTTCAACAAGATAGGCAAGCACGCAGTGCTCAGAACAGTCCTTTCCGACATAAAAAGCAACCTCCGGGACCGGTAGAACTATTATCATATAGAAGAAAAAGTTTGTCTTGATATTGAAGTTCGTTTGAGCAGAAATACGAAACAAGTCAAATCCTATAGTATTATGCTTTTAATGTGTAATGCTATATCAAAAATGTATTTACAAAGTTGAAATGAATGTTAAACTCCTCTAAATTAAAAGGAGAGCCACAGTTTTGAACTATTTTCACAAAAACTCTTTATTCTAACCATTGATTCTATCCGTAGAAGACATTCGGTGTAAGTTTATTTACCTAACGTTCTAACTAATTTAAAGTGCTTTGCAACCATCTTTATACATTTCTGTATTGTGTCTACTCTTGAAAGTCATGTTGATACAGTTTCACACGTTTGACTCTTGGTATGTCTTAGAGTCAGTGTCAGTAGATGACACAGAAAAATCACAACTGATTGTTTCTGATGGTGGATAAGCACTGTCGTTACTACCTTCCTCCTCAACGGGATGTTCTTCCAAATCTTCTAACACACATGTTTCTGCTGTTGCGCCTTTGTTGTACGTATTGGCATAAAGTTTAAGTAAATCCGGTAACGAACTTACGGCATTTATAACGCTATGGCTTGCGGAAAGACGTCTGTTAAGCGCATGCTCGACGCTTTCAATTCCCATTTGTCGACTTAGTGAGTAAAGTATATCACTAGCGATTACTCTACTGTTTGCACGATTAAGACGAGCTGAAGTGCTTGATGACGGAATAACGCTTATTGTTGAAATCACACTTGTTCTTCTGTCTCCAATATCAATTGCATGTTTGCACTTCCACGAGTGTATTAGTTTTTTATATGCAGATCTAAAGTCGCAGTTTTGATATGCGTACACCCAAGGATTTACCCCACTGTTAAAAAATGCTAGCAGCATTAAATAGTTGTTCACCCAGGAGTTTTGTTCACTGTAACCGAGAAATGTTAATAATAAGCATATTTGATATGGTAACCACAAACACAGAAAAACACCGATTACAATTGCTATTGTTTTAGCATATTTTGTGTCACTTCTGACGAACTGTCTTTCCAGCGTGCTCCTTATAGAATTTTCAACGGCCGCTATAGCATGCGCATGATGCCGTGCAATTCGGAATATTTTGAAATAAAAGAATAATATTAAAGCACATGCTGGAGTAAATATTGCACTTATAAATAACATTCTTGACTTCCGGTTTAGCACGCTATTCGAACACAGTGAAGAATGTTGCTTAACGTTTCCATGCAAACCGAATATTAGTGGAATCCAACAAATGAAACTGCTGTAAATCCATGACAACAATATTAATCCGATAATTTTCTTCTTCTTCATGAGTAGAATATATTTTAGAGGATAAGTTATGGCCATGTAACGGTCATATGCAATGGTGGCCAGTGTTATTATTGAAACGCCTCCTGCCGTCATTAAAATTCTGTTGGCGGCTAAACAAAGAATGTCGTCTGATATTCTGATCGGCGTTAGTTCAACAGTTATGTAGAATGGAAGTGTAACTGCAATCACAATGTCGGCTGATGCAAGGGACATGACGAAAAAATTGGTCGGTATCTGCAGACGCTTGAATTTGATCACTGCTGTGAGAACGATTAGATTACTGCATAGAATAAAAGGAACGAATATGGCAACGAGACTAATGGAGATGTATTCATTAGTTACCCAGTTGGACGTCAGACGAACGTTCATGACTTCAACTAAGTCACTTCTATCTGTACTGTTGATAATCATCTGAAATATAGATTAACCTGTTTTGATATAGATTTTAAAAAAAATACCTTAAACCTGTTGAAAACGTCTATCGGTGCTAGTCGTACATATGAAATACGTTTTCTGGTCACTAAAAATGCATATGTAAATGACTTATGGGATATTCATGTACTTACTGACAATTTAGATTAAAGCGATACAAAGCTTCAAAACCAAGTTACATACCAGCAGAACAAAAATAGATATATTCTAGTATTGAAAATATACATAAAAGTTGATAATAAGATATTTGCAAAAGCTACAAACCTTTGTCTCTAAATAATTGAAAAACACCAGTTTGGTATAAGTTCCATTTTTGTTAACTTCTAAACTGGACATTTGATGATTAAAAGTTGCTCATTACTTTCGTTGTGTTCTATTTATATCCCCTTATCAAACTTATTGCGCTAATAAAAGACTGGGTCGGTGACAATGTTTACCGACAACTTAATTTCTACATTATTTTCAATATTTTAGTCCGCTTTTAATTGTTTCAACTTTGTATATCCGTTAAGGCTTGGTTTTCATTCAAGTTTCCGTTCTCAGGGTTAATTTAAAAAGATTGAATTTTAACAAAAATGAAAACGAGATGGTATTTATGTTTATACGTGGCTTAGGTTATTTTGTACCGACCATATACGTACAAAGATGATAACCTTTTGATGGTTACAAAATATATTCATAGTCACAGTGATGGGAAAGAAATGGTTGTAAATTATCTAACATTTCATGTTAACTATCATCCTCATTATGCAACCTAGACTTTTGGATTTTTCTTTTCTGTGAAGTACATTCGAATGTAAAAATGTTTAGTTTCAGAACACAAATTCATTGTTCTGAGTTCTATCTATATACGAGTACATGTATATATATTTTAAAAGTGGACAAAAAATCAGTTGCTCTCAGTAATATTGAAAGTGAAAAGGAAAGTTGCGAAACATCCCGCATAATAATGTCCCGTTGATTGGCGGGCTTAAAAGTTGACGTAGCACATATTTTCTAAATATAGTGCAAACTAGAGAGCTCATCATAAAGAAATAAATTCCATAACTGAGGTTATAATTTCAAAGTTCAGGTGAAGATAATATAAACCTGAAAATAAAATCGTATGATAAAGCAAAGCTCGAATTGAAATTAGTATTTTTTTCTATAATTTCGAAGTTAAATGCCACAAAACCCACAGACACTTGGGGTTTGGAGCTCAAAACGCCTTTAAAATCCAAATAAAATGCATATTTGTCAATCCCAGCACATGTACTGATCATATATATCAAAAAAACTTAATATAAGCCGTTTTGAAAAAAAATCATATTTTAACATCTATAATAATACATAATAATCTGTATTATTATAGATGTTGAAATATGATTTTTTTTTCAAAACGGCTTATATTAAGTTTTTTTGATATATATGATCAGTACATGTGCTGGGATTGACAAATATGCATTTTATTTGGATTTTAAAGGCGTTTTGAGCTCCAAACCCCAAGTGTCTGTGACAAAACCAATATTATTAAATTAAAATGTTTTAATAAAGGCATTCGTGTATTCACTTTAACTTTATAAATTATTCCTTCTACCGTTCTATATGTTATGCTATCATGTGTTGTTAACTCTGCTTAAGACACTTGCTCATGTGCAAATTAATTTGACAAAAACTGTCACTTAGCGCTTAAAAATTCAGCAATATCAGGAATGATCAGTTTACTTTATGATCCAGATACATGCATTAATCTATTTAACTGCATACATCGAATATAAAAATGCAATTGTCCAAGCTTACAACGTCAAAATTATATTCATGCGCCGAATACTTGATCCCTAAACTATGACAAAGCTCTTCTGGTAAGAAAAATCTGAATTGCGTTCGGTTGCCACCGAGCACGCCGAACTTCTATAAATCACCGTCGGACACCCAAAGTTGATTAACATGTAATAAATGTTAATGGTTCTTCCGTGGGTATCCGACGATGGTATGAATTTTCGCGAAGAAAGACAAGTATATCGAATTCGACGAATGTGAAACAAACGGCCGAAAACAATTTACTAGCTTTTGTTCTTTTTACTAATAAAAATAGCTTAATCTTTCTACGAAAAAATGTATTTTTTAAAACAAACATTGTAAAGGATATATCTTTGTCATAACAGCCCTGCAGTGGATATTAGTTAATTGAATAGTGAATAGAATTAACAATTCTCCTGATTCCAGTCAGGTCAAACAAGGTTGAGGTCAGAAGAACTGCAAGCATTAAAAGTTTAAAGGACATAACCAGAGAAATTTCTAACTTTCACCACGGCCTCAATAATAGTTTGTAATAGACCCTCTTAAAATCCTCTTATAGTAACATTAACTATTAAAATAGAATCTCTATTTCCTTATATAACGTCGATAGCACTTACTAATACTTCAATTTGGTATATTAATAAAGATAAGGCTAAATATAACCTCAATCTAGTTTCATATCTACACATAGTGACCTTAATTTTGGATAAAACCATATGTCGCCACATTTTATAATGTATTGACCAATAAACACTTACATGTAAAAAAATACACAATATATGTTGTTGTTTTTTCTCCTTTTCATCAAACAACGATTTCGGTAATTGAATATCTAGATATTATATCTTATATTAAAACTATAAAACAGCATGTACTGATCATTTTTTTGATCATTATCTTGATAATCATTAGATGTTGGGCCATATTGTCATAATATATTTTCAAACGTGTGATATATGGTTATGTTAGATTGGAGCCAAGCCTGTAAGCCCTGCGATTTCTCATCGCACGTCGGAGAATATAATTGTGGCAATTTTGAATGAAAATTTTTTTAGTTGCCTCGCGAATGCCGACAAGAGCGAGAAGAAGAAGTGCCATGGTTTGTACTAGTATACGAGAAATCACGAGTAGTTCTCGTGAATATACACATGTTAAAATTTGTATTATAATGATGCCTGGGAATAAGTGACACGGGAATATTCAAAAAGGCAAAACACAGCAAAATGGAAGTGTTGCAGGTTTGTTTAACGTTTATCCTCTTTATAAACGAAATGTTATTATCACGCTTCTAGCACGGGCCTACAACAGTCTATTTCTATATCACATGCATGACAATTTTTTATGACAATTCAAATTACGCATAAGCTTTTCAACATTTTGTCAAGTGCACAATAAAGAGTTTGATTACTAGTTCATAGTCTAGAAGGTAACCGTATGACCAATTAACACTGAATTATTTTACAGTAAGAAATACCAAAGAGTTTATAACTAAAATGAGCCGCGCCATGAGAAAACCGACGTAATGCATTTGCGACCAGCATGGATCCAGACCAGCCTGCGCCTCCGTGCAGTCTGATCAGGATCCATACTGTTCGCTATCAGTTTCTCTACTTGTTATAGGGTTTGTAAGCGTATAGCATGGATCCTGATCAGACTGCGCGGATGCGCAGGCTGGTCTGGATCCATGTTGGTCGCAAACACATAACGTTGGTTTTGTCATGACGCGGCTCAAATTTATTCATAAAAATGTGAAGATTTCCTTGTCTATACATTATCATGATTTCAGTCTCAGTGAACATCATTATTAATGGTGGTGTCCGGCTGTAAATACTTTGACATACAGTTTAAAATCTAGAACTTTCTATATTTGAAGAAGATTCTTTTTAAACTTGACACAAGTTCAAAGCGGTCAAGACAAAAAGAAAATAGAAACAATGGAACAATGGAATTTAGAGTTTTATTATTGTTTTAATTTCGTGTAAGTGGTGGCGTACATTAACATATTTTACGATTACCTGCCATAACAAAACATCTTTATCAAATGTAAAAAAAACAGAGGTCAGTTGTTAACAAACCGAAACATATGTAATATATGACTATGATCAAAAACATAATAAAACACAAATTTCATAATTCTAGTCATTTTCATCTACTGCGGTAATAAAAGATTGGAACTAAAATTAACTCATACTGACTTGCTTCATATTGAATTTTCTACTTCTCACTTTTCTCACCATGACTTGCCTCACATAGCCCCACCTTGAATTTCCTCATATTGAATTTCTTAATATTGACTGGCTTCACTTTTATTATTGCTCCATCTTGAATTTCTTCATATTGACTTGCTTCAACTTGACTGGCTTCACTTATAATTGCTTCATCTTGAATTTCCTCACCGTGACTTTTTATTGTGTATTAAAACTTGATCGTAGCTATGCAAATATCGGAAAGAATGTACATGTAATTTTCTGTACATGCGGGCTCGGGTTTTAAATGCATCCTCGTTCCTCTGTAGATTTTAATGTTACAGTACAAAAAAGGTGCAAAAAGGCCCTGTAAATGTTTAAAATGATTTCGATAGTAAATATATTATTTCTTATGTTTGAACTTTTTACATCTGTACATTGTTATTTTTTTCTTTGTAAGTTAAATACAGATATGCCCTGTGCATAATATACATTAATTTCAACATAATATTATTTATCACAATAAATCATCATTTTTTACATTTTATATGTATACATTATTACACATAATTGAAATGGATAAAAACGAAAGAAAATTTCTCTCTGAATGACAAATAATATTGATAGTATGGTATGGCCATTAAACTCAATTTGATAGTTTGTTATTCCTCACGTGGCTGTTCATTTTAATATTTACACATACATACATGGCAGAACTGTTTTTCCATGTTAATTATTATGATAGGCAATATTGTAAGGTAACGTTTAACCAAGAGCAATGTAGAAGTAAATAGAAGTGCAATGAAAAAAGACAACTGTCAGTTACATATTAAGAAAAGGAAAACGATAAACATATTAATTTGTATTTTACTGGCATTTAAAAGCAACTTAAACAAAAATACTGAGGTTAACAGGCAAAAAAAACCCAACAACAATAATATAAAAAGGAATACACGGAGAATAACAGATTAATAAACAGAGATCAAAGGGGTGGCACAGAAGTAAGTAGGATATTGTTATCATTCCAAAAGTAAAGAAATCTATCTACAATTAATTTAAAACGTCCACTGGTATTAATAAACTCAAATTCTGCATCTAAAATCGCTATGCTAGTTAATCTTCCGACATATCTCCATTAAAAAGAGTTTGAATATCGATAGAGCATATTGCGAGCAATGTCAAAAAAGGGTATTCCTTATATGCGAGCAAACAAGAAAAAAAGTAATGATTATCTTCAATTAGACCAGAACTGCAGAAAGGGGAGGGGGCATTTTGTTTGATGGTTGTTAATTATAAAGAGCGCTGAATTTCGTTGAAGAATTTGTGAATGTCGGTCTCCATAATAGAAGCGCCGGGACGTTTTAGTTTTGTCCACGTTCATAGAACCTTTGAAGGAATTCAAGGACAGTAACTTTCGGGTTTTGGTCGGTAGAAAATGCCGTTGGTAGAAGGAGTTGAAATATAGACTTAGAGATGTTCTTGTACGATTTGTATAAACATTTTGAGAATAACGTAAGTTAAATGTAGTGTTTTGTTCAACTATGTCTGGTACAAGATACGAAAGGTGGGTTGGTACGAGACAATTTTTCACTTTATAAAGTTGAATGAGCTTGTGCTTCTCTTCCAATCAGATAGTGATTCCCATTTCACAACATTGTTGCACTCGTTACTATTCGTGCTGCTCCATTCCGGATTTTATCTTTGTTGTGTCTAGTCAAGACTGTCTCAACATAATTATATGTGTTAATAACATAGTACAAAATTCCACGGCACGCCTCATATTTATGAAATAAATTAACTTAAATCTATATATAGTTAGATTTTACATGTCATGTTCAGCAAATTATTCGAAGACAGGTTAACCTATATGTTTTATTCAATTCAAATTCATTCAAAAATAAATACAAGTATAAATAGGTCACGACATTCGCTTTATATCAGCTATTATCTAAAGACACACACAGTTTGATACCTAACTGTCAGAATACCTCAAATATATATAAATGTACACTTTCATATACTGTCTGCAAATTTCGAAACAAGTATGCCTAAAATAGCTACGATTTTATGGCGACTTCAAACAGTTCCATACCCCTTTTCCTTTATTTGCAGTTTCCCATAATTTAATTGTACTATATTGTAAATTCACATAAAATTAAAATGTTACGTTCTATTAGAAATGTATTAATTGTTATAAATTTGATTCAACTCTACATGTATAATCCAGTGCAATGTCAATTAACTGAATTTAAATTTTCTAAGTTTAGCTGAACATCCTTTTCCTTGTTCCAATCATAGTATCATATGGTGTGTCGATTAATATGTATGTTTGACAACGTTCTTTTAGAAATTACAGGTTTTCGACATCACTATAAAATAGACATTTTGTATCCTTTTTGATACGATTTCAAATAAAGTGGAAGACAAATTGCGAGTGTGATTACACATGTTAATGGTTTCATACAACATATATGCAACAAGTTTTACGTTTCAGCCATCATAAACCGAATACTTGAAAATCCTAACAACACCGTGACTGTCACCGACCCATAAGTAACCTCTCTTGTCAAGTCCGAGTGCATTCGGTCCTTCTAATCCATCTTTTTTACTAATTAGATTGAGAAGAAAGTTTCCATCTTTATCAAGTACATGAATACAATCATTGTTCCAGTCTGACACCAGAATATGACCATCTTCATCACAGACGATTCCGTGGGGAAGGAAAGGTTGATCGCTGGCAATCCCAGTGGGTGGGCCTCTGTACCAACATTTGACACGCCCATCTTTTGTTAAAATGGTAACACCCCTTGTTCCGTCACCGTAATCCGAAACACAAATATCTCCGTTAGTATTTACTGCAATTCGGAAGGGATATCCAAATAGATTAGTCTGTTCTTCGTTCTTTTCCATAGTGGCAACGATTTCGCCGTGTTTCGATAGTTTCGCGACCATTCGACGGGAGCCGAATATTGCTTGACGCTGGTAGCTGTCTCGGAAACATACGTATAAACCACTTCGTCGATCTGCTGCAAGGCCACCAGGAAATAGGGAGATATACGCAAAGTCTGACGTACGAAGAGAATCTGTATTCAGACGCTTGATACTCTTCTCACGGAAACTTGAAACAAGAACAGAGTCATCTTTGCCATCATGAAAGGTACAGGCATCATTCACCTAAAATATTGTAACAAAATATTTAGAACATAATCTTACACCGTAGTTTTATTAAGCGGACTGTTAAAGACTTAGAGAAAATGACGTTGAAATCTGAAAAACTGTCTACACCACAATTACTTGAGTTTATCAAATTAGTTTTGTCTTTTGTCTACATAATGTTATCAGTAAGGAATTCTATTTTTCAAAAGTGGCGTGAGAAATAATCTGATTTCCAAAAATGTGTACATGCATATAATTCTGGAAAACAACAAATTTACATAAAAGTTGCAGACTCGGTTGAATCTGTCCATGAGGGATATTGGTAAAGTGCAACATCCCTTACGCCACCTAACACTGTCTCAAGCGGTATTCAGTCTGCAAAACTTAATTTTGGATTCAATGATCCCAAAGTACCAGAAAAATATGACAAAAATGAATTAAAGTTCGGGGAACTTTTTACAGCTGTCAAGAAAAAATCTCTCAGAAGCAATAAAAACAACAGAATTATATGAAAATTACAAACTTAGTTTGATCGAGTCTGCTCATGAGGGATAAGTTACATTATGCTCATTTTTTTGCTGTCAAATTAACTGAATTGATAATAAACACCTGGAAATAAGTTAAGCACATCCCAGAAATTTAAAATTGGTTGTGATTGAAAGCACTGGACATCATGAGATGACAGCTTAATTGAGCTAAGAAGTAGTAAATTGATAAGTAGCGATACCAATTTAGTAATCATAAACCAGTATTTATGAGTTTAGTTTATTCTTAACCAAATCATTGAAGCATAAGCAAATTATGCGTTTTTTTTACCAAAAATAAGTGTTTATAAGTATGGTGTTGGAGCGTTTACAAAACATTTTCTGGTGGATATTATTGGTAAATGCTGACGATTACATAACCTAAAATGGCATTATATAGCCATTTTTATAAGGCGTGTACCCGCCACTTGCTAAGGATGATAGCCTCAACCCTTCACCTCATATTACCAGTAAGGCGTCTAATGCGATTTTGAGGTAAATTTTGTCATTCTTGGTGCAGAGCTTGTTTCAGTTGTTGCAGGTTGAGTACAGGTGGTTCGTACCATTGCCCAAATAAAAAATTCAAATTTCAGTTGTGGTCATGTCAAAATTTAGGCAAAATGCCCGTTGTGCTTAACTTATTTCCAGGTGTATATATTTATTATTGACCAATAATTATTGATAAAGAAATGTTTAAGGTAAATTATTAAAGAATGCCTAAAATATGAAAAAGACTGTCCCACTCGTTTAATAAAGTGACCATCCAAGTACATTTATAGTTTTGTCTTGAGACACATTGGCTACCTATTATACATGTGAAGTAAAAATATAAAATTGAAAACAACTAAAGCAAAATGTTATTTTGACATTAAATGTGTATACTCACCGTTTACACATGAATGGGCATACGGTCACTTAAATGAAATTAATTAACTAGTTTCAGGAGATAAATAGAGCTACTGTATAAATTGCGAGTTCCATAAACTATGTTTAAAAAACAACTGAACAAAATTGGCCATATTAAAGTGTACAAATTGCGAACCTGTATATCCAGAGATGCAGTTTTCTTCTTCTGGCCATGTCTGTCATAAAGTGAAAGGTTTCTTGAACCCCAGCCACAACAGATCCAAGCCTGATCCTCTTCTACGGTTGCTATAGCGTGCACCGTCTCACTTTTGTCTCCTACCTATATATCAAAAGAGAACAATCTTGTTTCTTTGTTAATTCTATTTGTCGGTGATATTTAAATGATTTATATAAAATCATATTGTAAACTGCATAATAATTGTGTAGATCATGTTGACTGACGGTATCTGTTCTGCAGTTAATGCACAGTCAATTAATAAAGCTACATTATGTACTAGATCTCGTTCATTAGTGACATTAAGATGGCACTTTAATGAAAATTGTGTGCTTATGTTAATTTGAATAGAAATAAGACGAGGAATATCTTGTGTTTAACAGTTTTAATAACAGTTTAAGCTTAAGGCTTAAAATAGAATGTATCTACAGTAAAAATTTTCATAAATCTTACTTTGAAAGTTTTTACTAGTTTCACTTCGGACTTATTGTCTGATATAATAGACCGTTGTACAGCATTGAATGTGATCGGCGTGGTAGTATCAAACGTGTAGTGACCAACCAATCTCTCGAAAACCTTGTCGTTTGCTTCACCTTCAACAAAATGTATCTCTTTCTTATCATATTGATGCATTTCATCAACGTCCACATAGCTCACTGACGTCCGGCTGTGGAGACTAAAGTCTAGACTGGAGCGTGGAGTTGACCTATAACGTGGTGACTTATCCATTGAACTTGATCTAGATGTACCTTTGCGTGTCGGGCTATGATCGTTGGTTTTCAATTTGTCAACAGTGTACCGTATCTTATTTAATTCTTGTTCAAATTTTTGTTTAATTTGATTAAGAATGTTTGTAATGTACATATCCAGTTCTGCGTGCAGCGTTTTGGCGCGTTCTCTGACTTTTTGCACGGTCTTTTCGACATCGACTGTGATTGTGTCTTCATATGCCAAGATATCACGCAATGCGCGTTTCCTGTTTGAATCTTCGCGCCGCGACATTCCGTGATTTTCTATATACCGACGATTTAATTTTGTTTCCGTTTTAATCAATATAAATAGGAGTTTAATATATGTTCCTCTTATTATTCAACATAAAATTATATAAAATTGACAAGCCACTGTATAAATTTGATTTAATATTAATAAAATGTCCATTGAGAGTTTTAAAGTATTTAAAACTCAGCGTTTCTATTGACAAACTGACATGAAACATGACTCCAACACACTTCAAGATATTATATTCGCCATTTTGATTCATGTTCATTCTTGCATTCCGTTAACTCTTATCGTATAACTTACGTATACTTTTGATATTCTTTTTATTTTCATTGTTTTCACTAACTACATGGTCAAATACAATCGTGCCAGTAAATAATCTTTAGTTTATTGTTGAATTGTTTTCATATATTTGATTTATTATGGAGTAAATTTCAATGTTAAACAGATTAACATTAATCAGTGATCTATAAAACTATGTAAATATATTAATTACTATGCTATAGTAAAAATGTCTGGTATGCAATGTCGGGTATAAACACTGCTGAAAATAATCATTCAGATGATTTGAGCTTTGACAGTGTTGTTCAGAAAACATGGTCTTAAGCTGTTATCACTGACACGATTTCAAGAAAAAGCGACTTTGTCCGTTTATATCAGCTGAATGATATAAGGCCGTCGGTAAACGAATTATTAATTTGTACCTCCATTTTTTTCCTTTCATTGAGGATAGGTCTGTGTTCTGTAGCGTGCAATAAACGATTGTTAAGAAAACAATTGTTTATTGCGAGGCTATCTGACAGCAATAAAGGAGTGCCAAATTGGTGTAAACTCATTTTTCTGACCCCCCCCCCCCCCAAAGAAGAGGAGCGGCGGCCTAGTGTCTCTTTATTCAGCCTTACTATGGTCACGACCGTGGTTCCTCACATTACACCAGTATACAAGTTATTCTAGGAAGCGGACTCAGAGTGGTTCAGTTCAGCTACAATTAATAATGTTATTATTACCACTGTAGTTGCCTAAAAAAAACTGAAAATACTAAGTAACTGGGTGTTACGTACGGTGGCACACATGTGACATTTGTGCGTTTTTATTTATCTGCTGCGCACGAGATACTATGTCGTAGCTTGTGCGCACGAGGTAATTAAGCGGTTCGCACGAGATACTATGCCGTGGCCACGAGTTACTAAATCTCGTGCGCACGATTTAGTAACTCGTGGCCAGTCCCATGACGGGCACCACTTAATTATCTCGTGAGTACCACTTAGTAACACGTCGCCACGACGCACGAGATAAATAAAAATGACAATTAATGTTAATTTACAACCTACTGCATAGGCTACAACTTGTTAACTAAGATTTTGCTAATCTTAACAGATTTTTTTTACGTGCACGTATTATTATGCCTACACGTGATAGTAAACACGACAAATGATAATAAACACGTGCATTTGTGACATGTGTATAATAATGATAATATTTCTGATGTCCCCTCTTTGCCACCATATCTTATTTAACTCTCTCGTTCGGAGGCAATAAACTAATAACCATGGCGGACGAAAACACGCTGGGTGGAGAAGGTGACAACAATTCTGCTTCGAATGAAGCAACAGAGCAAAGATTGCCGTCAGAGGAAGACATCAAGAAAGCAGAAGAATTTAAAGAAACTGCAAATGGCTTTTTCAAAAGTAATAGCGCTTTTTATGAATGATGATTAATGATCTACGTAGTTTTAATCATATTGACATTAGTTTCCGCGATTGTAAAATAACGTTGATCAGTTAATTAATCAAAGGGCTGCAAGCTCTGTGGTATTTTCTGATCTTTGTAATCTAAATCGTACTGTATATCTGTTTGTATTTCCTGTATTAGTTTATTTTTATGTACTTTAATTCATCTTGCAAGGCACCAGAGTTTGATACATACGGAATTTTGCATAACTAGAGTTGCATCAAAAAATCATTTATGTTAATTTTTTATGGCAGCCACACTCTATCCTTGCATATTCATAGCTACTTCTTTAACAAAGACACTTAAAAAAGAATTTAAGAAAAATTGCCTCGACTGGGATTTGAACTTTAGACCTCTCACACACGAAACGAGAGCGTTACCCCTGTCCCACAAAGAAGTTATACAAACAATGCCTGAATAAAATCAAGTCATTTTAAATTTAGAACTTCGGGTTTGTAATCCTTATTAATTTCGAGGTATTTTGTTCAGGATAAACCTGTTGTTTAAAATTGAAGTAAATAATTTAGCGAAAATCTTCTCGCCCAAACAGTCCGACATATAGAATCTATATATTCCACTACTCAGCAGTCAGATTTATTTGTGTAGTATTCAGTAATCGACATCGCTAAAAATAGCATTTTCATTGATTAAAATCATATTCATCCGCGTAATTTGTGATTGTGTATTTATTGACAATTCTATAGGCCAAGGCTACTTTTAAACTTTGAATGCGTTGTAATTTGTTGGATAAAAATATTTCTGTCTTTTAAATCGCTATTTTTAAGCTGTTTTGAGAACTACTTGTTGTTAGGTCTGTCGTGAAATTCTGTGTCAGAGATTGAATGTCGGCTATGTATTTTACTGATCTTGGATCAGAAAATACAAAAAGTAAAAGGTTTTGATCAATATAAATCGGAAATTGAAGTAGTTTATAAGAAACAGCACTTATCCAACTAATGACCTATTTTTAGAGGCAGATATTTAACCGCACTTTGTGAAGTAAAGTTAAAATGAATTGCTCTTTTAAACGGAATAAAATTTATATTTGGGTTGGTCTCCTAGAAAAGTTCTTTCCAGAGCCACTTGTCTTGCAGCCTGCAGGATGAGTGTCCTCAAATTTCTACTCGTCCTGCAGGCTTTGCTACTCGTCCTGTATTTTTGCCTCAATTTTCATGATAAACTTCGCCAATGCAATAGTTCCTCGCTGGTGCAAAAAAATGTTAAAAAATCTCATAATCATTTTCTTTACATAAATTTAACAAACCAAAACCCGAATCAAAGCTTGTGTTTTCGGTTATGTATAAAACGCTCACTTTATAGGGCATTGTCAGACACATTCCAGTCATACCCGTATCCAATTAAAGTTTAATTAAAACATAATATTAGGAGCTTTAAATTAAATATAAAGTGCGCAAATTATACATAACCTAATACACAAGATTTGTTTCCGGTTTTCCATCGTTAAATGTAAACAAACTGAATTTAAGAATTCTAACTTTCTATTACATTGACAAATTTCGTACTGCTGGACGAGCATACAACAATTTTGTACTCGTCCTGCATCAGTGGCAGCAGCCAGATATCATATTTCAGTCTTATTTTGTGAAAACTACAATGCCTAGAGTTTAAATATTTGTCATGTTGCATTGCCTTGTTGACCTACAAAATTGATACAAATTATGCCCCTTGGGTCAAAATTTGCCAAAGCCCGGGTGTCAGACATTTTATATACTGGGCAGGAACCCGTTTATGGACAATACCAGTTTCCGGACAAGTATTATAACGGCTTAATTTTGGTTTTATCGATGACCATCAGTATTTTATGTCATGAAGATGCTTGGTTTGATTGTTTGAGAAAATAAACTTCCTTCCAAGTTGATACATCATTAAAATTTTGTGAGGATATCTTACCTGTGTTTTAAAAACAGCCTTATATCCCTTTGGGGCATGTAATTTGTTCTGCGCATGCGCAATATTTTGTTTAATTCGGGATATAATTTGGGGTAGCAATTAATGCACAATGTACTTCATGCGAAGTTCATTGGGTGTAATTCCCCAGACGTATTGGAAAATGGTGTTTAGCTAGGTTTACTCCACTTTCACACTTCGTTGCTGCCGTACACACAAAAATATCCGTTTCACTTTTCAGTCATTCCGAAGCCCATCACGTGATTGTTATTTTTCCTATCATAAACATTTTTCATTAAATCAGCTTAATTATATAAGAAAGCTAATATGTGAGAAGAAATATTTTGTTATAATTATTAGAATAATTATCAGTTAAAAACAGATATGAATAGCAGCTTAATATATGTCCGGAAACTGGTTCTGCAAGAGTGAACAATTTACACTTTTGATGACCTAATTTAACCCTTCAGTTTGTACATTGCTTACGTCACCAGGCAGTATTAATTGTGTTATCGGACGTAGTTAGAGCTCAGGTATTTGGTATGTTAGTTTTATTAATGCATGTTTATTATTACAAAATAGACAATTAAAAAAACTCGAATTCCGTCCGGAAACTGGTTTCTGCCCAGTAGACTTCATTTGGAAAACTTGTTTGTGTCTTGTTATGTGAAACTCCAAAACCCAGAGCTTAAATGTTTGGCACGTAGCATCAATTTGTTGATTTCTACAAAAGTTAAATTACTCATGAACCTCGGGCCAAAATTGGCACAGTCCCGGGAGTCACTTGCTTTATGTAGACTAACTAAGGTACAGGAAAACTTATCTTTTTGTTGATAAATATTATGCATACAGCACTGTCTAGTGGACCTCTATAAAAGTTTTATGAATCATGCACTTAGTGTGGAAAATGCCTCCACCTTTGTGTTCATATAGTATCATAAGGATAATTAAGAAAAAACTTTTTTTTCTGACAAAAAATTTCTTGAGTGGGTCTCATTCTTTATTGAAAGATTATTTTTGATTACTCAAACAAGTTTACATTCGGGCATATATTGGCCCGCCTTAGCAGTATTCTTGTGATAACTGCAAGAAGACTGATGAATACCTGTACATCTGTGTCATAAAACATTTCAGAGGAAGACTATAACCAGGCCGTTACATTTTACACACAAGCTATTGATCTGAATCCAAATGTTGCTGCCTACTATGGTAACAGAAGCTTTGCTTACCTTAGGACAGAGTGTTTTGGATATGCTCTACAAGATGCTACCAAGGCACTGCAGAAAGATCCCAAATACCTTAAGGTATTATCAAAATTTTTTTTTGTTATTTTTCAGAAGAACTGTGTGCTTGAATTTGTTGTATTTTTCAAAACTTCATTTAAATTATTCACCATAACCTCCAGTTAAATATTTTATAGTATATTAATGCACTATACAGACTAACTTATTCTTAGTCATGTAGAAATATCTTTAATGACAAATAAAAAAATCTATTGCAGGCATATTACAGACGTGCATCAGCAAATATGGCCCTAGGAAAATTCAAGTTGGCACTCAAAGACTTTGAAGCTGTGAGTATACAAAATGAGAAAAGAACTTTTTTAGCCAATTTTAAAATGCTTTGTGAAGAAGGGTCCATAATTTGTTTTCTAAAGGTTTTACTCCTTTTCTTTTGAGCTTTGTCATTTAAATTTGCTGCTTTGAAATATGCAGGTAGCATTTTTAGCCTGACTTACTGAAGAATAGGAAGAGCTGTTATTCACACTTGGGCATCAGCATCACACTTTAGTTAAGTTTTTATGTACAAGTTGGTATCTCCAAAATACTGAAGGGAATGGGTTGATAAACGTCACACACATATTTGAGAGCAGCATAGGAGGTCGCTATCCAAGGCCTATAACTCTAGCATGGTATTTGACAGAATTATGGCCCTTTTTTGTGTCGCCTCTACGGAGTAGTGGCGACATATAGGGATCACTTCTCCGTAGTCTGTCTGTCCGTCCGTCCGTCTGTCTGTCCACACTCACAGGACAGTAATTATGTGGCTAGAGGGACAATAGGTATCTGTACTTTTTGTTTGATGTCATTCATTCCTTAATGCTTTTATGTGGCTATTTTCTTTTGTGTGGCTAAAAAGAACAATAGAGAGAACAATAGAGTAGCCACATTATTACTCTCCTGTAAGAACGTCCGTCTGTCCGTCCGTCCGTCAAAAAACTTGTCCGGACTACTCCTCATAAAGTACTGGTGCAATTTCATCCAAACTTTACAGGAATGATCAGTACCAAGTCTAGTTGTGCATATTGTCAGCATTTTCCGGTTCAATGATTTTTGTCATAGTTATGACCCTTTAATAATTTTTAATTTTGAAGTTTGTCCGGACTACTTCTCTTATACCAGTAATGCAATTTCAATGAAACTTTACAGGATTGATCTGTAGCTCAAGTCTAGTGCATATTGCAGGGTTTTCCGGTTGAATGATTTTTGGCCGAGTTATGGCCCTTTGATAAAAAGGTGTTTTTTTTCTGTGTGTTGCCAGATACACAAAAGCTTGTCTGGACTACTCCTCATAAACTACTGGTGCAATTTGCATCCAAACTTTACAGGAATGATCAGTACCATGTCTAGTTGTGCATATTGTCAGCATTTTCCGGTTCAATGATTTTTGTCAGAGTTATGGCCCTTTAATAATTTTTATTTTTAATGTTTGTCCGGACTACTTCTCTTATACCACTAATGCAATTTTAATGAAACCTTACAGGATTGATCTGTAGCTCAAGTCCTTGCGCATATTGCACGGGTTTTCCGGTTGAATGATTTTTGGCCGAGTTATGGCCCTTTGATGAAAAGGTGTTTTTTTCTGTGTGTTGCCAGATACGCAAAAGCTTGTCTGGACTACTCCTCATAAACTACTGGTGCAATTTTATCTAAACTTTACAGTAATTATCAGTACCAAGTTTAGTTATGCACTGTCCGTCTGTCTGTTCGTCTGTCACAAACTTTGTCCCAACATGAAATTGGCCATCATGAGGCGACACATGTGATTACTGATCGCTCTTGTTAATTTAGAAAAGTCTACATTATAATTAAGGCTCATGTTTTAATATCAAGCACTAAGAATAGTTTAGAGTAGTTCTACAGCTCTTGATATTAAACCAGAAAGATTAACATCAATTAAAATATTATCACTCACATCTTTTGAATATTTGGACTTATTGTAAATATTTTTTAAAATGATATGCTGTGAAACTAAGGATAAATTGCATCTGACCTTAGAATGCTTTGACTACAAAAGGAAACAGAAGTAAAACGGTATTTTTTCTGTTTATTCTTTTGGGTGAGTCATTATTTGGCATTCCACATTATATTTAGATACATTTAAATTAAGAATAATTATTGATAGAATATTGAAATAATGGTTCTTATTAGTTCAAGTGATTATAATGTGTCTGTTACTGGGAGTGGATGAGAGGTTAAGGTGATTGACTTCAAATCACTAGCCCTTTATCTGCTGTGGGTTTTGAAACTGCCAGTACACAGAATTCTTTCATGTAAGAAATTTTGTCAGAGGCTAGCTTACACATATTCAGTATCTGTATTTGGATGCAGTTTTATAATTGAAATAATGATCAAACAGAAATCTGATGTTTTCCTCTACCAGTGAAAACAAGGGAGAAGCCTTAAAATTTAAGTATTTATTCACTTAAGCCATTTGAAAAAAAATCTATAATTGCACCGTAATATATTTAAGAACAATTTTCATTGTGTAGGTTGTAAAAGTGAGACCAAATGATAAAGATGCCAAGGCAAAATACACAGAATGTAATAAGATAGTGAAGATGAATGCCTTTGCTAAAGCTATAGCCGTCAACGATACCAAATCTGTGGCAGAAAGTCTAGATCTAGAAAGCATGAGTATGTATTCATTTACTGTTATACATCTTCAACAAAGTTCTTATTTTGAATAAAATGGTATATAATAATTCTAAAAAAAACAATACTTGGCCTGAGATTATTTTATTTGTATCACTAGTTACAAATATTTTTTATAGGTTATATGACCAAGTGTATATGGTTGAAGCTTATATGACCCTTTCCACAAGATGAGGGTTATATAGCAAACAACCATTTACACATGGTCATATATAATTTGTCAAAAGTAATTGATGATACTTTGAAAGTGTTGTCTTTGAGGTAAATTTAAAATAATTTATAATGTTGGAGCAGCAGTGTATGTAATTATGAATTATATTAACCTGACAGTTGTCTGAATACAATTAACATTACAAATACAGTCAAATGTGTATTAAGCGACCGCGCAAGGGAAACACCTAAAATGGTCGCTTAATAAAACGGTCTCTTAAGACAGCATGATATATGTCAAAATTTATAAATGACATCTTTTTTAATGCGTTGGGAATGTTTTTCAACTTCATTTTTATATAAATGTTGAATAATAAGTACGCTCCGATAATCTAAATGGATGCAAATGTAAAAAGTAATTTCTGATATTTATTGACAAAACAGTTTTGATCCATTACGTACATGTTTGACATTTTTTCCAGATTTTTTTAACTTCTCCGTTGTTTTTCCTTGTCTCCAACACGAAAACCCTATTAGTGAAGATGTTTTCTGTTGTGCATTTTTTCATTTGAAATAAACAAACTACATCTAATTGTTACGATTAATTTAATGGCTGATCAAGTTCAAGGTCAATTCAATGCAGTCTAAATGTCAACAAGCGAAGCGTATACACCATCTCAGTAGGGGCGGAGCGTTGCATTGTTTATCCGATATTATTGGATAATACGCGTCACGCGTATACTTAACTTCATTTGCATACGCTAAAACGGTATGGGAAATAGAGTTTTTCACACGTTTATTTGTTGTGTTTTGATTGTTGACACTTGTGACATTACGAGATGGCGTTCTCTAAAAACACAATTACTTGACAGGTAAAAGTGGTCGTTTAATGAAAAGATTGGATCTCAATTAGGTGACTAATTAGCGGTCGCTGGTTGCGTTGAGCAAAAGTCGCTTAATACATTAAAGATATAGAGAGAAAAAGGTCGGGGGGAATTTAAAGTGGTCGTTTAAGACAAAAGTCGCTTAATACACGTGGTCGCATGGGCAAGTTAGACTGTAATATTATACAAGGAAGCCAAAGGCAGGGGACCGCTTTGAAGGTCCGTGCTTCAGCTTGCCTGGCTCTAGACTAGCTGTTTATATTTGAAAGGAACATAATTCAAATAGAAAACTATATACATACCTATCAATGAACTTTTTAGTGTCATTTGTTGTTCATAGGTAGCTTGATGATAATCGGTGAACTATTCAAAATACGAAACAATCTTAGAAACAGAAAGGGTGCTTAGAAATAATGAATGACACCTATAAAAATGTAAAAAAATGAACTGATTGAAGCTGTTTACCAAACCCTTGAATTCATGTTAAACTTATCATACTTCTCTGATTTTCTTTCATATTTGTAGCCAACATTGTAGTAAAGATTTGTTTTTTACATTTTTTTTGGAGAAAATATAAACTGTGTATAGTCTACTGGTATAAAATGTTACCCTAATTGGATAAAGAGGTAACATATTATATTTTTACAGCATTTTATCAGTTTCAAGTTCATATTTATTGAAATCCATCAGAATGATTTCAAATAAGTCACATCATTTACAGGTATATCAAACATATATTTACATCTCTATTCATGATTAAGTGACTATTCGTCAACATGTTTATATCTGTATGAAGCCAAATGCAATGTTCAACTGCTGTAAAGATGCTATAAAAATTGTGATAATCAAATTTTATGAAATTTTAACTTCCTGTTTTTATGATTTACAGCTATAGAAGATGAATACAATGGACCAAGGCTTGAAAATGGGAATGTGACACTTTCTTTTGTTCAAGAGTTGATGGACACTTTCAAAGATCAGAAAAAACTACACCGCAAATATGCCTATCAGGTTCTTTTATATATGTTTGCAGTTTTTTTAATGAATCATATTTGACCTTTATCAAAGTTTAAAGCTTTGAATTGTCCACACCATCAAGAAAATTGATTTTAGATATTTTTGAAGTTACATTAATCAAATTATGGGATAATTTGAAAAGTGATTGAATTTAGAAACCAATTGAGATAAATTTCCATATTTATTTGGCAAAGTTACAAACTGTTAGAAAAAAAAACAGACTAAGTTTGATGTCTGTTTTCTACTCCTTACCATCTCTAAATATTTTTATGGTCAGTATTGCTGTTTGTCAAATTAGGCTTAGCTGCTACTTTAATTGAAAAGATTTATAACAGCTACTTATACATTATATTTCAGATATTATTGAATGTATGTAAATCGTTCCAAGAACAGCCGTCATTAGTAGATATAACAGTGCCTGAGGTAAGCTGTACTTTAATTTATGTCTTGTCCTTTTAATTTTTTGTCTTAATTCAGTACATATTACATATTGTCCTATTTATATAGATAAATTATTAATTGATAAATTATAATAAATAGAAGATTTTCAGCGAATATTGCTAAATAAGTCAGAGAAGCCCAAATTTCAGACATTGCCAAAATTTGCAAAATATGACACTAATTAATATGATGTTACTAATGACATGAAAGTCATTTTCTGTTATGCAATCTTATTTGCTTTGTCTTTGAAGGTGTAAAATGTTAACCGAAATTCTGTATCTTCCTTAGTTTCAAACTTTTGCATTCTGACTTAACATTTAACTGATATTGTACTAAGACTCATCAAAAATGCAACATCAGATAAAAACAAACAGTTAAAGCACATGTGTATTTGGCTGCCATTTCACTTCACCAGTGACATTTATGTTAACAAAGACTTGTCAATGCAAAATGTCAGAGCACTTAATTTTAATAACAATAATATTGAAAAGTTATTCTTGTATTTGGCAGTGATGTAATTGTATATAAAATTTCTTTTTATCACATAATCTTCGTGGAATTAAACTGAACTAGTTTTGACTATATTATTTTTCAGGGAGAAAAGTTTACAGTGTGTGGGGATATACACGGGCAGTATTATGATCTCCTAAATATATTCAAACTGAACGGTCTCCCATCTGAATCTAATCCATATGTATCCTTTATTAAAGCCTGTTGATAACCTATTTGGAATATTTTTAACCAACACAAAGCTGAGTAGATAGGGAACAGTTGTGGATTATAATTTGACCTTTGATGACATAGGTTTGTCATATTTAAAATGTACATTGAATAAGTATTATTGTTAATTGAAATTAGAAATTTATCATTGAAATATGAATGTGAAGAAGAAGAAACTTTTTTAGTCCCCTACCGGTTTACCGGAGGGGACTTTAGGTTTACCCTCCGTCCGTCTGTCTGTCCGTCAGTCCGTCCGTCTGTCCGACTCCGTCTGTCCGTCCGTCAGTCCGTCCGTCCACAAAACTGGATCCCGCGATAACGCAAAAAGTACTGACAATATTTTAATGAAACTTGAAATATGGATAGGTGGCAGTATGGAGATTATGCACGTCTTTTTCTTTTCTTCCTATGTTAAAAATTCTGGTTGCTATGGCAACAAATAGACTGAAAATATGGCAAATTTTACACATAACCTGGATCCCGCGATAACGCAAAAAGTACTGAAAATATTTTTATGAAACTTGATATATGGATAGATGGCAGTATGGAGATTATGCACGTCTTTTTCTTTCCTTCCTATGTTGAAAATTCTGGTTGCTATGGCAACAAATAGACTGAAAATATGGCAAATTTTACACATAACCTGGATCCAGTGATAACACAAAAAGTACTGAAAAATATGTTTATGAAACTTTGACATATGGGTAGATGGCAGTATAGAAATTATGCACATTCTTTTCTTATCTTCCTATGTTGAAAATTCTGGTTGCTATGTATGGCAACAAATAGACTGAATTTCAAGATTTCTGATTCTAGTTTTTAAGTTTTTTTCACTGTAAGTTCTTTATTTTTAAGTATTTTCTTCAAACTTTAAAATATAAATTGCTTGTCATCAACCACATCATATGTGACAAGGTTTACAACTCTAGCACAAAATTTATCAGAATTTACCTCCCTTGAACTTAAAATTTTCATGAAAAAAAAACATTGTTTTTTTAATAACTTCTTTTTCTGAATGTATCTACTTCAAAACTTCATATAAATGTTTCTTATTATCAACTCAACATTTGTGAGTGTTCAATACTCTAGCAAGACTATTTCCAGAATTATGCCCTTTTTGAACTTAGACTTTTTTTTGAGAAATTGGTAATTTTTACTCCAACTTCTTCAATCATGATAGGATTTTAAAAATGTTATATTTTGATAACAGGGATGTTTAAAAAATAACTTTAGAGTGTCCTTCAGTCCGTCTGTCTGTACATAAAAACTGTTTCCTTTGATCACTTTTAAAGAACTTTTTCAACAAATTTACTTAAAATAGGAACCTAAGTGAATGGCCAATGGCCCTTCAGAATGTTGCTTGGGCTCTTACCGGTAGGGGACTTATGGATTGCTTGCAATACTATGATAATTGCTTGTTTATTACTGGTACTTTAATTTTGGTTTATTGATCTTACAAGATGTACAATTACCTGTTGTTTGTACTGAAATTTTTGTTATGTTTCAGTCCACCATTGAAACTAGAAATCAAATTTTATTGTGATACATTTGAGAAAATATCGAAATTCCAGGGATATTTATATATCAGTTGTGGCAATAATACATCTTTTAAATTTGCTGATTGTGGTGAAATTGTTAACAATATAGTCCTACCATTCTGTTTTAGTTATCATACTTGAAAATATGCAGAGAAACAACTTTCAATATCAATAATTATGCCCCCATTTCGAAGAAAAGGGGGTATATTGCTTTGCACTTGTCGGTCCGTCGGTCCGTAGACCAAATGGTTTCCGAGTGATAACTAAAGAACCCTTAGGCCTAGGAACTTCAAACTTGGTATGGTGATTGGTCATGACCAGTAGATGACCCCTATTGATTTTGGGGTCAAGGGGTCAAAGGTCAAGGTCACATTGACCTTGTAAGCAAAAACGGTTTCCGATCAATAACTAAAGAACCTTAAGGCCTAGGAACTTCAAACTTGGTATGGTGATTGGTCATGATCAGTAGATGACCCCTATTGATTTTGGGGTCAAGGGGTCAAAGGTCAAGGTCACATTGACCTTGTAAGCAAAAACGGTTTCCGATCAATAACTAAAGAACCTTAAGGCCTAGGAACTTCAAACTTGGTATGGTGATTGGTCATGATCAGTAGATGACCCCTATTGATTTTGGGGTCAAGGGGTCAAAGGTCAAGGTCACATTGACCTTGTAAGCAAAAACGGTTTCTGATCAATAACTAAAGAACTTTAAGGCCTAGGAACTTCAAACTTGGTATGGTGATTGTCATGATCAGTAGATGACCCCTATTGATTTTAGGGTCAAGGGGTCAAAGGTCAAGGTCACATTGACCTCTTGGGTAAAAACGGTTTCTGACCAATAACAAAAGAACCCTTAGGCCTAGGAACTTCAAACTTGGTATGGTGATTGGTTATGACCAGCAGATGACCCCTATTGATTTTGGGGTTAAGGGGTCAAAGGTCAAGGTCACATTGACCTTGTAGGTAAAAACGGTTACCGATCAATAACGAAAGAACCCTTAGGCCTAGGAACTTCAAACTTGATATGGTGATTGGTCATGATCAGTAGATGACCCCTATTGATTTTGGGGTCAAGGGGTCAAAGGTCAAGGTCACATTGACCTCTTAGGTTAAAACGGTTTCCGATCAATAACTAAAGAACCCTTGGGCCAAGGGACTTCAAACTTGGTATGGTGATTGGTCATGACCAGCAGATGACCCCTATTGATATTGGGGTTAAGGGGTCAATGGGCAAGGTCACATTGACCTTGTAGGTAAAAATGCTTTACAATCAATAACTTAAGAACCCTTAGGCTTAGGAACTTCAAACTTGGTATGGTGATTGGTCATGACCAGCAGATGACCTATTGATTTTGGGGTCAAGGGGTCAAAGGTCAAGGTCACATTGACCTTGTAGGTAAAAATGGTTTCCCATCAATTTACTAAAAACGCTTTAGGCCTAGGAACTTCAAACTTTGTATGATGATTGGTCATGACCAGCAGATGACCCCTATTGAGTTTTGGGTCAAGGGGTCAAAGGTCAAGGTCACATTGACCTTGTAAGTAAAAACGGTTTCAGATCAAAAAACTTAAGAACGCTTAGGCCTAGGAACTTCAAACTTGGTATGGTGATTTGTCATGACCAGCAGATTACCCCTATTGATTTTGGGATCAAGGGGTCAAAAGTCAAGGTCACATTGACATTGTAAGTAAAAACGGTTTCTGATCAATTACTAAAGAACGCTTCAGCCTATGAACTTCAAACTTGGCATGATGATTGGTCATGTCCAGCAGATGACCCCTATTGATTTTGGGGTCAAAGGTCAAGGTCACATTGACCTTGTATGTTAAAACGGTTTCCGATCAATAACTAAAGAACCCTTAGGCCTAGGAACTTCAAACTTGGTATGGTGATTGGTCATGACCAGCAGATGACCTATTGATTTTGGGTCAAGGGGTCAAAGGTCAAGGTCACATTGACCTTGTAGGTAAAAACGGTTTCCGATCAATTAACTAAAAACGCTTAGGCCTAGGAACTTCAAACTTTGTATGATGATTGGTCGTGACCAGCAGATGACCCCTATTGAGTTTTGGGTCAAGGGGTCAAAGGTTAAGGTCATGACCAGTAGATACTTGATAACCCTTATTAATTGTTTGATCACTGGGTCAGAAGTCATGCATAATAACCTTATCACATGACTAATTGGCTGCAGATAGGGGGCATACATGTTTTACAAACATATCTTGTTGTATACAGATTTATTATGAATAATGTATATCCTTGACAATATGTCAGTTATTTAATGGTGATTTTGTAGATAGAGGATCATTTTCCGTGGAATGTATATTTACATTGTTTTCTTTGAAACTTTTATACCCAAATCACTTTTTCATGGCCAGAGGTAAGATTTAATAATTAAACATTTGTTTTAAATTTTCAATACATAATCATTGCATTTCTACAATACAATGTGTAGATATTACATAGATACTAGATTACTAGATATTACATATTGCTATATTTAGGAGTCTTATTTTAGTCAGCAATATTTTGGTGTTTGGTTTGATTAAATGAATTTGTTTAGATAAATGCATTTTATTGTTGAAAACACTTGTAATTCAACATAAATTATTCTTATAATAAGGAAATCAGGAAAAGATTTGGCTTGACCTTCTGAATATTTTTAGACAAATGTACACAAACTGTTGTATTTTAGAAACAGCTTACTACACATATAATATGAAAGTACTTTGTGCAGAATATGAACAGAACTATAAGCATGTATGTTTTTATGTTGCAGGTAATCATGAAAGTTTCACAATGAACCAGATGTATGGTTTTGAGGGAGAAGTGAAGGAAAAATATCTTTTTACATATTGACATCACATTATTGTTTACAGGAGCCTCTTAAAGAGTAATTTGATACCTTTCACTTGTTCAATGCAGATATTTTTGAAATATCTTTTAAATTTTCACAAAATCAAAAAACATTAAATTTGTATCCAAAATCTTAGGTTTAAAGATCCTGTAACACAATTTTTTATGGTTTTGTATCATAAATATGATGCTCAAATTAATATTTATAAATAATGTAAGTTCCAAAAAGCATTATTTATAAAGATATTACCAAATTCAACATTTCATGTTAATAAAGAGAGGTAATTAGAAATTTATGTTCTATAAAGTCTAAGTTAAATTGTTCATTTAGAAATGAATGCATATATTTTAATGATTACATATAATGTGCACAAATATTTACAGTACATATTTGACATATTCTTTGAGTGTTTTAAAAGTATAATTATATACATATTTAATGATCAACATTATTTTTTGTCCAATCACATTGTAGTATTTTTCAAATTTCTGCTAAGTCTAACTTTGGTTAATGTGTATTAACTAAATAAAATTTACTTAATCTGTTGTCTAACCAGTCTAACAAATTTCAATAATGCATTATATTAGGGAGGAGTTAGATGTGTGGTTTGCACTCTGAATTGTAAAATATCTAAGGTTAGCAAAACAATGCCAACGTAAAAATATTAAGCGAGGTCACGTGTTCTAAATGTTAGGATACAATCAATTAATTTATTACATAGATGCACACAGAGACAAATGATTACATAGTAAATTTTTTATATCCTTTAAACTCTAAGAAAAATGTCTGTTATAAATTGCTGACTGATTTAAACTTTATATTTTCTAGAAAAGTAACAAACACATTATTTTCTTTCAGTTGATAGTAACTGCATTATTAAGAATACAGTGTTTACATTTTTGGCTGGAAAACTCATTGTAAATGGACCCCCTCCACCTGTAAACCTAAATTGACATACAGAAAAAAGGTCAACTGTTTTCAAATGAGCAAATCAATAGGGATTTTAAATGTTAGTGAATATTTTGAAGCTAACAGCGAATTTGTCTCACATTTTCCATTTATTTTAAAAGGATTTACACATTTCATTAACTCCATTGTTTTTACCTAATTGCATTTTTTTCCTTGCTGTTTTTTTTCCAGATATTTTATTGAAACATGATAGTCTTACTGTAGATAAAGGTATAAATTCTGTGACATTTCAGCTAATTATATGTTGAAAAGGCCATTTATTTAGCTTTTCTAAATGTGACATGTTAGAAACTTGACAAGGTGTAGACATCTTTTAGAGCGAAAGGGCGGAGCTATCGGTGATTTAGAGAAATGCCTTGTTTTTGGTTAAAAAAATAATGTTGATCATTAAATAGGTTAATGTTTAATAATACACATTAACAAAAATAATTGGTCGCCTGCCTGCGGCATGCTTGACCTATTATTTTTGTTAATATGTATTATTAAACACTAACCTATACATAAAATTTCACTTAAGTGTGGTAACAACTTCAATTACAACATGCAGGATATTTAAACAAACAAGTTTACTGAAATTTAACTAATCTTGCTTTTCAAAATTGTAGCTCACCTGACATGTTTAATTGTGGTGTCATAAATATACAATGTATTACATTTGTTGTCTCAGAATATTTCAAAGTGTATCTAAACATAAAAAACTTTTTTCAACACATAATGGCATGAGTGGTGATGTATTAAATTTGACTGGTGTTTTCCAGTCAATATGCATAGAAAGTTTTTGGAAAATTATGAGTCTTTAACAATAGTTCACATATACTTCCAAAATGGCTGATTTATTTACTGAAGTGTTCAACTGGTTACCACTATCTCACTGTATAAACAACAAAATCCTGGTAAGTGTTTACCTGAATTTCTACAAAATGTCAGTATGTATATTTAGTAATTAATGACAATACTAATGATTTAAAATAGCAGGCAACATGAAAACATATTGTTACTGCATTCGCATTGTAAAAATGCAATCACTAAGCAAGCTGAATGTAATTGATTTCTTTGTAATTAATTTTGCTTTGGGAAATATTAGATTCTTGTGTATTAGCTTATTTAATCTGGTTAAACATGTATCAACTAATAATCAATATAGTTCAAAACAATACCAATGTAAGTGTAATGTGAGATACTCCCTCTATACCAAGTACATGTACTATATTGTTACAGGTGATGCATGGTGGATTGTTTAAGGATGAAAATGTCACATTAGATGATATAAGAAAATATGATAGAAACAGACAGCCTCCTGAAGATGGTAATTTTCTTAACATTCTCACTGGTTCAAAAACAATTTGAAGAAGTCGTGTTAAATGTAATTATCTATAAATATGGTTACAGATTTGTGTAGGCCAAATCTTTGTACAAAGGATGGTGTAAATGTTCTTTTTGATTATTCTTATTGTAGACCAGTTATTAATACAATTCCTCCATTGCCATTTAAACTGGACGGTCATTTACTATTTTCATTATTTCAAACACTTTTGCTTTTTGCCAGTAACAAATATAAGTCTTGAATTTATCACAGATAATCTCTCAATTTTACCTTCTTTGTTTTTCAAAAGTTTTACATTCTCACTGTTTAATTATCTCTTGCTGAATTAAGATACAGTTAATCTTTCTTGTGCAACCATGTAAAGTAAGTGTTTGTTTGTCTTCAGCTACCAATTGTTTATATTTTAGGTGTGATGTGTGAGTTACTCTGGTCAGATCCTCAACCTCAATGTGGGAGATCTCAAAGTAAGCGAGGGGTCGGTACACAGTTTGGACCAGATGTTACAAAGAGGTTTCTACAGAAGAACAAATTAGACTATGTGATAAGAAGTCATGAAGTAAAGAATGATGGTTATGAAGTTGCTCATGATGGAAAATGTATAACTGTGTTTTCTGCACCAAATTACTGGTATGTGTATTTTATAGATGCTATTTCTTCATTATAACTTGTGAACACATGCAACCTTTTTTGCTGTTGTCAGTTAAAATATATTTATGAAAGTCATTATTGAATCACAGAGATTTATCTTGAGAGATTTGTTTCTTATTTTAAGATGATTCGAAGCAGTAAATATTTGTTAATTGAACACTTGTATGATTTTGTTGTGGTTTCAGTACTTAAAGTAATTAAAAAAAAAAACAGGTATAAAATTACAGATAAATTATATTTCTTATTTCTTGAATTCAAATGATCATGTATTAAATTTCCAGTAATGGTGTAATGTTAAAAATGGTACATAAATAAATGATATAAAATTATCATATGTAATTTCAGTGATACTATGGGAAACAAAGGAGCTTTTATAACATTGAAGGGGGAAGATCTCACACCAAAATTTACTTCATTTGAAGCTGTTGTAAGTATATAGAATATGTTCTAACAAGAGTGATGGGGTGACAGTTTAGTATCCCCTTGTGGCTGAGGGGTTGCCTTTAAGGGTTGAGGCATCAGAATTGCAGCCACCATTTATCTCTGCATGATGGTAATAGGCGACTAAATGGGTTCAAATTATTGTAGTCTATGGATCTCTTAGTCTATGGATCTCTTAGCTCCAGCAGGTGTGACAGTTTTGACCCAGTGTGTTCTTAAAGTTTGTTAACACCGGAGGTTATCCAAAATCATCTTTTCTGTTTCATCGCTAATGACCTAAACATTTTTGAGGTGTATTGTGTAAATGATGAACTGCACATTTCATCATACTGAGAATTCATTGATTTAAACTTTGTCATAATTCCTAACAGACAATTGTAAGTGCTTGATATTTAATTCAAGATTTGTGTTAACTTTTTATTTCTTGCAATTTCTTCAATGCTGTTGGAATATTTACATGACTATATATTTCTGCGCTGTAGATTATTTGTTGTATTTTGCATACTTACTAATTATTTTTAATTGTATATTTCAGCCTCATTGGCCAAATGTTAAACCTATGCAATATGCAAGCTCATTGTTTGGGGCT